CAAAAGTAGTCAAGCGCGCTTAACAAGTTCTTTTCTCTTGGAACTGACACGATTCTAAGCAGTATTACCTTGCCTGTCACTCATAATACTAGAATGTGTGGTAATTTTTTTTTTAAGATCTGATATTTTCGCATCATTTTTGGAAAATCGACTATAATTCAATTATAGTCTTCTTATATTAGAAATGCGTTGGTATGTTTGTTGTCCTTTTCTATTCTCTCCCTCCTTTTCCTTTTCTTCTTTCTGTATCAAAGTGATTGATTTTTTCGATGAAGATACTAATTTCATTTCGGTACACCAATTATTAGCCTGTTGTAAATATTACGTAGATATGTGCCTAAAATGAAGTCAGAGTGCGTCACTAGTAAGTACTAAGTAGTAGTCTAATAACTTCTTCATCTATCAACAAATATCTATGCATTATAATGCTTTAAGTTGTGCAATTTCTAATTTACTCGGTGCTAGTCACTTCTGCATGACCTTTAAATGTTAATTTATATTTTAATTAAGTTATCATAATATAATCAATTTAATTTTATAATTAATAATAACATCATTAATGAATAAATACATAATTTATTCATAAGCGCCCATTATAGAAATTAAATTTCTTGATTATTACATAAATATTATTAAATAGCTATTAAACATTCGTCTTCTTCTCCCTGCCCATTTCCCAATTACTTGGAGTCGGCGCAGTACATCTTCTGTACTGCTGAAAGGATTTGGCAAAAGTTTTACGACCGGCCGCCCGCCTGACGTCAACCCTCCTTGGGAAAAGATATTAAAGCTATAAGCTATTAGCTATTAAACATTCGTATTATATATAAATGTTCACTATTCGACAATTAATACTTCATAAATCTAATTTATACTAATATAATAAAGAGAAAAAGAGAGAGCGAATTTTGTAAAGTATCTAGTAATTTTGTAAGGTAGGTAGGTACCTATAGTAAGTAAACTCCAGAACCACTGAACTGACGAAAAATTATTGTACCACTTCAAAGTTACATTATTCCAGATGATCATAAGCTATACTTTAAGTATAAATATGTATACTCCGTGGTAGGTATTACGTTAAAAATTATGTTGATCTTCGTCACTTAAGTCGTGTCGCTTGAGAGCTTCCTTAATAAGGTCTAAAAAAAAGTCCGCGATAGCATATATTTTAAGGTTGACTCATCACTTATATGATTTCCAAAATATACGTTCCCAAAGAACACACAGTTTAATAAAATAATTATACTATTTATCTTACACCATCTTGGGATATATCACAAACAAACTCATGCAACAAAGTAAGTCGTTAGTGTCTTATTAATTAAGTCGTTCATATTTTCTAAAATCTAAATTATAGCTTTTCAGTAATGTAAAGATCCGGATGGAACTTTCTTACTGATCCTATATCACGTTTGTCGGTCAGGCCTACCTAGGTCTATTAACCGAGTTGAATGAAATTTTCACAAAATACTTGTTCAACATGTGTTCGCGGTGGTTTTCCTAAGAATTCAAATAAAATAAAAAGCCGAAATCAGTTTAATAAACGTGTTTCTGTTTATGCTCTAAAATAAACTTATATAAACAATAAATTTTATATGGTAAAAGTACAAGCTCTGAAATAAATTAACAAATAAAAAGTGGCCAGGTACTAATGGGACTCGAGCTACGAGCTTCAACTCCCTATTAAATACAGGATGCTATTTTTTTGGTAAAAATACATAAAACAAAATATTATACTGTATCGTACAACGGAAACTCCGGCGCGCGAGTCCGACTACGAACGATTAATTCATCGTAAAGAGCCGCAGGCAACATTTATTTTTTCGCATATGAATTAGGCCACCCACTCCGGTGTCTAATATATGTATGTATATCTATTATAATATTCTAGTCCTGAATCTAATGGATTATTATAAAATATCATGTATCAAAAAATATTAATTTATATCCTCGTATAATTGTACACCAGATCAAATATTTGTATGCGAGCAATACTAGGCTCTTATCGTTGTTGGCTTGTAATATTTAGAGCAAATGCATTGACCAAAGTAACTACATATACCTAAATCCTTTCATTTAAAACATCTTTCTGATGATTTCCCTTTATTTTTTTAATTAAATACACCGCGAAAGATTCTAATCAAGTGGATGAATTTATCGAAATTATACTTTTTGGCACGTTTGAAAAAAATATGAGAGTAAAATTTTTACGATGCACGCGCACACCGGCAGCCATAAAGCGACTTAATGAAGTTAGCTGCATTCCTTTTACAAAGAGAGTTGTGACATACGGGATGAAATGTTTAGCTATTTTTGTTCTGTTACGCCAAAGAAGTATAACTTCTTACGTGCGTAACCTACGTACGCACACACGTTTTTTTATACTCTTCAATTTATGAAGAAACGATTTTTTTGATTTTTGTCGGTCAGCATTAGCGTTTGAATACACCTTGGCCCTTCTCTCAAAACACGTGTAGGAATAATAGGTTGTACATATAATACTTTTATTTTACGATTTAGAAAATAATACTTTTATTTCGTTTGAGCTAACAAGATTCACTTGTCGTTTTGACTGTATACAAATATTTTCCTCTCATTTATTATCCGTTACCTCTTGCCTCGTTAATTTATTATTTTAATTATTTGAAATTATTGTAATTTAAAGCTAATATTAATAATGAATTTCTTGAAAAAAACTAATTTATTGAGATATCAAATAATCACATATATAATAGTTCTTGGCTATCGTGTTTTATGAAGAAAAAAATTCGGACTGTAAGTTCCAGTGCGTAGCCTCGCAATCAGTTTTGTAGTTCTAAACTAAGATCTAACTTTTTGAAAAGTTAAATAATGATGGCGTCAAAATCTAATAGCTTTGTTATTAACATTCATAAATGAAGAATTGGAAAGGTAAACGATTTAGAGGTGTTAATTTTGTCGATGATCGTACTTACCTTGAGTAAGGTCAATAGCAGTATTAAGTTCATATTCACATAGCACACAAACATCGTTCCATTTAATGATTAGATAACACCTACTTAACTAGCATAGAACGTTGTCAATTTATAATTGTGCGCTCTTATATTATACTTACCAATATGGCGGAAAGATAACATCAAAGGCAGTCATTATAGTGATAAATGACAATTGTCTTGTCTTTTGAGGACAATATATGCCATCGAGGCTTGTGCAATACTATTCTGCGCCTGCTTATAGTCATTAAGAGTTATTGTCAGCGACGGTATTGATATTTGAATTGAATGCTTCCATAGACGCCGCAAAGTTATCATATAGATCGATCAGTAGATAACTATTCTTGTTATGGTGCAAATTATGACCGGTCAGCAGAGTGGCGCCAGGATTTTACTGCAGTAGCACAGCTGTCACCCTATTTTAAAATTCATAGAAGTTAAACAAAAACCCATGATTTCATCACACAAATATGTGCTCAAGTGTAGTAAAAAGTTACTCATCAGTTCATTCCCTGCAGGCTGTATGCAAAATGTATACAATATGCACGTCTCAGGACTGATGCGTCTGACACGTAACAATGTGTAAACAAGAACGCAATTTATACTACAATCGAGTAGACGGCGACGTATATGTGGTATATACAATGTCTTTACACACGAGTGGCGCTCCATAAATAGTAATATACACAGCGATGATGTCTGTTTCTCGAAGTTGACAGCCACTGATGCGTCATCACCACGAGCCGTCGCATGCTTCGATCTTTTCGTTGTGAAGTCAACACTTGATGTAGAGCCACCCACGAATACGCCTCCAACAAATAGGAAGCACGTTTATGAGGTATCAAACCTATTCATAAAGAAAAAACAAAATAATAACAATATATGAAGAACGATTTCCTCTTACAGGTAGGTACTATTAGCGGCGGAGTGCTGATTTAATTTGTCATAAAATAAATTACGAGCATTGTTAAAGGCAAATATAAATGTGTTTTAGTTTATCTTGATTAATCACTAATGGTTCAGATATAACAATGTATTCCATCTGTGATGAATTCATCTATGCAGTCGATTAGCAAAAATATAATATAGTCATGAGTATTTACATACTCTTTAAATAAGAGCTGGTTATGTAAAATATTACGTCAGTTTTTGCGTTGCTTCTATTAGTATAAACATTATTAAACGGAGCAATTCTTACTTTTATACAAGAAATTGTTTACATAAAACACATGTTTCATTAAAATAAAGATGATGAACATAGCACTCAAATTACACATAAACAATATAACAATAACAGTAGCAATTTGTAAATTTCAGACATTTAGATAAATTTATGAACAATTTTATCTGATTTCTGCGTTGCATGATACTTGTATATAGTATGAAACAAATTTCCTTCTATTATAATTTGCGTCCTACTAAATCCATGAATGACTTCTTAAGAGTAATCGTCCTCATTATTTAACTGAAAATAATTAACAGCAATTTCAAAATAAGTAAGGTATTTAAGTAATACTCCAGTTTTGCACTTTTTCAAGCCATAATGCTAATGACTTTTTATTAAAGATTGTTTTAATAAGAGTTCTTTTAGGATCCACGAGGGACACCCTCCCCCCTCCCCCCAACGTGTGTTCACCTTGTCGTGGTTCTCGTCTGCTCAGCTGCGTCCGGCAGTTCAGCCGGGCGCGAAGCCAAGAAACACACTGGAAGGTGGCTCACTTCAGTGTGCGGTGTACCATGCGGGTTGCTCCTGGTACTTCTCTGATAGTCTTAGACATGTTCATCTTTAAGATAACTCACAGAGATGCACCATGAATTTAGCAACGCATTAGCATTTATAACATTTTATATATTTGTTATGTCATGTTTTTACCATTTTCTTCAGACAAAAAAAATTTAGTCTTTGGAAGAACTTTAGTCTGGTTGAGACCATACCACCAAAGTATTTTCTATTGTACGAAAATAACTAATAAATATAACAAAATAGAAAAATATCACCTCCCAAGCGCGAGAAAATCCGTTGGGCCTATGGTGAGTTAATCCGTAGGTACATCATATACTTACCTACACATCCATAATAAAAGCGCTACAAATTAACAGTAATATTCGTTTAGCTGTTACATCGCCAAGAGAAGTCAAATATGTACTAACTCAGAAAATTTCCAATTTAAAATGTTTGTAATAATACGGTAGGTCTAGGTTTGCTATTCATTTAAATAACACATAAGAGCCGTCGTAATGGTTTAACTATTATTGTTATTCGAACAAAGTACCAATAAGCTTTAAGTTTTATATCTTTGAGTCTACTCTTCATCTTCAGAATTAATAATTATCAGACCTTGAGTCGGTTGGTGTTATTTCGCAAAGTACTAATAGTAAAAGTCCAGAATTATGATTTACTAGCACAACCCGCGGCTTCGCTCGTGGTAAAACTACAAAATAAACTCTAAAGGTACATTTCATACAAACTTTCATCCCCTATTTTACCCCCTTATATAGATAATTTTCGAAAAAGGCTAAAACACGTATTTATTTAATTGTATTGAAGAGCATAAATACTAAGTTTCAAGTAATTCTGATCATAAATATTTTTTGGGTTGTATTATAACGTGTTTTCCCGTGGGAATGAGATAATCTTCCACAGTAAGATCGCCTATGTCACACCCAAAAAATAATTTATGATCAGAATAACTTAAAAATAGGTATTATAGCTCTTCAATACAATTAAATAAGTATGTGTTTTAGCATTTCTCGAAATTCATCCCATATACGGGTAAAATAGGGGATGAAAATTTGTATAGAACCTACCTTTTAAGATTTTTTGCAGTCGTAGCGCGAGCGAAGCCGCGGGTTCTGCTAGTATTATATAAATTTCTAAATTTCACGATCCGAATATATGTCGTTTTCTTCTTTGCCCTTTTCCGCTAATACGGGGTCGGGTTGCACTGTTTTACGGCACCAGTACACTCTTTTGTAGGTGGTCAGGTCTGAAAATGTCTCTTCTACTACGACTAGCTTGGATATGCATATTATAGGTATAAAGACTTGACTTTACATAAAATATTTTTATGGTATAAAATATACCATCTAACTTTATAATAAGTATAGATTTATTGATCATGAAAGGTCTGAATTTAGAAAATGATAGATATTATTTATTGAAACAGTGCCAATACATATTGCCAAACCTTCCAACATATGCACACGAACGAAATTCTTTAGAAACGATTGTTATGACTTCTTTATATCCGTTCAGTCATAACTCATAAGTCTTCTAACGACAAAAATATTGCTTACCTAAAGATGAGATCGTTAGGTTCTTGCGTAAGGTATTGATAAAAATAAAAAGATTCTTATGTATATGGATTTTGAGAAATAATATTTTTTTGTTTGAACAATTACTGTATGAGTTATTGGGTTTAAAAACAGCTACTATTTTGGATTTGGAATAACCCAAGTTTTGGAAATACCATAGCCTATATAGGCCACTATGGTATTTCCAAAGAAATTTAACAGACTTTCGGCCTTTAAAAATATATGTAACATTTAATTCTTGAATACAATAGAAAAATATTTACTGTTACAAGATTATAATGTATATTGCAGATGTTACGCATGAACTCAAGGCCTGCAATGTTTAATTAGAACCCAACAGTAACCTACAATCATTTAAAAAGTAATGTTAATAAACACAAAGGGTTTTTTACTAAATAGAAAATCTATTTTTCAAATATGAAAAGTATATAAGAAATAATAAGGCTTTACTTAAAAATATATATTACATATTAATATATTTTACATATGTATATAATATAATATTATATCATATGCTGCGTACTAGTAACGAACATTTCTATATCCAGGAAACATTTGATTAAAATTAGTTTATTACGTTACAAACCACCTATTTCAGGAGTTCCGCCCTGAGAGTGTTAGCATTTACCACAAGATTTATGAATAACAAAGATGATTGTACTAATGGCTTACACAATATATTCAATAGTATTAGAATTTTGCTGAAGTGATATTATTACTCATTATGAAGTAATGCTTATTTATAGTAACATTTAATATATTTAATAGTCTTCGTTATACTTACAGAATGTAACGAATATTATTGTGAAATCTTATTAAGGTTCACAAAACTTTTGTTTCAGTTCAAATTCATTATTTAATTGTAATAGGACTCTTGTTGATAACTAAGTTATTCTAATAGAATTATCATTGATATCACATTTACAATTTAAGTAATTTATAATTACACAGAGTTTAAAAAAGGGGAAGTATCAAGTATGTATTAAAGACTAGCGACTCACGCTCGCTTCGCTCGGGTTCGTCCCTAGCTTGCTATCAGAATTCTTGATAATATGACCAATAAACATGCCCTACCGATTTTAATAATTTTTATTATATAAAAAACTACTTTTTGTGACTTAAATATAAAAGTTAGACACACGCTGTCATTGACTTTTTTGTAGGCTTTATTAAGCTCTACAACTTTTCTCTAGAAAATAATCATATATCTCTCATCGTTAAGGCAGCGTTCGTAAGAAACATTTTCGTTCGACCGTTTTTTCTCCGACTTACTTTGCAAATCCGACTACCATAAAAAAGTCTTTTCATTCTCCGGATTAATACCTATATAGCCTATGACACTCAGAAAAAACGTGGCTTTCTATTGGTAAAAGAATTTTGAAAATCTGTTCAGTAGATCCAGAGATTACCCCCTATAACGTCACAAACTCACAAACCCACAAACTCACAATATCACAAACTTTACCTCTTTATAATATTAGTATAGATACGTTTAAAAAAAAATCTGTTTTTCATGTTGTGATTAAGGACACTGAGTCGCCGTGTGAGTCTAAAAATGATTAGCATCACGATTGAAGCCAACGATGACCTTTCTTTCGTCTTACAATAAGTGGAAATAGTAAAGGGAAATCTGATTGTCGAGCAGGTAACGGCGCCGAAGTTCCCAGTGGTGATCAAGATCGGGCACGCGCACAGCGGCGTGGCCAAGGTGAAAGTGGACGCTTTGGCCGACTTCCAGGTACTGCACATTTATATCCATTATCTGCACATTGCAGTTTCAGTTGCAATACAATGAACTGATAATGTTCTATAGACGCTTTGTTCTGAAGTCACGTTTAAGATTAGATTATATCGAGACCATAGGTATTATATTGTAATTTTCATATTATCAGTGTTGGTTTGTGTCCTGATAATTTTACTGGGAACAAATATTGAAGCATAACTTCTTGGAAGTTTTTCCGTCTTGTTACTTTATTAGTTAGCAAGAACAAAATAATTTGTATCGTTTTATGAACATATATTTTACATTGGTTTAAATTTAAAATTGAATTTAAATCAATGTAAAATATATGTATAAACATATATTTTACATTGATTTAAATTTCAATTTAAAAGAAACAAATTTTTATATATAATAGTTTAATCTTCAAAAAAATATTATATCGTTACTTCTTGATTGTTAAGTTGTTTTATAGGTACTTACTATTAAAAAAATCTGAAAACAAAATCATATTAAAAAAAAAGAAATATCCAATTTCATTTTTCAAGTAAATAAAATTATTACACTTATAATATAAGCTATAACTATAAATTCATACATAATCAAATATTGCGTAGGTAGTAAATTAATACGATACCTAAGATATCAGTTTTCTGTTAGTGTTTTTATTTTGATCGCGACCCTGTCCAAGGACGAATATAAATGTTAATTATGTTAATATTTTTGATAGGATACATTAAACGTATTTTTAATTAATATTATAAATACTTTTAGGATATAGCTGGCGTTGTAGCCATGTTAGGGACCTACTGCACCGTGGAGCCGTACATCGATGCTAAATACGACATCCACATTCAGAAAATTGGGACTAACTACAAGGCGTTCATGTAAGTTTTAATTATTTAAACTATAAATAAAAATATAAGACCACCTTAAACATTGTAGAAATAATAAGCTTTAGTTTTTAAAAGGAATATAGCAAATACATAATTTATAGACAAATAAATATATAATTTATATTTTTATTTCTATAAAATATACGATCACGAAATAGTTATGAAATACAAAGCGAGATATGTATGTATGTATATGTAAAGCATGAATGTGCAGTAATTAAGGAAATCGCCTGACTAAAAGTAAACATCTGCATGTCTGGAATATACTCGTACATTTTATGCAGGCGTTAATTTAGAAGCGAGCTATTTTAGTGATTTACATAACTATAAAGCTTTCTTATGCCCGATTTCACCAACGTCACCTAAGTTTAAGGGATCCCCTAAGCATGGTTAGGGGGCTGTTAGGGGACAGTTTCTGTTTCACCGACAGTTAGGGGTCACCTAAATATTAAAAGGCCCCCTAAATTTAGGTGTTCAAAATATGGGCTTAAAGACGATCGTAAAACGAAATTTAATTTAGGGGCTAGTTTAGGGGACTTTTAAGCTAGGGATCCCATACGTAGGTGGTAGCTTATGGGTTGTTGGTGAAATCGGGCATTAGAATTACGATTTTTTGAAATATTTAATATTAAACTGTCATTCGAAACGTTGGGAACGAAAAATCAAAATAAATCCGCGAAAAAATCCCAAAAGATAGTTTTATTTATATAACTATGTTTGTTTTTTACTTAAATTATATTTTCAGGCGCAAGTCTATATCTGGCAATTGGAAAACTAATCAAGGATCAGCAATGCTCGAGGCCATAGGCATGAATGATAGATACAAAATGTGGATTGACGAGGTTAGAGGACTCAAAAAAATTTATACTAAGTACTTGTAAAACTGATAATTTTTCCCTTCAGTTTTTATCAAGAGGTTATATATATACTCTTTATTGCACTTAAAAAAAATTACAAAGTTTAAGAGAAAATTGAAAGCAAAGGTGGACTTAGGGAATAGATTGTCGTATCTTTTATAAATATTTACATCACTTATTAGCACTTGCTGAAATTTTCACCTGTCTTTAGTATACATACATAAAGTATTACTCATTCTTCCAATACTACTAGCATATATGTTATAGGTATTAGTATGCTTCTATAATACAAATTATAGAATATTTAATTAATAATTGCTTTTATTTGTAGACTTTTTATTTCTAATTTTTATTATATCCTATAAAAAATCGAATAAAGCTTAAGAAAATCAAGAAAAAGTAATAAATCTATATTTGCTAGGTAAGTGAAATATTCGGTGGCCTAGAAGTATGCGCTCTCGAGTTGGTGGTAGGCAAGGATGGTCGCGAGCACATCATCGAGCTCAACGATTCCGCCACTTCCTTTATGGGAGACACGCAAGAAGAAGATCGTCGTCACCTCGCAGAACTAGTCTTCCAACGTATGCAGGTATGATATAACCATTATAACATTTATGAAGTTTACAAATTAATTATAAAAAAGTATACATTCCGCCATAAAACTGTAGCACGCTATATTAAAATAAAATAAATATAATAAAACACCTTATAAAGATGCATAATGTTTTTTAAATTATATTATTGTATTAAAATTTGTTATGACCTTCAAAAAGTAAAAATATGAACTGTTATTTCAGTCTGTGTGCCGTCCTGGCATAACTAAGACGACTTCGCGAAGCTCTGTATCTGGTAGCGGTGCAGCGTCTCCCGAAGAACGTTCAGCTCCCATCGGCGGCCCTCCGAGCGCCCCCCCGCCCGCGCCTCTCGCGACTGCCGCCAGCATTGACCGTCCCCTGCCTCCCATACCAGCAGAGCCCACGCAACCACCACCGCCTCCATTAACACGCCGTGATTCTCAAGGTGCATACATAATTTTAATAGACTCTTCTATATGCAACAAAAAACATCACTACACAGACTAAAAAGTAACCTATGTCAGCATTCGGTGCATAGAATACCTCTATATAATAATCACGTCTAGTCCAGTCAATATAGGAAAAAAACGTATATATAATAAAGCAATTTCAATGATAATGCCATTCGATAAAGGGGCATTTTTTAAGGCTAAAGTCAAGGTTGAGGTGTCGCTCGAGAGGCGCAGGTGCCGCCACTATCGCAAAAAACGCATTTTATTCAACATCTCCAGAATGGCTCATATTTTGCTATCGCGAAAAACCGACAAAAGTAGCAAAATTTGTGCGTTTCGAGCCTGATATATCAACAAATTTTAATTTAAAAAAAAAGTTTTTCATAAAAAAGATAGTAAATTTAATTTAAAAGATTTTTAGAGTTTTTTTACGTAGAATGAGCCGTTCCGTAGATATTCAATAAAACACGTTTTTCGGCGATAGTGGTGCCAGCGCCTCTCGAGCGACCTCGCAAACTTGCTCTTACGCTTAGAAAATGCTTCTTTATCGAATGTCAATATCGAGGAAATTGCTTTATTTTGTGTAGATAGTTTCTCCTATTGACTGGAATAGTCGATATATTGCTCCGTTGCTGCGTAAAAGTAAAACCAACCAAAAGACACACTTTCATATTTACAATATTAGTTACAATTATACTTGTATATTAGTGCTAGTTAACAGCCTCCGCAATACCGTAGCAGACTACCACCACGATACCATATCATCTATGATGAAGATTCTTGAAAAAATAATATACAGCACTTTACGTGTCTTATAGTTCTATAAATTACAAGTAATAAATAATTTAAATTCAACAGCCTCTCAATCATCCACTGTGTCATCCACCTCGGCCGCTCCAAGCACGGCCAGCGCCGGGCAGCAGCCGCCCGCGGCCCCCACGGCCAGCACCAGCACGCGCGGTGGCTTCGCGAGGCAGGGCTCTCTGAGCGCCACCCTCACTGAAGACGCAGAGGACACTATGAAGAATCTGCGCAAAACATTCGCAGGCATTTTTGGAGACATGTAACACACCAACCAACTTTCCTCACAACATATTCAAGGCCAACTTTGTTAACTTAGGCTTCGTCGCATGAATAGTAACATCTGTGACTTCGTCAATATAATCAATTTCATTAATGCTTTCCGTTTCAAGTTCTGATGAAATAGACTTGGTCTAATAATAGAGGCTAGGTATATATCGAAGTTGTTAAGGAATATATAAAAATTCAAGCAATTAGTAGTCAACTAACATCAATATTTTAAACATGTAAGATGAAGCAACTCTGCTACAAGCCGGTTAAAGGTCAGCCTTGCGAAATGTTCAAGTTCAGGTTTGTTCATTTTAATTGTTTTGACCGTTAAATGAATATAGTTCTGATAACAGTTGTGACTGTCAATTTAGCCATATATGTATCTACCTACTTAATTGTTCAAGATCCTATATTATTAAACATTCTGTTAACAATGACAACCTTGAAGAAATAAAATATTTTTAATTAGTAAAGCGGAAATGTAAAACAACCAATGACTATCATTCTGATAGAAAAAGAATACAATTGAATTTAGCTTACCTAGAATCATTTAAAAATGATTCTAAAATCATAATCATTTCCAATAACTATTGTTAGTGTTACATACAAATGACACATTCAGAATTAATGAAATATTATGTATGTTTAACTGTTTTTACTTTCTTAATGCGTGTTGTTAACAATTTGATATAGATCCGAAATCGAATAGCAAATTCTATAAGCATAGGTTAAATGTTAAATAATGATAGATTTTTTACAATAAGTTTATAAATAGAAGTAAAAATCAACTGAGCTACATTGTGATCGAATCCGTTCGATGCTCGACGCGTCGCGTCTTGCAATAGAGATAAATACTAAATAGAACTTTCCTCTGTAGCAACTTTTTACAGATTTTTATAGTATCTTTATTGTTGTGCTGTTCACTTCATAACTTGCAACTCTTGTAGCGTCAACTCGATTGTAGAGCGGGCAACTGCTACAAACAAAACTCAATTATAAATCATTATTCGCTGGCTTACAATTTTAATGTTTGAAGTTGATATTATGAAATTGCAATAATCTTTAATAAGGTAAATAATATAAAAATAAGGTGTTTTGAGCGGAGCTAGGAGAAATAACGCATTTTTTTATTTGGGTAACATAGCACATATTACTTGAATTAAGTAAAAAAGTCCGGAAATCAACAGATCTATTTCCTTTATATAAGTAGTATAATGTAAACATATAAACTACGTACGTAGTAACATTAATGATATCATAAACGTTTATTTGACAATTAAATAATTGATTTCAAATACCTTGACAATTTATAATGGTTTTGGTCATTTATGAAATGAAAAGGAACAACCATATGAAAGATACGAGCATTTTATATTTATTTCTTAAGCGCATACTCAAACTATGAAATAAAAGGGAGCATAAAGAAGCTGAAGGACAGAAAGATAGGCCGAATTAATTACATCTGGAATGTACGCTATATAAGACAATATTGTTGAAAGCAAAAATTTATTCACATTTTATATATCTTATTACTAATATAGTTGTATCTTGTAGAATATAGGATTAGTGTTGTTGTATTTGTGTGTTTCCTCACGCAATATCTAGTCATGCTTAGACGTTAATTTTAGTAGCGGTTCATTGTCTTTCCTGTAACTTTAGTATTGTAATATTTCCAAGAACAAAATTATTAATTATTTTATTTGAATTTAGATAATGTTTTGGTTTACCAATTAATTTATATGAAACGAATTGCAGGGACACTTAGAATGAAAATAAATGAGTTAACCTGTTGGAAGAAATGGTTCTCATAAATTCCATACATTTTTCATATTGCGCTTTCCTAAAGATTCGCTATTCAAAATCAAATTACCCATATGCTTTATAAAGTATCACTATTAATAAATAAAAATAATCAAATATACAACTGATAGACATTTGAATTATCGAAAATTTTATAACAAACGTTATGTTGTTTTTATTTAAAACATGTATCTATCACTTGTTATCATAATATATTTACAACGAATATAGTACACATAGAGATGTACAATGCAAGGGCAAGACTAAAGTACACATAACTATAGGTAAACTCGTCTATTGTAAAAACCTTTAAACGTAACTGGACCAGTTATTATCCTGTCCTGTAGGGATAAACCTCAAATAACTGGTACTTGAGGCCTTGGCATTATACCTACTGTACATCCTTTAAAATATGCTTAGAATATATGTATTTATACATGCACTCGTAGCTAAATTTTGACACGATCCTTTAGATCTTAATCAATAAGTGTCTATGAAATGCGCAATTAGATGACTATAATATTATAATATATATCATGGTACTTTAAATGATTGTATGTCGTTGAGTTTTTGATGTCGGTAATATTAATTTTATATTAGACTGTTCTGCGTTTATAATAAATAGGATTAATAATATTAAACACTAAATATAAAGCTGTTGTTGTTGTTGCTAAACAAATTATACAATGTGTATCTACTCATATGAAAATGCTCGGAGGATTTGTCACGATCAAAATTTACACCACCTTGTTATAAATGAGGTTAATTATATGCGACACCCAATTTTTGGCGTGACATTATCTTCGGCTAGTAAGAGATATGATTTGTCACGGCTATATTAAAAATATTTTTATCTACCAATGTATTGGTGCAGTTGATATTTTAGTTATAAAAGTACTTATAATTTTACTTTAGAAATCACAGACAAAAATTGGTATTAAAGCAATAATGTTATACTTAATTTATTAACCGTGACATTCATAGCTCTAATATAATATTATAATGGAATTTGAATGCATGTTAATCTATATGATAATAAATATATATTAAATAAATACCTCTTTTGGTAACTCAATAATAACTATGAGTTTTATTTATAATTAACAACATACCCTCGTTTTGCTTCGGCCCTCACTAGGTATACATACGTACTCTTCACACTCCAAAAACACATAAAATTTAAATATAACCGTAGTTTTTCTATCCAGCCGTGAAAGTTTTTCTTTTCCTACTATCTGCTCTGCTTATCATTTTGACAGCTATCTATCCACTAGGTGCCTTACAGCCTGGTACCAAATGAGCCTATGTTCTCACCTGAATAGTCTATCTATCAGTGAAAATCTTGTTAAAGTCAGTTCAGCCTTTTCAAAGACTAACTCATAAAAAACTTTCAAAGACTAATTAATTTTCTATGTCATATTTAAATCAGACAGACACTTTAATTTTATGTATGAGTATTTATATAATAGCTATAATATTTTAATGAGGAAATTCAAATCGTAATAAAATTTTTCATTCTTTTCTATTTTTATTAATAATGATAAAAAATAGTCTACAATATAGTAATAAACGGGTATAGAAAAAGAAATAATCAACGGTATCCGACAGGGTCCATGCCAGTGTTGAGGCTGTAGTTGCGATACATGCCCGCGGCTGCGAGGCGGTTTGTAAAGGTCTGGCCGGCAGGAAAGAACACGGATGGCACTGAGTGGTATCCTATGAACATTTATTATTATCAATATTTTAATATTTTTTTCAAATATGATTCTTTATGAGCCAGAAAACTTGTTAGAGAAACATTCTTAAGCAAGCGTTTATTAACTAAACTATGTTATATTATACTGGCCCTAATGTTAAAAATAGTTTGTTATATAAGAGTATTTCAAAGGTTCAAGTCAAACTCGCACTTATACAACTTAAACTAAGTATAATTTAAATAAAATAAGTATAATCACCAAATAAAAGTCTGAATTCGTTTTGCATATTTATTTAATTTCGTCCACTTCAATTACAAAACATGAAATTAGCAATATTTATTAAGACCTTAAAACAAAACAATACTTAACTCGTTCGCTTAAAAATTGTATCGTAACTGTGCTTAAAAAACACTAAATAAATTGGACAACAGAATACATATATGTATTGAAATCTTGTTCTGGCAGATCAAAGAAACCTTATTTTAGTGGCGGCGGGTCCATGACTGTGTTTAGTGAATAATTGCGGTACATTCCTGCGCTCGCCAGGTGGTTTGAAAAGTTCTGGTTCTTAGGGAAAAATGCGGATGGAACTGAATGCCAGCCTATAATGCAATGGTATAGACATTTTCAATAGTATTTACAAGGTTAAAATATTTTACATAATATATTAAAGTCAATGTAAAAAAAATTTAATATGTGAAAACTATACAAACCTTTTAATAATGTTATAAATCATTTAAAAAAAAAAAACATTTTTTTCCGCGATCAACACAAAATTATATTACAATTTAAAAATAAAATAGAAATTACCTGGTGGGTACCATCCGTATTCGCTCGCCGATGTTCTATAGAAGGGATGTTGCTTGCTGACTTGACAGCCGTAGCCGTTAAACCAATCTAGTAAAACAAATAAATTAATTTAAAATGTTCATAAAAACAACGTAATGGGATTTCACGAATCGCTATAGGGTGAAATAGGAAGGGTATAGGGTGAATAAGGAACGGAAGTGAGGTATTCCATGTTCTTAACATTTATAAAATGCTTATTATAGATAGTTTACTATAAAAATCCCACCATTGTATAGAATATATTAAAAGGATCATTGCTCCTAAACATTTGTCAATATTGTCCGCCCGCATATAAGTGTGTAGAGCCAGCATTGAATTGAATGGATGTGTGTATGTAGAGTGTAGATGTATCTCTAATCTTTATATTATAATGTGTAACTTCATATACTTCATGGATCAGTAAAACGTTTATTTTACTTTAACACTTTCCGGGACAGACCGCCTCTCGACGTTAAATTGGCATCGTGTTATGTGACAGTACGGCTATGGGCGGCTACTTTTATTTTATTATATCTGACAAAGCGTCGATGGCCGTTGGTTATCCCTATCATTACTAGGAAGCACGTGATCTAGTGTCATATCACATGCCTCCGTTCGGTGATAGCTGTCACGGTAAACTCTATTCGAGTACTTTTTCCACACGCATATACGCAGTGGTTTCACACCCAACAAATACAGGTACACCGTCGAGAGGCGTAAACTCAGTCATACAAGTACAGTGATTTCGGAATTCAGTGTCACAGCGCGCGCACTGCCAGTTAATCTTTGCTATGTTGTACGTGTTTAGTGATTTTTGTCAACAAATGCAAGGTAAATAAAGTTTATATATACTATAATATGATATAAATCTGATGGAAAATGTGTTGTGTTGTCCTATAGTGTTGTTTTTATTTAGGTAGGGATAGAAATATGTTATACAAGTGACAATAAAAGACTTTATTCGAATGATATTTACCTGCTATTTTAGCTACCTACTAACTGTTTGTATTATAAGTAATTACGTATTATATTTTGCAGATGTCGTCCAAGCCGGTTGGATGATTCTAGTTTGAATAATGACAACCCGGTAACAGAAGAGGAAATAGGTGAAAAGTCTTGCGATGACCAAGCTGTGATAGTATACCGTGAAGAAGAGGATGTAATGGGCTCTTAGGAACCTCACCTACATTCCCATGCCTATGAATCATCTTATCTTCACCATTGAACCGAACAGATATACCCAAATCTCTCCTCTACATCTCCACGAATTGATCGTGCCGATCAAATGATCTCTTACTATTCGTGTCCGAGAAAAAGAATAAGATGGTACAAAAAAGTACTCTTTCACATGTTAGATGTTGCGCCATGGAACTCTTTCTTTTTATTCAAAAAATGAATAAAGAATAGTGACAAGAAATACGGATATGTAGAGAACAGAGACAGGTTGATAAAAAGTCTTACGAAACTTGATGATATACATATAATGTTTCGAAAAATGGCACTTAACTCTTAGTTCTAACACACACAAATAGTTTATCCTGTTTTCAAATATATTTCTTTACTGTTTACTAAATAAGACTAAACAAGATTTTAAGGTACATATTGTTTAAGAATTTAGAAAAACATACTGTGATCAATAAACTTATAAGTATTAAATTTGTAGGTTTTTTTTAGAAGTTTACACACTAATACACCTTTTCAGATCTATATGATATGACACATCGTCTTTTGGCGGCACCGTCCCTAGCCGAACTGTCATAGTACATTGTAAATTACTATTCATAATATGACGGTCCGCCTATAGGCGTTAACGTCTATGACCGTAATTGCCTTATCGCAAAACTAAAAAATAATGTAAATTGGCAATACGGCAATGGACGATATGTTAGAATGTAAGGAAATTTTGAATGTCATATCGTGAGACTAAAAAAAATTTAAGTGTCCCGGAACGTGTTAAATAAATACATACATATATAGTTTTGTTTTTACAAAAGAGTTAGGTGATGATTTTTTGCAAATTCTTTCTTAGCATTCTTTTATTTATATACTAGCGGACCCGACAGACGTTGTCCTGTCTACACGTCTTTAATTTGAAATTTTCAAACTTTTTTTAATAATTTGTTTGATGAAAATTATTATTCAAATTGTGAATCTAAACCATTCCCAGATCCCCTTGAACACACACAAAAAATTTCATCAAAATCGGTCCAGTCGTTTGAGAGAAGTTCAGTGACATACACACTCACAGAAGAATTATATATATATAAAGATTAATCGTATTTTTATATATAGACTATGGCTCGGGTTCGTCTCTAGGTTGATTCCCCATACAAACTATCATCCCAATTTCATCCCCTTAAGGCATGATTTCCGGGATAAAAAGTATCCTCAGTCCTTCCCAGAGTCTTAAACTATCTTCTTAAAAAAATCATCTAAATCGGTTCAGTAGATCCAGAGATTACAACGTCACAATCCCATAAACTCACAAACTTTACCTCTTTATAATATTAGTAGCGCAATTTTTTAAATTTTTTCTTTCATAAAAACCTTCTCCTGACAAAACAAATAAAACAAAAAAAAAGTTAAATCGGTCCAGCCGTTCACGCGTGATGGCGTGACCAAGGGAAATAGGGATTCATTTTTATATATATAGATTACATTTTCGAAATTTTTAAAGATATTTTAAGTAGTAGTTGCGTACTTACGAGGATGTTCAAATCTCTTAGGTAGGTTACAAGTAGCAAACTTATCGGAGGTTTTCAACTCTGGTGTTTTAATCTCTTGCTGCAGACATGCTTTATCTGTGCATGTTGCAGAACAATAGCCGGGCTGCATTTCCGACTGTGTTACGTTTTCAGATTTTACCGTCTCACTCATTATCTAAACAAATAAAAACATTAAAAATTAAAAAAGACAACCTTTCAATCTTTATAGACGTCTAAAGATAAACAACATGTTTCCTTGGTAATTTAACAACCTTGACGCGGCTAACATTCTTAATAGATTGAAATGAAAATCTTAGAAAAATAAAAAAGTAATGAAGATAAAATAATAATAAAAGCTGATAGACTTGGTACATCTATGTCTGTTTTTGAAATAGCAAAAAAGTAAATTTTATTTATTGTACCTATATAGCACAAGAATACCGCACAAGAAGTGTCCTATATGCCTATACATACATATGTAGGTATACGCCTTAGTACATATATAAAAACGGAGCAAGTAAAATAATGAATAAACTTATCAGCGTTGTAGACCTACTGAAATACACATTAGAAATTATCTAATGTAATACTTATACTAAATTAATTTGATTCACCAATATAATTTGTTATAAGAAATGATGATTGTAGACTGTGTAAATTTTCAATGCTTTAATTACTTTTTAATTAAAGTGATACAAAATTATTTATAGACTACTAGCGGCTCATTCTCGTTTCGCTCGGTTTCGTCCGTAGTGGAAAACAAATCTATCCCGTGCTTTTTTTTCAGAATAAAAAATAGCCTATTCGCTATTCCAGACTATATCTGTGCCAAATTTCATCCAGATCCGTTCAGTCGTGATTGAGTAACAAACATCCATCCATCCAAACTTACGCATTTATATATTAGTAAGATCTATGCATTAGGGCATAGTAATATAATGAAGACTTAGTTGCGCAAATGAAATCCTCAACATCCGGCACAGTACTAATATTATTAAGAGAAATAAGAAATATGAGAGTCACGAGGAAGATTCAAACCTGGAAGAGGTTGCCTGAAAAATCTTTTCTTTCCAAATGGACGAGCACAACCTATTTTCGCACTAGTTTTCCTTCCGCTGTTGAGCGGAAGCATTTATTGGTTCTCGTACGTTATTTTATAAACTATGTAAGTCAATCATGTTTAGACTTTTATTACCTATGAAAATTATTCAAATCTGTCGAAGGAAATATATACCATACAAGGAAGATATTTTTATTTCCCATATAATTCTGAATTTCTCTCTTCATTACGTCATTACGGGACCTTTCCTCAGGAGGCTGTGTTCATATTTGTGCTTACTAATGTTCTACTTATTAAGATGTGATAGGTGATAAGTGACAGGTGGACGAGGAGAGGCAATTTTGTTATACGGCAGTGTAACCGTAGGTTTTGGAAAAGATGTATAAAAGTAAGATTATAAATATCCATTCAAAGCCTTCATAGGTTTAGAAAGTAACGCCTGTAATTTATAGATTTGAAGAATACAATTATGTTTTGATTATATTTATTTAAAGCTAAATGATATATTTAAACTTTAGTTAGTGTACGTTTTCACTAAGTTCGTTTGGCATGCATTCAAATGAATATATTAACTCTTATCAGCAGTATCGCGACGAACAGACAACAAATGAGTGGGAGCCTATCAGGCGCCTCTTTATAACTATAGGATAGTTGGTTTTAATCGTCCTTCTTATTAACTCGCATTTAAACTATATTTAAAAATAAAATAAATAATTACAACATTTCAAAATAGAAATATTTATCTGTACATTACGTCAACGTGACAATATTTTATAATGAAAACTATCACAATTGATCAGCCAATAAACTTACAAGTTGTAAAGTTTGAATTAGATTTTTCTTCATTATACGAACCAAAATCAAAACCAGATAGAAAATGCAAGAAAATCAAAATACCAAAAGTAAACTGGAACAAGCAACAAAAAAAGATTCCACCACCTCCAATAAAAAATAATCAAAAGGTAATAAATATAATGTAAATTATATATCAGTGGCCCTCTCGAGCCTCGCTTAAACCCTAATTTCGTCCCACGTGCTGTGCTTCTGTGAATTTAATTGTATAAGAACCATTTATTGGACCACGATAAAAAGCCTACCTCTTTTTCCATGATAGACGAAGTACGTGCTAATTTAATAACCATAGGTTGAGACAATGACTTTAATGCAAAGAAACAAAAAGAAATAAACATATTTTCATGTTTATATTAGTAAGGACAGATATTTTATCAGTTCAACTTCTAACTTTTATTTGTTAACCCAAGAAGTAGCAACTAAATTTAATTTACAGAAACGAGACACCAAAGACCTCATTGAAGATCTATTGAGCGAAATTTACGCGGATCGCTATGACTGGAGCAATAACAGCGGCATTGAATTTAGTCAAGGGTAATATTATTATTAAATAATAATTCAAGAAACTGAAATATTTTCCATAAACTTAGTATCTAATTAAACATTTTGTATACAGGTCTACAGCTGCAGCATCCATTACATCATCACATTCAGTTTGCAGAGAACGAACAGATGCTATTGAACGTAGTTATTTAGAATCATTAGGTAATTATTATACCAACTAAGGTAACAAACTATTTATATTAAAGTTTTCCACGCGGTTTCACTACGCTGGCTTAATTTTTATCAGTAGCAATTATTTCAAGTTAATACAGGCAGCGGATACTTTTGCAAAGTAAAATTGTATTTTAAACGCACATAAAACCTTATTTTCTCGATAAAATTGTATAAGATTTGTTAATATATAATTGAATAATTATAATAGCATATTGGGAAAATTGGCAAATACAGACTTTTAAGACAATAACTCACACAGAGAGACAATTTTTTTTTTTTTTGGGTTTAATTATTATCGGCCGGAGCCAATAATTTAAAATAGACAAATAATACTTCTTCCTTTAACTATACAAGTAGGAAACAAAAATAGAAAAGATAAAAAATTAAAACTATATTACATTTGAACAAATAATTGTTAATTACTATTAAACATTTGTTAGATGTACAAGATCTCCGCGAACAAGATATTGAATGGAAAAATAGTTTGCAAAGAACAGGCGAACGATTAGCAAGATCTTTACGGATACGAGATCGACTTTATCGACAACAAAAGAAACTTTGTGCGGCATTCACAGTGCTCCTCCGTCATATAAGTATGTATGCTACGTTCACAAAATGTGATTGTGTATATTAGTATGTAGTAGTAATTGTAACGGTTTTTTTAATGTTGTAACAAAATTCCTTACTTTTTCATTTGCATAATATGTATCACCTAACTGGATATGAATTACAAATATTAACGTGTATATTTCTAGCAATTATTTACCAAAAACTTTCTAATCTTCTTTATAATCGTAAAGCTATCTTAGGCTATTACTGTACTAGGTATTTATGAATAAAGAATCAGACGCCACGCTTTCATTGAGGGGCTTAAAATAACGCTACGCACATCAAAGTATCTAGACACAGGGTGCTTTTTACAATATCCTTGTTCTGTAACTGACGTACACAATGGCATCAAATCAATAGACAACACACACAGATAAAAGTCCTCTCGCTCAACTGCGCATGCTCTAACCAGGCATCTACCGCGACACGCTATCGGCATTCTAACCAATTTTGTCTTTGCTGGTATCCGGGCATCGATTTAAAATAAAACTCATTGCGATGAAGTAGTAGAGGGTGAGCAGCCCCACTACTCGGGTTTGCGACTTGCCCAGTAAACATCGTATCAGCTGGTCGACCACGCAATATTTGATGTTTTAAAGATATGACATACTTAAAATATCGTAATGTTTTTTCAATATTATGTTCATCCATAAGTGTTATATTAAAGAAACTTACATACCAGAAATAAATATGTGCTAACAAAATTATGTTACCCGACGACTCTGTGTTTAGTGCAGTTTAAAATTATGCATTTGATATCAAATGTACACTTTGTACAAGACAGATGAGTGCTATTTTGAACTCTCTCAGGAACTTGGCAAGTTCTGCAAGGACTGCCTCAGGTACAATTTATGAAAAATATTTAATTTATATAAACGTATTACATACATATAAGAGTAGTGTAATTAACTTATAACTCTTTGCCGTAATTTAATATTTGTATTTCTTATACATTTGTTCACTTCCTATAATAATTAATTAATTAAATTAGTGACAGGACGGATAAATTGATACCACTTACGCAATGCGAAGGCATTAATGCATTTTAAAGACAAAATCCCTATAAAGAATACCAAAATATTTATAACTTATACCTATACATTATTTTCACTAAAGCATTTAAATTTCGGTCCTCGAATCTCGATAAATCTCATTAAAATGACATCTTTTAACAGTCATTATCACGTGCTAAGTGTATAATGGGGCTATTATATACTTTAGTTCAGTTTTATATGTATTGATTGTAATGTTAGCTGGAGATACAAGTGCTCGTTTCGGAGTTACTCCTGGTAACGAGGGCCCCGGCGAGGGCGGTTTCGCGGAGTGGCTGCACGCCATGCGCCTCGTCGCGCGCCTTCCCGCCGGGGTACCGCAACATTTTCGTAGAAAGGTAAGAATATAAAATACCCATACAGAGTATTTATAAATAATAGCCTGTCGTTGTAATAAGAATCCGCTGTAAGTAAACAATAGCTGTTTATTCTTTGGGGGTTCTAATTCAAATGGGATGTGCCATTTTCGAATATTATATTATAATTGTTACCATTACATATTACAAAATATTATTTATGTGATAGTTTGAGTTAAACTCGTATTCATTATATTGTATGTAAACAGATTTTATATTGTGCTATTAATTATCATCTAGATTACACTGTTATCATTTATCAACACTACTTTATAGGTCTCAGATATTTTTAGTAGAGAGTTTCCTTTCACAAACTTAATTAACACCTCCAAGTAAATTTCTAAGAAATTAATTAAATTTCTAAGAAATCTATTGTTAACTGTACGCCGGCGTGTCCGCGGTCGTGGAGGAAATACAGTTTATTTGACATTGTTTACCTGTGCCCTGAAACACAAAGTATACTTAGATATTTTTTTGTTAACATAATTTAATAAACACTTCAACTTTAGTGAAATACTTAGTGTAATTAGAATATTTTACTTAAAAACAAAAATATTTGCCAAATTTTCACACATAGGTAAATGTGTTTATAAAAATGTATTTAGTAGAACAGAGCATTATTGTTGCCATGACATCACTCGTTAATAAGAATTTCAATGACATTTTCAGCTATGGCTGACACTAGCAGATCGGCACTTGACCGCACGGGGCATCGACTGGCCGGTCGCCGAACGTGCCTGCTTCCGAGGGACAGCGCAGCCCGATGATACTGAACTTAGCGCTCAGATCCTCAAGGTATATATTCGTCTAATTACGGAATTGACTTAGAACAACGAACTTCAATACTTACGAGCTTAGCTTGTTATGAATTTTTTTACTAAAATAAAATTTGGGATATTTTCTATGGAATAATTACAGGATCTACATCGCACGGGATGTTCTCTTTTTTGTGGAGCAGAAGGCCGCGAAAATCAAGCGATGCTACGAAGAGTATTATTAGCTTACGCCAGGTACGAATTTTCTTATTTATTAGTATATATCTACTTATAATTAAACTTTAAATAACTTTAATATAAATTTATTTTCAGATGGAATAAGGACGTTGGCTATTGTCAAGGTTTCAATATGTTAGCTGCTATCATATTAGAAGTAATGGAGAAATCTGAATCGGATTCACTAAAAGTATATTATTATTGAGTACCTGTAGTATGATCTGCTCTTCATTCGTGCAATAATTATATTAAGTTTGTTTCTAACGTTACAGGTAATGATATATCTAGTGGAAGCTGTATTACCTGAAGGTTATTTCGCTGACGATCTCAGAGGATTATCAGCGGACATGGCCGCCTTTAGAGACTTATTACGATTAAGGCTTCCTCGACTAGCTCAACATATGGATAATTTACAAAGAATATCTGATGGTATAAATCTAAATATTTATATTATATTCAAAAAAATATTTTTGAATTTTCTATAAAGATTATTACAAAAACATATTACCGAAAATTACATTATTTATTACAATAATTATGCTTTTATCATAGGAGGCGGCGTTGAACCACCTTTACCAGACGTGTTCACTATGCAATGGTTTCTCACGTTGTACGCAACGTGGTTGCCTCGAGAGTCCTTGCTAAGGATCTGGGACTTAATTTTACTTGACGGTAACGAGATCCTGTTACTCACCGCGTTAGCCATCTGGGATATGCTCGAAGAGTATGTCTGACATTTGTTATTGTTTATAATATAAATAAATTTATCATTTGTTTTACGACAAATAATTAATTAGCCTCGATCATACGAACTAAGTATTTCACGTCTTTATAAAAGTTTGCCGCTAAACTTTTCGGTCTTACCTATTTTACCTATAAGGTAAACAAGTATCATTTAAATATTATATAAAGTTTATTAATTATATGAAGTTTATTATTTTAAAAAGAGAGTCCTTTTCAAATAATTATAAAAACTTATATAAAGTATTAAACATTTTTAAAATGTATTTTTGTTTTAGCCGCATTCTCTCAGCGAGGTCCGCGGATGAGTTCTACAGTTGTATGGGTGGTGGTGTCGGCGCTGTATGGGAAGCAGGCGAAGCGTTAGTTGCTAGAGTAGTCGCTTTTAACTCTGTGCCGGAACTACCGCGTCTCCGCAGCTTACACAGATATAGAGTAACGCCACCAGCTCCTCCAAATGCCCCTTCAGTACATCCTCCTTTGCAATCAGCGGTAAGAAATAACGCATTCAGATTTTATAAATACTTAAAAATATATAAATATGAGAAAACAGATTTTCTTATTGCTCTTGAGCCTAGATTCTAAATTTTTTAACAATTGTAGTTATATTGTTTATTCGTATGATAAATCATACAATGTTTTGTTAGAAATAATTGAGGTTACCAAAATAAAATTAGTATTAAACAAATAAATTTATTAGTATACATTTTTTTAATATCTATAACTTTCTATTACTTTTAAAAATAAAAAATATTTCTAGATGCAATCAATGACGAAGCGGGGCTTACGACTCTTCTATTCTGAAGATGAAGGAGATTCCAGTGATGATGGAAATAAAATGGCTTTAGCTACGGTAATTAGAAAGAAAATAGATTTTTTGAATTACAGTAACAACAACAAAAATTTACCTTTTTAAAACTAAACACATTACAATGTTTAATTTTTGAAAAAGTAAATTGATATTTCGACTAAAGGCTCCATCAATTCATTCAACCAGATTTCGCATTTTTAAATAATATTAAATTTCTTGTAAATTATTTTTTATAGACTATTAGGTAACTGGTTTGTGTGTAAGTTTTTTTCATAACCTACAACAGCAAATCAATAAAATATCAAGTGATCATCAAAACACAAGTTGCTAATAATAGTAAACATGTCGCAAATATATGTATGTATACATATTACATATATCTAATCTCGTCTAAATTTACTCACGCATTAGTTTTTGCTATTTTACATGCGCTTATTTTATTATGCGCTCTTATACCAAACTAAACAATATGCAAATTTCATAATTTTACCAAATGGTAAAGCTTTGATAAGAGGTATAACGAATAAAATTACTCAATGACTGCTTAAAATTAACTAAATGAACTTTAACTTAGGTTATACCTAGACGAGAAGATCGTTCAGGAGCTGGTGATAGATTGTCTTTAGATATTGGGGCACTAAAAAGACAATACGCTCGATTGCGAGAACGTCAACGTCAAGCACATGTCATCTTAGCAGCAGCATGTGCGCGACATGCAGCAGGTAAGATTTTACATAATTAATCTTAAATATGATATTAATTTACTTCTATGTAAGTACTTTCCTCTTTGGATGCCTTCCTTATGGAGATATAGGAGATAAAGTCTCCTCAGCCATCTCTTGGAGAGGTTTTATAATACATAAATAATAGATATGTATAAGAGTATATACACGCCAATTTCTTTTACTTTCATACAAAATTTTTGGTTGGCACATTCCAACTAGACCGGAGAAAGACAATTAAGATAGTTATACATCAAAGCATATTAACGTCAAAACAAATTCTAACACGTCATTATACACAAACGATCAATGAGATACAGCTTTATTGCGGCAATTGTGTATGTTAATAATATGTATATAATAATATTAAATATACTTTTCAAAAATTCTTTTTTGTTACAGTTGTAACTATGCCCTTTGTTACAGTTGGTGTACCTACTTCTCCAACCTCACTTACAGTAAACAATTTACTATTGGGGAAGAGCGCCATTGTTAGTTCTAGAGGACGGAGACTTGGACCCCCACCGGGCGCAGTACCACCATCACGACAAACAACTCCAACAATTCAAGACAAATCAGAACAGCGTATTTGTAAAGATGTAAATGATACTATCAGTTGGGAAGAAGAGAAAAGTCGGAAATATCAAAATAGAAGAAATTCGGTAAAATGGAAAGATATAAAAAAAGAAAAAGCTCTTGATATTGCGCGAAAAGCTTCGATTGATTTAGATGAAACGGGAGACGGTATCATTGTGTCAGAATTAGAAGCCAATGCAATGATAGCCTCTATGCGATCTCGCAGCTCTAGTGAGACCTCGTCCTATTCTTCGCGTTCGGAATCTAGTACTGATACTAGTTTGTGCGATGAAAACGAAAAGGCGAGTGATTCAGACCATGATTTATCTACTGATGACAAAGTTAAAAATACAAAAAATGTACTACCAAAATCTACCACGTATAAAGATATACCACATACCATACCACAAAGTATAAAGAAAGTAAATAAGGATTCTTCCTTCGAGAAACTGCTGTCTCCTAATAAAAGAAAAAAATTAAAGGAAAAAGTAGATATTTCTGAATATCTCGATTCGGCTGCTGGTGAATCATTACGTGTTTATATTGACGGTTTTGAGATGAAATTAAAAGAACGTGAAGATAGCAGTAATGACAAAAAGGTGTTCAGTGCTGCAAGTCCTCAAAAAGACATTGCCCATTCTAAATTACAATTTGATAAAAAATATACCTTTCTTTCATCTGAAACCGAAGATATCAAAAATCAAATAAATTCCAAAAACTCAATTCCTTCCAAATTGGCAAGTTACAAATCAATCAAAACATCACCTTGTCATTGCGTTTTAGATTTTGAACCATTATATAAGGATGTAGCCGTAAGACGATCATCGACGTCGAATCTGGATAAAACTATAAGGCCTCTTGATATCATTGACACAATGACAATGAATCCTAATTTTGTTCCTGATATTGATCTATCTGAAAGATATGAAAGTCCATTAAGAAGTCCTGGTTCAGATAGTGTAATTATTAGTGAAGATGAACCTCCTATTCCTCTGAAAATCGATAAATATTTTGAGCATAGCCCAGAATTTTTTGGAGCAAGATTATCAGATCCTAATAATTTAGAAATTCCAAGTCGACGTGCTACAAAAAGAAATTCAAGATTACCAAAAAAACCAGATTCATTAACACTTCAAAGCAATAATAATGAGAGGAGTTTAAAAAATGAAGTGGAACGTGCATCCTCATTACCGCAAAGTCATAGTTTTATATGTATAAAATCTGAAAGTCCAGATGTAAGGGAAAAGAAAAACGACGTAAATTTTCACGACTCTAAAGATAATAAATACATAAATACACAAAATAATATTAAAAAAAAATCAGAGCATACAGAAAATATAAGTATAGAAGAATCACCAGGAAAAGATATTTCCACTTGTAAAGATTACATGTTACGATCAGGTCGTAAAAACAGTGAAAGAGCACTACAGATAATTCAAGAAAACTCTCAAATACTAAGTCGAATTTTAACAAAGCAGAATGTTGCATTGTCTAATAATAACCAACAAGGGAAGAAAAATTTACCAGAAAATATATCTTCAGATAAAAGGTATATAGTTGACATGACTCCTCCGAAAATTTCAGAAACAAAATTACTTAATTCTCCTTTACTTAAAGAATCAACATCAGATTCACTAATTGGTAATATAAAGAGAGTAACGAAAGATGTAACAACGGATAAAAGTGATATTTTGAAGGCCAGACCAATTTCCATCGATGATCCGTTTTCTTTTGAAGCTCGTAACTCTTCGATGGGAAGTGAGGAATTTTCTTTTAAAAATATTAAAACACCGAGTATTGAATGTCTGGGTAATAAAACAGATTTGTATGGATGGGAAAATAAGGGATTTTTAGCGAAATGCGATTATATAAGCAGCTCAAAAGTTCGATCTGAAAATCTATGTGATGAGATGAAAAACAAAAGTACTGATACTTCCATAACAAACGAAAAACAATCTAAAAATAGAAGACCAACATCAGATGAATGGTCACGATATTCAATTTCAAGCGAGTCCAAGGTATCCGTCACGTTGCCTTCTTCAGAATTAAAAGATAGTTCCACATATGAGCGGCGATTTACTTCTGATGATTTTAATTATCCACTTTCAAACTCCACAAAATACAATGAATCAATGTTAACAAAAGCGAATGATGTATGTAATAGAGCCATGGATCAAAGTCCAAAACTATACGAAAATTTGGTTAAAACAGAAAATAGTTCCTACAGTGACTTTTCCCATAGAGTGACGTCGTCTATTAGTTTTACTTGTGAACCTACTCTAGACGATGATTCTCCAATGGGTGCAAAAAGTAATTCTAGTGATACGTTATGCCAAATCACATCATTAGATCAAATTTCAACACCAATGTCACCAAAAATGTTTCCAAATCGAGAAACGCCGACATTACCAAGAGACTCTATGGACATTAGTGATAAAACGAAGATTGACTCTGATGATACTTGCAGTGCAATCACGTCTCTTTTAGAAACAGATACATTATCTTCTTTGTCGTATCCGAGGAGTCCATCTACAGGTTCCTACCATCCATTTCCTACAAGACCAGCGATGCGATTGCCTAAAGATCTCGGAGTACGATTAGGTATGTACCCTAAAGAAACGATTAATTCTCCACAGAAGTAAATGCAATTTAAACAAAAATTTAGTTGGATATTAAAATGTTATTGAAAGTATAATTTTAAATACTGTTTTATACGTATTTTGTTGTACTTTGTCTTATTTTGTATTTAGATATAATGCAATTTTTTGGAATATTTATTTTAATAATAGATATAATTAATGACCATCCAATGTTGGATGAAATGAAAAAAATATATAACCATTTCATTGTAATTTAAATAAAGCCTTTAAAGGATGTTAATAAAAAAATGATTGCTTAATGGTTAAAATGAAATCCAATATGCTTCGTATTTAAATTCCATGCATAAATATATAAATAACTATTTAAAAACTGAAGCAACGTGAGCTTTACTAAATAATGTAGAAAATTGAAACAAACTCGATGCCTTGATCCACTTTTAATGGTAGGTACGGAAAATTTGCGCAAAAGAAATATTTATTACATAAATAAAATAAAAATAATGCATTTGAAGTCAATAGTCATGGCAATTAATAAATTAATACGGAACTAGAGAAATTAAGTAAATAAATTATATCCACGATATAATAGAAAGAAAAACTGTTATTTAAAGATAATAATATTTATTCTACGACAATATTGAAAAATTAAATACATTATGTGATTGCAGTAAAAGTTTTTTATTCATTCATTCATTTTTATTTTATCTTACATATTAAGCTTATATTAAACTAATGCATAAAAATTAAAAATCATAATAATAAAAAACTTAACAAGTCATTATTACAATTTTTATGAGCTAATAGATTCAAAAGTCGTCAAGCACGGGTGGGCAAGTGCAGACTAGGTGCTTGTCTCCGTACATATCATCGATGCGACTCACTGTTGGCCAGATCTTGGTCTCTCCTTTGACGAACGGCTTTAAAGTACAAAAAAATACATTTAATCACCTTTAATTGTATGAGGTATGTATGATATGGACTATATAGACATTAGACAAGTATGAATTTTCAGTATAAAGTTATTTTATAAAATATTAAATTTTTAAGTAAATCTTAAGTTAGATACTTCATTTTCAAGGTTGATAACAAGAAATATATAATATTTTGTATATAATATATTTTTTTACCGCTGGGAATGCTGCTTGCTCTCTAGTATACGGACGATTCCAATCTTCACTTATAACTTCGGCTTGCGGATGTGGCGCCATCTGGTGAATTTAAAACTCTTATTAATTAAAATCAGTCTTGTTTATATAGCATTATTGTTCTATTAGGTGTAGATCTGAAGACGATTACGAAAACTCACTTAATTATCATCGTTGTAACTTAATTATGGTGCCACACGAATGTTTTAATAGTTTTTTTATTATTTAGGCATTGTCTAGAAATTTGTCGTTTTAACTTTATATTAAAAATGTATATTAAATTTAATATTGAATTAAATTTAATATACATTAAATGTAATATTGAATTAGATATTGATATTATTGGCTTGTAAAATACATTATTAACGCTTTCCCATCTTTGAAACTCTACCACTACTAACAGAACCTAAGAGAATTAAAAAATAAATATAAATAAGAGGAACAACAAAAAGTCTATTACCAATTTTTTTTTATATAAAAACCAAGTCCATATCGTGATCATTTTATTTAAAGTTCATTATTACATAGTCAATCCTCAATATCAATAAAAATTGCGAAGAAATGTTACCTTCAAAGGATTAAGTCTTTTATCCATAACACCGTCTTCGATTTCCTTAATTTCTTTTCTTATAGCAATCAGCGCTTCACAAAATCGATCAAGTTCTTGCAGGTCTTCAGACTCTGTAGGCTCAATCATAAGTGTACCGGCCACAGGCCAGGACATCGTAGGTGCATGGAAACCTATGAAAAATAAAAGTATTTTATTTATATATCTAAGCTAACATCAGAAAGATTTAAAGAAACAAAACTACGGTACGATTCATGACTATTATAACAAAAATGATTGAAAATAGATTATACGAAATGTATGTTGGTGTTATTTAATCTATATATTATTACATGAAGCAAAAACCTTGTACCCTTTTTACATATAGAAGGAGTGCAGAATTCTATATTTTTTTTTAATTATGCATAAAAATACATTAAATCATTAAAAAAACATTACACACACTACCATGTATTTGACACACACGCATATATACTCTTATGTTTATTGTTAAAATCTACGGTCAAATTGAGAATTATGTATTAATACGTGAAGCAAGAACTTTGTATCCCTTTTTAAGAAAAATCTATAATAATCATGGTCGAAGTTCGACCACTCAGCGAACTCTAGTACACTTAATTCTTCATTCATAAACCCAAAGTACTAACCAAAGTCCATCAAACGCTTAGCTATATCACCGGGTTCTATATTGGCTGTTTTCTTGAGGTCTCTCACGTCTATAATAAATTCATGTGCAACCAGTCCTCTCTCGCCTTTGTACAAAGTTTTGTAGTAGCCATCTAACCTCCGAGACATATAATTAGCATTTAGAATTGCCACTTGCGTCGCTCGTTTCAAGCCTTTTGGTCCCATCATCTGCATAAATTATGTATGACTGGGTTAAAGGTCGTTAAAGCTATTATAAATAAGAAGCTTATTATTGATTTGTTATGCTGTAAATTTCAGTTGGACACAATAGTCTTTTATAATATTAATGATACTACGTTCAATGCCATAAATATCTCTAAAGATAAATATACTAATGGGAACTTGTTATTTGAGCGATAAAATATTTAAGATAACTTACTTTTATATAAGCCCAGGAGATTGGCAAAATGGCAGAAGATCCGAAAGGCGCGGCACTAACAGAGCCAAAGCTATGCGCCTCATCACCGAGATCGGCAAGAGGGTTGATAACGGGATGTGACGGTAGGAACGGTGCTAAGTGGGCTTTACTACGAGATGGAATAATAATGTATACAGTATAAGCAAAATAAACGTATGCACACACAAATCACAAAGAAACAAAGTTGTTATGGCTATAATATCTTGAAATCAATTGTCTCGATAAATTATAATTAATTGTATTTTGCAATTATATATTTGCTGTTATACCTACTGGAATTGCATTTAGTCCAGGTACACAAGTTATTGGTTAATAATTTTATGTACTATTTCTGATTCGTCTTAATTCTAATAAAATACTTACACTCCAATTGGTCCCATTCCGGGGCCACCTCCACCATGAGGTATACAGAAGGTTTTATGCAAATTCAAGTGTGATACATCGCTGCCGTAATCTCCAGGACGACACAGACCAACCTGAAATAAATTTATTATATTATATTACAAATCATTATAAATTCATAATGATAAAACGTAATCACCAATATTTTAAAAATAAAATCATGTAGAACTACTTTCATAACGTCAGCTTTTCAAAATAAATAGATTTCAGTAAATCAGTGCAAACTAAGTAGAAATTAATACGTTTTTCGACATCTCTCCTTGTTTTGAAGTTATAATTACTTTAAAGTACCTACTTGAGGTGTGTGTAAAGTTACAAGTGCCTGATTAACATTTTAATGTATGACAAATAAGGTGTTTAGATATTTTATATAGAATTAGATGAATTATATAGAATTAGATGTTACATAAATGTTATTTGTTCCCTCCGTCCAACTAGCAAAATTAAAATAAAAAATCATTAAAACAATTTCCTACAGATATAAATTCAATTTTAATATAAATATACCTGAGCGTTCATATTGGCTCCATCCAAGTAGACCTGTCCGCCGTGGGCGTGCACCAGCGCGCACACATCCGCCGCGCGCTCTTCGAACACTCCGAACGTACTTGGATACGTTAACATGAGGCACGAAATATTCTCACTGTGCTCTTCAACCTATAAAATTTACATTTTTTTATATTTGCACTATGACTGTACTTTCTAAGTTGAACAATGAAAGGACGAATCAATGCTTTTACAAATAACAGGCAAAAATAAAATAGACAGGCAAAAACTTAAAATATCATACATTTGTAATAGGTGCTCCGAACTGATTTTAAGAGAATACGAGAGTAAAATAGTTTTTGACTAAACTCAGCTTAAATTTTAATTCATGGGCTCCTTTTTACTTTTGGTTCGCTAATCTCACGTTTATTGCATGTGACGAAAATTGACGAATTTTAAATTATTGATATTTAGTTTACCTTATCCTTAAGGTGTTCCATGTCTATATCGCCAGAGGGGGTGACTCTAATGGCACAGACGCGCATGCCGGCCATGTGCGCGGAGGCCGGGTTAGTGCCGTGGGCGCTCACGGGGATCAAGCAAATGTTCCTGCGAGAATCGCCTCTGAACTCGTGGTACCGTTTAATTGTCCTAAGTCCAGCGTACTCACCTTGAGCCCCGCTGGAAAACATGTGCTTAATAAAATAACAGCATTTGCCAAGTCTAACAACTGGGTTTTCCATATTGAAGTATGGAAAATTTACGTTCTATCGTCTATATTGGACATACTAGGTAGATAAATATATTTTTTCTTTGCAAGGATAATATAGTTTATTGTTATGCTAAAATTAACATGTGCTTCATTTTTTTATATTACTATCTACCTTTGCAATTTATTAAATTTGTAAGCAAAATTTTATATAACATTACCTCACCGTTGCAAAAACTCAGAATTTTACTATCATCTAAATAAAAATATAATATACCTATTAGGTTGAAAAGAAACACGATCATAGCCAGTGATAGCACAAAGGTCCCTTGCAAGCTCTTCAAACAAGGTGTGGTAACCTTGACATTGGTCTAGTGGCGCGAATGGGTGGATGTCAGTAAAGTGCTTAAATGAGCATGGCATCATCTCTGTTGTTGAGTTTAGTTTCATTGTACAGGAACCCTGTAAAACGTAAAATAATTGTATAAATTGATAAGGTTGTTAAAATTTTTTGTGCAAGATCTCTTCATGGTTCATTAATTTCATGGTTAAGTCCGACGACTTATTAATCCGTTTCCTTCCAGTCGGTTGGTTGGTCTTTATTCCTAAACGTATTTACTTATTTAATGAAGGTTGGAACTCACCAACGGTATCATGGAATGGACAAGTGAAACGTCCTTGTTTTCTAATCGTTTCATGTATCGCACTATACTGGTTTCAGAATGGTGCATGTTAAAAACGGGATGCGTTAAATACGAAGATGTTCGATGAAAAGGCCCTTTTAAAATACTACGTGATCTAACGTCGCCGCTCTCCAATACCTGTTGAAAGAGATTTATATGTTAGTACATTATGTTACTGGCAATATTCATTTTTACACACTTATCTTTAAATAGTGTAAATCTAAATGATTCTTACAATTTATACATATACTAAAAGTGTAACTAAGCCGAATCTGTACATTAAATATTTTTTTGGAAAATCTTATTGAAATAAACATTTATCGATACAGAGGTCGAATCTATAGTTTTTAGAATTTTTGTCTGCCTGTCTGTCTGTTACCGCATCACAGAAAAACCAATGGAGGGATTTTGATGTAATATGGTATGACGATAGCTGGTTATCCAGGTCAACACATAGGATACTTTTTACCGCGGGAAAATGTCTCATTTCTGAGAAAAAATACAAAAACTGCAATGTAAGAGTACACTAATATGTAAAATCTAAGAATTTGGTTTTTGGTCAACTGAAAGCGAATGGAGCCGCGAGCAATGCTAGTTTTATGCATAAAAATCTGCCAAATTCCAGTAAAATGAAGAATTGTCGCAAATTTGTATAATTTTATTTATATTAATGTTTTATTACCTCGTTAACCTTATCGCAGTCAAAAATCCATAGCAAATCTTCAACATCCTGCATAGTTGTTGTTTCATCCAACGCCACTCCGATTGCACCATCGTCAAAATATCTTAAATTGATCTTCTTTTCATGTGCACGCGCCTTTATTGCAGAAGCATCATGCTCCGAGACCGGTACGATGTGTAGAGTATCGAAATAAACGTCATTAGATTGTTTGTGGCCACGTTTTCTTATTCCTAATTAAGAAAATAACATATCAAATATGAATTCTTACTCTTTTCCAAAATTGTAAAGATGTGATGGTTTATGTAACTATTTACATGAACATAGTTTGACCAGAAAATAATGGCTACTTTTTATTCCGATATTAATATTTAGTAGTTGATTCGGGATATTGATTTGCTATAATAAAATCACGTTATAATAAAAATCAGACTAAAACATTCCAATTTATAATAACAATACAAAATACACATATTTTATTCCCACCAAATAACTTACCATGATCAAGTACAAGTGTTGCATTATGGACTCTAGTGGCTATATCTCTCAGGCCCTGTGGTCCATGGTATACTGCATACATTGCAGACATGTTTGCTAAAAGAGCCTGTGCCGTGCAAATATTTGATGTTGCTTTATCGCGACGTATGTGTTGTTCTCTCGTTTGTAACGCTAACCTGCAATTAAATAATTTAATACATGAATATATAACATACATATAAAGGTAAAAATAAGGTAAAATTTAATTTACTGTTACCGATTTTCTATTAACAATTTCAACTTCTTTCGCGAAGTTCAAGTTTCTAACCTGTAAGCATCTCGTCCAGCTGCATCTCTAGTGACTCCAACCATACGGCCTGGCATTAGCCTTACCAAAGGATTCTGAGCAGCAAAGAATCCAGCGTGAGGACCTCCATAGCCTAATGGAACGCCGAGCCTCTGTGAAGTTCCCACAGCCAACGCTGCGCCGCATTCCGCTGGTGGACGAAGTAATGCTAGTGCAAGAAGATCTGTAGCAACTACTACTAATGTCTACAATAAAAATAAGTGTCTCAGGTCAGGATTACGTTAATAAATAGCGTAATTAAGTTTAATATGAGTTTTTTTTTAAATGAATAGATACATTTGCATATAGCAAGGACAGTGGAAGCAATATTTAAAATTTAAAACAACGAAAATAATATAGAATTTTCCTTTATTTAGTAAAAACATGTTTTTTTTTAATTTTTAACATATAAATAAATTTGATGTGTCTGTTTATGGAATTTATATTATTATAAATGCTAGGTTCTTTTAAAGTTATGTAATTTTCTATAAAGAAAACAGACATGCCTAAACACGGGTATCATAGAGTGACTAAATATAATTTAACTAACCCCATGTTCTTGGGCGGCCGCGGCTAATCCAGAATAATCATAAACTAATCCTTTGGTATCTGGACACTGTAGTAGAACTGCCGATATGTCCCTCTGCGCAAAGTCTACTTGCCCTACATCCGAAACCACATTAACTTCCAATCCAAGAGCGTCCAAACGCGTATTAACTACTGACAAGGTTTGCGGATGTAGTTGTTCTGGTACTACAAATTTCATCCGTTTGTTGTGCCTAAAATTAAAATAAATCAAAATTAAAAAACCCAACCACTGTTAGTAATAAAATTTACAAAAATAGGACACTGTAATTGTGTAAATTACATTATAATTTGATGATGATGATGATGATGTTCTCCTAGCCCATTCCGGCCACGGCGGCCAATCTCATTGAGACTAGCCAACTGCGCAGGAGATATTATAGTGCTCAAGTGTACGCGCAGACACAAGTGCACTCTCTATTCCTGTCACTCTCATACTCCGGTGGGACGACTGCTCGACACGACCAGTGAGAGTTAAGGCGCAGGACCGACGGCTTTACGTGCTCTCCGAGGCACGGGGGTGAACCACCGCCAACTTCCCAACTTCGGGCTGTTACTGAGACTTACCTACTATACAGAAAGACTCAATAACTAAACTTGGCCCGACCCGGGACTTGAACCCAGGACCTCCGAGTGTGCAGCCGTACATGCTAGCCAATACACCACCGAGGCAGTTTACATCATACATTATAATATATACAAATAGCATCTAGAGACGCATTCGAGCAAAGCGAGGGTAAGTTGGTAAGCTACTCGTTGTAGTATAAACATAAAATAGTTATAATAGAGAATTTTAAAAACATCAATAATGTAAAGTAGATGAAATAAGATTTAAATGCCCAATAAATACAATTGTGTAATATATTTACCTGTGGCATAATGATAGAGCTTCCGCGGCGGCTGTCCCCTCATCTAATAGAGATGCATTTGCTACATCCAAACCCGTTAAATCACTCACCATCGTTTGGTAATTCAATAAACCTTCTAACCGACCTTGTGCGACTTCCGGTTGATAAGGAGTATATTGTGTGGTCCTGAAATAAAAATAAAATACAACAATTACTAGATTATGTTATGTTTAATTATCTAAATATTCACTTATAACTTTGATGATTGTTCTAATTTTACCAAATAATATGAACTAAAAATTATACTTATACCAAAATTGAGAAAGTCATTACCATCCAGGATTTTCAAACATATTTCTCATAATAGAGTGAGGGACACAGCAATTATGATAACCCATGCCAATGTACGACCGCCAAATCTGATTCTTTTCTGCTATTTTACTCACCCTTTTGATAAGATCATATTCACCTGAAAAGTATATTATTTATATTCTTTATATTAAGATGCAGTATTTAGTGCTTAATTTTTATTAACATTTTTATGTTTATCTATGATTTTTTGTATTAATCGATACTCACTAATGGGGTCGCTAATATCCATTAGTCCATTGAATTTAATTTGTTTAGGAACAGCATCATTAGTTAATTGTTCTAAACTCTGAAATATAAGTCAAGGCATAATATTGGGAAAACTAACAAATCGGCAGATACAGAAAATTTACAGTTATAAATGTTTTTAAATGTTTTGGGACATTAACACACAGCACCATCTAGTTCCATGGTAAGCTACGAGGCTTGTGTTATGGATACCAGATAGTTGATACACTACACATATATAACTTTAAATACATACATGTTATAAATATAAACACCCATGACTAGAGTACAAACATTCGTGCTTATCACACCAATGAATGCCCCTAGCGGGACTCGAACCCGCGACCGCTGGCGCAGTAAGTACTACACTACACTACAAACTGAACCAAACATGTCGTCAAACACAGTACATACAGTTATTTGTTTACATGTGTGATAAGAAAGTATTGTCATTATATAATTTTTGCGATATTTGATATTTGGGGCGGTCGGACTGCAACGGAAAGTGAATGAATAATCGAAAATAAAAATTAGCTTGTAACAACAGTTTTTATAAAAAAAACCTTTAACGAAGAAACATGGTGTAATTGCTACCCAGGGCCGGATTCAACTTTAGCGCCGCCTCTGGGCGTAGTAAAAAATTATCGAAATTATCGAAATTTTACAGAAAATGGGTAAAGTTTTGATTAAGTTTAATTGTTTTTAATTATTAATATTTTGAAAAACGCAAGAAAAATTATAAATGATGTAAATTTTTCGAAAAATTCACGTACTAGTTAATATATTTTTTTATTTTTCATTTTTTGAAAAATAAACAAAGCATTTTCGATAACGCAAAGAAAATTTTTAACCGGAAAATATCCGGAACAAACAGACAGACAGACAGACAAAAAAATGTGTTTTTCTTATACGTACCGTATATAATTTCATGTGCATTTACGCTGTTATTTTGACATGACAAATAGACACTTCAATTTTATTTATCTCTATGTATAGATAGTAAAAATAATACATAATATGAAACCTTTAGATTTTAAGATATTTAACATTTTCCTCAGATATAATTTTAAAGCCAATCGTCACTCGTCGTTACTAATTTACTAAAAGTTTATACGTTTATATATCTTTTCAATAAGGTGACTTATTAAATTTAAAAATATATTTAATCCTTTGACTCTGTCACCGAATTAACTGTTAAAAACAAAGCAAAGATATTCATGAAAAAATTTTTTAACTAACATACCTTATAACCCAATAGATCTAACATAGTTACGATATCCTGATCTCTCGGTCCTATGTGGCGATCAGGGAAATCGGCCCTTTCTGGAAACAAGCTAGCCGACTTCGAACTTTGTGTGGCGACACATCGTGTCCCGTGTTTTAAAACTTTTTCATGTGTAATTTTTTCAAATCTATTGTACTCATTATATTTTTTTAAGCAGATACCACGTTTAAGTAACCTTAACATTTTGTAAATTTAAATTTATTCATATCACAGCCCAACTAACAAAAGAGGAGAATAAAGACTGATATAGAGGTCAGGCCTATTGCATGAATTCTCTTAGGAATGATAAGAAAGTTCAATAACAAAATATAGTTAAACTTATATTAACAGCTATTAATTATGTACTGTGTAAATATATATACCCTTTGGCCTTTTATCAATTTATCGTACTGACGAAAATTTGACTTTCATTAGGTATACCTACGATTTATATTATTCTAAAATACGTTTACCAAAAATTGCATGTTTGCTAAAGTAAGTAGTTGTCAGTAATATGTAATAGTAATAGTATGCTACATATTATACAAAAAAAGTTTCTTTATATATATACTAGCAGAACCCGCGGCATCGCTCGCGCTAAAACTACAAAAACACTCTAAAATGGTAGGTTTCATACAAACTATCATCCGCTATTTTACCCCCTCGTATTTTGGGATGAATTTCGAAAAATGCTAAGTAGGTAAATCTCATATTTAATTGAAAAATCTTAGCATTTACCGTAGGTCGGGCTTTAACAGTAACATATACATTAATTTATAAAATACAACAAGACTTAATCTAAAACAATACTTAGTTCTATGCCTAAGGTAAAATATTAAAATTTTTATATAGTCAAAGATCTTAAACTCTGAATTAACTGAAAAGTTGATATAATACTCCATCGTCAAAAAGTAATTTCATGCCGTACATAATATACTCTTAGAATTTTATTATCTTTCTTATGGTAGAGATTATGGTGTAAAGTGTAAACCATGTGAGTACCACACGTGACCGTTGTGTGTTAGTCGTGCGTCTGATCCTTATCTTCTCGTGGATTTTCGAAGTACCAGATTATGGTAGTGAAAGTCGAAAGGAATATAAAGGGCACTTTTGCTAATCTCGAGCAAATATTTATTTTATCTCTGTTTATTTCGCGCAGACGGCAGATGTTTTGTTTCAGTAAGATTGGCCGCTGTGACCAAATATCCATTTTGAGGAAAATGTCTATATGTATAATTATTTATACCCTTTAAAAGAAATTATTACGCAATCGCTAATAATAAATTTGTAATAAGAAGTTCCTTTCTTACAAATTATTGTGTATACCCCATTAGAAAAATGACAGAATGTAGACTATTGTCATGACCATGTTATCTTAACTGGACTCGGAGGTCCTGGGTTCGAGTCCCGGGTCGGGCCAAGTTTAGTTATTGAGTCTTTCTGTATAGTAAGTCTCAGTAACAGCCCGGAGTTGGGAAGTTGGCGGTGTTTCACCCCCGTGCCTCGGAGAGCACGTAAAGCAGTCGGTCCTGCGCCTTAACTCTCACTGGTCATGTCGAGCAGTCGTCCCACCGGAGTATGAGAGTGACAGGAATAGAGAGTGCACGTTGTGTCTGCGCGTACACTTGTGCACTATATCTCCTGCGCAGTTGGCTAGTCTAAATGAGATTGGCCGCCGTGGCCGGAATCGGTTAGGAGAACATCACATCATCTTATTTATGAAGAATATGTTGATTTTAATACATAATAATAATAATACTTTATTTCACAAAAATAAATACATATTGTAGTTGAGATGCATATTGTACAGTACATTTTGAAACAAACAATTTAAACTATCAATACAAATACTCGTAATACGAGACAAGATCAATACAAATAATAAGAGACCTGTATTACCGCATACAGTGCTAATCCCCCAAATATTGTCAGAATTCAATTACCTATCTGTTTAGTTTGCGAGTGTGCCATTTTGAGCTGTTCGTTGGCGCTATATACATAGTATGGCGCTATATATATATTTTCATTATAACTAAATAAAATTATAAAAGTATCTCCGAGTGAGTGATTAGAAATATAAGAGCAGTTACGAAAGGGAGCTTCCCTTGATCAGCATAAAACCTTTATAAGACTTGAAGAACTCCCAAGAGTTTTCATACAAAAGCGCCATTTTATTGGAGGGTCTTTTAAAATGTTACCATTTTTAATTTACTACCTATACCTACCTACTCTTGCGGGAAAGTCCCTTTTTATTATTTTATGGTGAATCATAAATACGTTCCTTTATATGCAGTCGGTGTTAACTGTTAAAATTGTAAATAACATTCATAGATTATGACGCCATAATGGTAATAGCACAGATGTGAGATGACATAAATATTATGGTAATTTAATAGAAAATAACAGTATAAAAATCACAGACACAAAGAATGGACTGAGCGTTAAGCGGGCTACTCACACACCTGCCGCAAGGGCGATCTAGGGCCCACGGCAGTACAGCGGTAATATCGGAATTCTCTCAACACACATGCCTGTTCAGTGTGAGTATAAGTTGAGCTAAACACACTGCTCATTGTATTTAAAAAGGCGCGACATTTCGAACTGTGCCCTTTTTATTGAGGCCACTTTTGGGAAGCTATTTGTGTATCTTGAGTTTTTGTATATCAAGAAGTAAAAATATATCCAATTTTGCGTAGAATGGAAAATTTTACATTAAGTACTGTCAATTGCAGCGCTGCTAATTGGCGGGTATTTACCCGAAAAGCGGGTAATTTTAGGTAATTTTTTGATGGCGGATACTTTTGTCGGGTATTTGCATTGTGCGAAGTAAAAACGGATAGTTTAGTTTATAATAGTAATTTACAAAACATTGAAACAGTTCATCGAAACTCACTAAACACAGCTACTGTTGTTGCAATATTGGCCGCGTGGGAAGGTATCCGTAAAGCAGGAGGTCTCGTGAAATTCTAGCTCAGTGTTCAAATGTTGCGTACCAATTTTACTGAGCCAAGTACTAGCGAAAATTGATTAATTTAATATTTTAAGTTTTTTTATATTTGATTCAATAAGATGTTTAATTGAGGACTGATTACAATGACTTCTTTTTCTATCATTAGTACTTTCTTTTATTCTGTATAAAACATTAATTAATTACTTTAACAAAACTATTTTCGATTATTCTGCTCATGGTTGGCGCCAGCGGGATAAACCGGGTATATTGAGGTTTACAGATCAGGTAAATCAACGACTGTTATGTGGCAGCCCTGGTCAGTTGTCAAATCACAAATGTGTCACATTAAAATAAAATAGTTACCTAAATATTTATTAATTGTTATATTTTCATATTGTCATCCATGACCATAGTTATTGGAGTGGAATTTGGATTCTTATCATATATAGTGATTTGAATGATTTGTATTAGGAATTTACATAAATTAAATTGAAAGTAGTGTTTACTAAATATTTTACTTTGTTATATATTTGTGTGTGATTGAAATTGAATTTAAAGTTTATTCTTTCTAATAAGTTTTAAGGCTCATATTCTATAAGCCTATAGTTACACAACAGTTGTATTGTGTGCTGCTTTGACGGAAATAAAAACATGACTTTATCAGAATACTCGATATTAAAAGAGCAGGTGATCCGTAACGTAGCAAATAGTGAAAACTATAGCAACTTGCTCAAAAAGTTAAAAGATTTTTATCATGCAGACATAGACTCAGAAAGAAAATTCGAAAAAATTAACTCTATCGGACAGCTCATAAATATTCTTGAAATAAGAGATTTAGTGTCAGAAGACAATCTAGGACCTTTAAAAGATATATGTTGGAGACTTAAGGATCAGGAACTATTAAAAAGAATATCTGAGTTTGAGACTCGTCATGCTCCTAAAGAATATGTTAATTATTATGGTAAGTTGTGTAAATTGTATCTATATTATATATATTATATATATCTATATATATAATCATATCTTATTAATATATTGTATTTTTGCAGTAAAAACACAAGAAAATTTATCTAAAGAGCCACAGAAAATATCTGAAATTAAAGCAAATGTTGTACATCATCATCCTTTTTCTCTAGACATTGTAAACCAGACAGAAAAAAAAGGTAGAATAAGAGAAGCAATTAGAGAAGGAATCGGCTGTTTCTGGAAAGACCTTGGCAGAAATCTTAATATTCAAGAAGGTAGAATTCAAGAAATAGATGAAAAGTACAATAACATATCTGACAAAATTGAAGAATTAATGAATGTATTCGAAAAAAGAGTAGATAAACAAAGATGGTTTATGATATTATGTAGAGCCTTAGAGAGGTCTCGTAGAAAAGATCTAAGCAAATACCTTAATGAAATTATGAGTATGAGTTTGTAAAATTCATATTCATGTAAATAATGTTGTAGTGTTTCTAGGTTGATCTTACACAACTGGATACATAAGATTTTTTTTTTATTATTATACTTATACTTTTTATATATTCTATTTATGGTATATATCTATGTTTTGAAAATTATTCTAGATTAACTTTATTAAACATACAAAGAATATTCTTTATATAGAACATTAAATTTAAATGTAATTCTGATTGAATAAAAATATTACTATAATCTCATATTGAAATTTACTTTATATATTTTTCATTATGAAGATTTTGTTAACATTCAAATTAAACTTTGAATTAATTATAATTGGTATGGTATACTACATAATATCAATTTAGCAAGTAATAATTAAGCAAGGGAAACTAATTTAGAACAGCAATATAACATTTCTAATTATATTTTCAAAAAAAAATGATATTGTTACTCAATAATTTAAGTAGGGTTATTAAGTGAAGTTTGTCAGAATAAATATTTCATGGAGAAATGATAATGATAAATGAAATTCAGTGAATCTCTGTTGATCAATGGTTTTCTATAAAGATTCAGCACTCATTGCATTATTTGAAAAATAATTGGAAAACATGCTTATAAAAAGATGTGAACGTTGAATATAGCTAAAACTAGGATTGTGGTATTAAAAAGAAAGAAAATACAGATTCCAAATTTGCAAATTGTAAAGTTTAATGGAGCAAGTGAAGAAATATTTAGGAAGTATATTAAAAAAAATGCAAGATGGTGAAATGAATGCTGAAAGTCATATTGATTGTCAATAAAACTAAATGATGCTGTGCACTGTCTTGTGTGTACAGTAAATAAGCAATATGCTAAGAGTTATTTATTCCACAACCTTTGTGAATGAGTTAAAACGGTGAAAGTAATATTATTAAAGTTCAAATGAGATCTCTCTAGAGAGTGAAGTTACTTTATTTTATACACAATAAAGAAATCTATTGATTTCTTTCAAGAAAATTAATAAACACGCAACAGAATGTTAGTCTTTATTTTAATATCATGTGTGTGGTACTACTCTACAAGAAATAGGGTGTGAGAGAATATATGTAAATAAAATGCAATATTTGCATTTTATTGACATATATTCAATTAAATAAAAATAAATTTAGATAGTAAAATTGTATAATTCATTTAAAAATTAAACATATTTGAATGTATCAAAATACAGAAATATATTTTATATTATCCAGATCTAAAAGGAAAATAGTTAACAATTTATTCTAAGGCACATTTTCATTAAATACTGCACATTTCCTGCTTATTCAGGAAAACATGCAGTAATTAATACATTCTGATTGCAGAATTGAAATATTTAACCACTGGTATTCGAGATTGATTTAACATGGAATGTATTCTAATTACATGGCCCCCTTTTTATTTTTATTTATGACTATAAAGTAAAAAATAATAGAATCATTCATTATTCCTAATAAAGTAACAATTAACATTAGCATAAAGTATATGATATAGCAATCATTATAAAATGTACACATAATATTATTCCGTTTAATAGGAATACTAGGAATAAGCCATCAATTTTAAATAATGTATAATAATAGTACCACTAGGCGATAATAAACGAGACTGTCAAGGCAAAAGTGGCATAACCTTGAGATATAACAAAGTACTACTACCAACTGACAATGTTTCACTGACTCACATATATGATAAACAGTTCCTTTTTCGTGATGAATATATAAGTTCCATTTGCAAATTTTAACGTTTAAGAATTCTCAAAACTGTGTGTTAGGCCATTTTTGTGATAGCTTATAAAATATTAATAATGATCAATGTTGAGCCGCCCAAATGTAGGCATTTTGGAAGAGTCGTAGCCAGGGGGAGGCGAGGGTGTGGGCGGGGGCCGCGCCGCGCGCGGGGCTCTGCCAGCGCAGCACGCAGCGCTCGGGGTGCGGCATCATCGCCAAGTGCCGCCCGTCCGCTGACCGCAACCCGGCGATTCCATCTGTATATGTTACAAGTATTATTATATTTATATTAAATACTAGCGACTCACCTTCGCTTCGCTCGGGTTCGTCCCTAGGTACATTTTATTTTTTTGAGCGGAACCCTAATTCTTTTACTGAAATAAAAGTAGCCTAGGCTACCCCTTATAAAATTAACTAACTGCCAGTGAAAGTCCCGTCAAAATCGTCCGAGCCGTTTCGGAGATTACCCTGAACAAACTCTTTGTTACTTATTTAAATTAGCTCATACTGGATAATTTGATGATAACCTTTTTGCGAAATGGCATTAGCGCAATAAAAACACGATCCAATAAACCGCGTAGTATTTCAAAAACACTTAAGAGATCAATGACAGAACCAAACCTAACTACATGACATACTCACCAGGACTACCGTTAGGGTTCATGGGATATGTTTCTGTTGGGACCCCATTATCATCCACATACTGCATTGCTATTTGTCCATTAGCTCGAAGTTTGTTTAGCGCCTGCGCACTGGACATTGCGAAGCGTCCTTCCCCGTGCGCCACCCATATGCCGAGCACGCTAGTGCCCATACCGCGGAACCATACGTCTTCTTTAGACATACGCTCGTTTATTGTTACTGCACTCCAACGACATTCGAATCTGGTGGATAAATAAAAACCCTTTATTTATTCAGCCCTTTTTAACACCCCACTGCTGGGCACGGGCCTCCCTTCAATATGAGAGGGATCAGGCCCTAGTCCACCACGCGGCCAAATGCAGGTTGGCGGACTTCACGTGTCTTTCGAAAACTAGATTCTCTCAAACATGCAAGTTTCCTCACGAAATTTTTCTTCATCGTAAGACAAATGGTAATCATGTTGAAAATGATTCGTACATGAAAATATCAGAGGTGCGAGACCCGGGATTTGAACCCGTTTCCCTCTAAAATAAATAAAATAAAATCCCTGTCCTTTGAAGCCGAAACGTTAAAAACAAGATTGGCTCGTTTTTTGTCCAAAATAAGCAGTGTGTTTCGCAGCACTTGTAGCATTGGTAGAATAAATGAGTATTTGTACTAACGTGCAAACAATTTTTATTATACAAAATATGGAAAAAATAGTATTTGCAGGATAATGGCGAAGAATGTGATTAAAAGTAGCCTATAAAATATTTTTTAGATCAGTTGTTACAGAAGTTTATCTCCAATTTACCATAATATTTATAACCTCGCTTCGCTCGGGTTCGTCCCTGGGTTGATTCCGCGTACAAACTTCCATCCCCATTTTCACCCCTTTAAGGGATGATTTCCGGAATAAAATTTATCATAATTCATTCGTTTCCCTTGATTATATCCTATGTCCTTTCCAGGGTCTCAAACTATCTTCTTACCAAATTTCATTTAAATCAGTCCAGTAGTTTTTGAGTTTATTCATTACAAACATACAAAAATACAAATCTTTCTTCTTTATAATAGTAGTGTAGAAATGAAGATAAGTGTAGAGAAGTACAATTTAGGAAATTTCTTAAGAACCGAGACACTTTTTAATGTAACTTATCCTAATGGTATCTTAACTATTCTGCAAAAGAAATTATAAATACTAAACAAACCTTTCAGAGAGATTATGGTCCAGCACAACTTCGGGTTTTTCAGCATCATAAGGATTAATCCAGCCGAGCAAAGCCATCAACTGACACCCATTGCACACTCCCAACGAGAATGTGTCATTTCTGTTCTTAAAATGAGTGAACTGTGCATTTAGAGCTTTATTGAATAGGATACCTGCCGCCCACCCCTTGGCCGAGCCGAGAGTATCTGCAAATTTATAAATAACTTTATCTAAAGCACTAGCGACTTACCCTCCCTACGCTCGGGTGCGTCCGGTTTTACGGCGTAAATTTTATTAAGCGGAAGTCTGATCCTATTTTAAAAATAAAAGTAGCATAAGTTTCTCCTTATAGCATCAGCTATCTGCCAATGAAAGTCCCATCAAAATCCAGGTCCAGCCGTTTCGCTGGTACAAACAGAGAGAGACATTTTTTTTTAAATTTGTGTTTTTCTTTTATTTACCTACCGTATATAATTCCATATGCATTTAGTAAAGAGCTGTTATTTTGACATTACAAACAGACACTACAATTTTACTTATTTGCACCTATATAATAGCGATTTAGCTGAGTAACACAACTCTCATTTCGAATTTAATTAAAGTGTTTATGATTTCTGATAGAAAATACATTTTTATAGAAATATTAAAAAGCTTATAGCATCCGTCGGTAACCGGATCAGTAGTCAAGAGTCTCACTATTTAAAAAATCTAGAAATTACGAAAATTAACGCCCTGTAGTTGTACTTTAAAAGTTATGTATAAAAAATACATTTTAATTTATGTGGAAAGTATAATAACTTCAAAACCGTCTACAAGTATTAATTGTAATCAAAAATTTATATAAGTTTAATTTAAATCAATTATTTAGAACCAAAATTAAGTAAGTGTCAATTATAGGCAGTTTTATATAGAGCGGAAATTTTATAAAAATACATGTTACAAGTCAAAAAGAAATAATATTTGGATGAATATAGATAAATTGTAAGTGATAAAAATAAACATACACTGATCTGACACCCGTGAGGTTATCCTATAGACGTCCGGAAAGCACAGAACAAACAAATATTTAAAAATGATTATCATTTTTGTAATAGAACATCAAAATACTAAAGAACAGCACAATGGGTTAAAACTGTTATTAATGGGTTAATAAGAGTTTTATCAAATAGTTACATTACATTTGATCAAGACACTATGAAAATTATGCTTCTAACAACGTCACACATATTTATATTTTTAATGTTGGGAAATGCATTTACGCATGTTAGTCATATATATAATACAAGGTAATAATATAATATATAGAAATAAAACACTTTTTAAAGCCGACCCCATCATAGAATAATCAGAGTTAAATAAATAGTTAAATTTAGTAAAAGAAAGAGACAATAGGAGTGAGAGAAAGAGACAGAGAGATCTACCAGCATAACTGAAGCCGCCGGGGAACACCACGCCCTGGAATGCATCAAGTGTTATCTTGTGCGCTTGCAGGTCGGACATGGTCACATCGAACACGTCGAAGTTCGCCATCATTAGGGACGCGATCATTTCACGGTCGCCGTTCGTACCTTCAATAATAAATACAGCATTAAATTAAAATATATAATTATATTATATTTTTTATAATTATATTTTAATAAAGTCAACATTATAGATATATTTTTAATAATGCACATTTTGTTTTACTGACAAGTTACAGACAATACTATTGATATAAAATAAAATATAAACTTGTAGTACCGTAAGTAAAAAAATGAACATATTAATTTCTAAATTTAAAGAATAAAATTAATTTATTGCAAAGTATAGCATTATTATAAACAAATAATTTATTTAAGTTATTAATATTTATCATTCTAAATTTTAAGTAAAACTATCGTTTCGGATTTTTTCGCGTATTTATCTTGATTTTTGGTTCCTGACGTTTCGAATCCAAAAAGATCTTCGATCAATGCTACTAGATAACGTGTCACATAAAAAAAAAAAAAAAAACTATTTTTATTATTTATTTTATTTTAAGACAAAGTCTTATAATAGTTTTAGTTTCAAGCTAGTCAACACCATAACACCTTGTAATAAAGTCACAAATCTTCGAAATTGTGAACGTGTTTACGCTGGCCCTGTTTCAATAGAACTAATCGAAATATACGCTCACTTTGCAAGTGAGCTTATATTTTCTGAGACGAGTTTCTTACGCCGACCCGATATCTAGTAGTATTGTTGATCGAAGGAAAATATAGTTTTATTTAAAATGTCAAACATTTGCGTAAATCTAAGAAAGTATTTATCATAATCCTAATTAAGAGGCTAAATATACCTTCTTCCCGAAGCACAGCAACTCTAATTGACTTTGTCTTCAGAACGGCCACTGATGGATCAAATGTTACTTTGTAGGTGACTCCCTTGCGTTTCTCAAGACCTATAAATATTGAAATTATTATATACTCAATTTTAGAATGACAATAATTTAATATATACATAAAAAAAACTTAAAGATACCAATAACTGTTGATAAAGCGTAAATAATTATATTATCAACGCTCATCCTTAGGCACGTTTTAACGGTTAGTATATATATATACTATATAGTCTATCTGTATATATATATAATATGTTCAAATAAACAAACAAACTCCGCCTGTTTATAATATTAGAATAAGTTCGTATTTATAATAGAAGTCATAAAATGAATATTCACCATCCCATTCTTGTTTTACACAAGCAGAGTTGGCTTGACGAAGCTCAAGTTGATAACTGGTCTCTTCCCACATTCTGAACACTTTAATTAATTTCGTATCCAAAACTAATTTTCCATTCACTTTAACTTTCACCTAAAACAAAATACGAAATAATATAGTTTTAAGAAACTAAAAAATAACGCCTTTGATGTATGTTTGGGACTCGTGAAGACGAAACATATGAGACCAAACTCATAAGGTTTACTAATAGTCATTGAGGGGTTCCACTATTTACCTCCTGGATGCATCATCAGATCAGCTCTAAGATACCAAATTATAGTGCTGTCATCCAAACTACATACAAAGTGTTATTTCGATACGACTGTAGCGGAGCTACCACTGTGTTTAAATTTCAATGTGTAATATATATGATGTTAATATTTATCTATTTTTATAAGTACTAGTAGTTTAATATATATTATGTAGCACGAAGGCAAACGGACGGGCGTCGTTAGCGATGACGCAATCGATCGGCCAACCGGTTCAATGACCTACGCGCGCACCGGCCGCCGAGTGGCGCGGGCGCGGCATCTCACAGTTCGCTTCCGACCGCTAACTACGCCCGACGCTTACCGCTCCGTATCAGTTATTGCTTATTTCTATTACGTGTTCTATCTAAACTTTATACTTCTAATTTATCTCTTTCTGTATTTCTTGTGTGTGCCGTATTAAACTTCTTTGTGTAACCCGGAATTTCCTTTCTCTCTAACGACTACGCTACGCCCATGGACTTTGATACGCTTATTGCTAGGCACATAGACTTTATTGTAGTGGCGATATAATCTCACCATCCCATTATACCTAAACTGGTGACCCCTAATCGAACACGGACAGTAAAAAATAAATCGTGAAATGAGTGATAGCGGTGATTCAGCAAAAACGGCCGGCTCACAAAATGGCGGCCACGTAACAATGCGCCGAGCACAAAGAGTGCGCGTTTCATCAGAGCGCGACATTAAACCAGGGCGGAATATTAGAATAAAGGTGCCACCGTTTTCGCCGGAAGACCCGGAACTGTGGTTTGCGCTCTTGGAAGGCCAATTTGCAAGCAACGACATCCACGACGACCACGTGAAATTTATCAACGTGACCAACAACCTAGACATTCAATACGCAAAGGCTGTAAAAGATATTATTATCAACCCTCCGGCTAGGTACAGGTACGAGAAGCTTAAAGCGGAGTTGATTAAGCGCCTCTCAGATTCACATGAAAAAAAGGTTATGCAACTCCTGACTCGCGAGGAGCTTGGCGATAGGAAGCCTTCACAATTCCTGAGGCACTTGAGAGACCTAGCTGGAGCTTCAATGCCAGACGACTTCATCAGATCCTTATGGAGCAGTCGCCTTCCTCAGAATACCCAAGCGTTGTTGGCATCACAGCCGACCCTCACACTAGAGCAGTTGGCGGACCTGGCGGACCGCATTCAGGAGCTGACGATCCCCTGTCACGTCGCCTCCACGTCAGCAGGCTCTGCACATCTTCCTCATCCATCCGATGAGATAGCGGAGCTGAAGCAGATGGTACGCGACCTTACTCTGAAGCTGGAGGAGCACACGCAGAGTAAGGCATGCTGCGCTTTTGAGCACGGCAGACGTCGAGAGCGGCGCCCTTCATCACGGCACAGGAGTAGGTCCAGCTCCAGGCATCGGAAATATCCTACTTGCTGGTATCATTTCAAATTTGGTGATAAAGCGCTTAAGTGTGTGAAACCGTGTAACCATTCGGGAAAAGTGTAGGGCAGTCTGTCATGGCGGCCGACGCCTGCCCTAATAGTGGTCGCTTATTTGTGTTAGACAAACGTACCAATGTAAGTTTTTTAATTGATACTGGTAGTGATGTATGTGTTTATCCACGTTCATTGCTAAGGGAACGTCGCGAACGTTGTAATTATAATTTATGTGCCGCTAACGGTTCCGTCATTAGTACCTACGGTTACATTGATTTATTATTAAATATAGGTTTGCGTCGTGACTTTCCCTGGCGATTTATTGTAGCCGACGTTACGCGAGCGATAATAGGCGTTGATTTCTTATCTCATTATAATTTAATTGTAGATTTAAAATATCTAAAACTTATTGATGATCATACAAAGCTCGCTACCACGGCTTCATTAGCAAAAGATGTTGATAATGTGTCTTCTGTAAAAATTATGTCTATTGATTCTGTATATCATACGATACTAACACAGTACCCCGACATCACTCGACCCCCGGGACTTAATAATGCTAAGCACATAACACAACACAACACACTTCACTATATACGCACAACACCTGGCCCGCCTGAATCTTGCGCACCACGCAGACTGGCACCCGATAGGCTTAAAATAGCCAAGGACGAATTCGAAGTTATGTTACAGATGGGTACCTGCAGGCCTTCGGACTCTCCATGGGCGTCTCCGCTACACCTCGCGCCAAAGAAAAATGGCTGGCGACCGTGCGGAGACTACCGCAGATTAAACGCACGCACTATCCCGGATAAATATCCTATCCCGAACATACAGGACTTTTCTCATAGCCTAGCGAACTCCACGGTTTTCAGTACCTTAGATTTGACTAGAGCTTATAACCAAGTGCCTGTCAACCCACCGGATATAGCTAAGACGGCCATTACGACCCCTTTCGGCTTATTCGAATTTCCTTTTATGACGTTTGGCCTTCGTAACGCCGGCCAGACGTTCCAGCGGTTCATCGATGAGGTGCTGCGAGGACTGACTTTCGTTTTCTGTTATATCGATGACATTTTAATATTTTCAGTGGACCAGGAAACGCATAAGAAACACTTACACGAAGTATTTAGTAGATTGCAACAGTATGGTGTTGTATTAAACCCTAGCAAATGTGTATTCGGCGTATCTCAAATAAATTTCCTAGGGTATCAAATTTCAGCCGAGGGCACCAAACCACTGCCAGCTAAGGTGGAAGCTGTACAAAGTTTTCCAACCCCGAAAACGGTGCGAGAGCTTAGACGTTTCCTGGGAGTCATAAATTTCTACCGCCGTTTTATCCCAGGTGCAGCGGTTCATCAGGCTAAATTGAATGCTCTCCTCACAGGCTCTGTGAAGGGTTCCCACCCAGTCAACCTAACAGCTGAAGAACTGGAGGCCTTCAAAGCTTGTAAGAATAGTCTATGTAAGGCAACGTTGTTAGCGCACCCCGTTTGCGACGCAAAGTTAGCCTTAGTTACGGATGCCTCGGATATTGCAATAGGCTCCGTAGTGCAGCAGTTAAAAGGGACTTCTTGGGAACCACTTGCGTTTTTCTCTCGTAAGTTGAGTCCGTCCCAACAAAAGTATTCCCCTTATGATAGAGAGCTCCTGGCTATATACGAAAGTGTGAAACACTTCCGTCACATGCTTGAGGCTAGAGTATTCACTATTTATACCGATCACAAACCTCTCACTTATGCTTTCAACTCTCACAAAGGCAACTGTTCCCCTAGACAGTTTCGTCACCTAGATTTCATTTCGCAATTCACCACTGACATTGAACATATTTCAGGTAAGGACAATATCGTAGCCGATACTTTATCTCGTATCGAGGCAGTAGGGCAGCCGGTAGACTTGAAATTGCTGTCTGAAGCTCAAAGTGGTGACTGCGAAATGAAGATATATTTGAGCGATAGCACAGCGCTACAGCTTAAGAAGCTAAAATTGCCTGGGTGTCAAGAGGGACTATATTGTGATGTAAGAGACGGTAACTTACGACCGTTTGTTCCAACGAAGCTAAGACAGCAAGTCATCAACAGCTTGCACTCGTTGAGTCATCCCGGTGCAAATGCGACTGCGAAAATAGTTTCAGATCGTTACGTGTGGCCAGGCGTAAAGCGTGACTGTCGTGAATTCGTTCGAAATTGCCTAGCTTGTCAAAGATCGAAAGTTACAAGACACGTCTCTTCTCCTTTAAGCTCCTTCAAACTTCCAAAGACAAGATTTGCCTTTGTTCATATCGATCTAGTCGGACCACTACCAATTTCACAAGGTTACCGATATTGCCTCACAGCTGTAGACCGCTTTACACGGTGGCCAGAGGTGATACCACTGGTAGATATTACTGCTGAGACTATATCTAAGGCACTAATTCACGGTTGGATCTCACGCTTCGGTTGTCCTATGGACATCGTGACCGACCGTGGGAGACAATTCGAGTCGGCTCTATTTAAAAGCTTGTCTCAACTGATTGGCTTTCAGCATCGCAGAACCACCGCATATCATCCACAGTGCAATGGATTAGTTGAGAGGTTCCACAGACAGCTGAAAACAGCAATAGTGTGCCACGACGGTACATCGTGGGTGGACGCATTACCACTCGTGTTGTTAGGCATCCGAAGCGCTATTAAAGAGGACCTAAAAGCTTCCTCAGCTGAGCTTCTATATGGGGAACCTCTCCGGCTTCCAGGTGAAATTTTTGAGCCCACAGAAGTTAACAACTTCGATATTTCTGATTACGTGTCAAGGCTACGTAAGTTCGTCAAGAACCTCCAGCCATTGCCCACTAATCAACATGGCGGGAGACGCTCAACATTCATTCATAAAGATCTCGCTACATCCTCTCATGTATTTCTGCGTGACGACAGTACCACAGGCTCCCTTAGGCCAGCGTATTCCGGCCCTTACGAGGTATTGGAACGTAAGGAGAAAGTGTTCAAAATTCTGTATAAGGGAAACGAGGTCACAGTATCCATAGACCGATTGAAACCAGCCTACATACTGCATGACCCTAACACCAATTACGCGCCATACACACAACATACTTCAACTACACTTAAACAATCACACGAACCAAATATAACTCACAAACTTAAAATCACACAAAGATCTGCACACACACAAACACACACTCCAACGAACATACCAGATAAGAATCCTCACAGTAAAGATCATATCGTTAGAACCACCAGATCGGGCCGAAAAGTAAATTTTCCCGATTATTATCGCCCATAGAGCGTTATCAGGAGGGGGGTGGTGTAGCGGAGCTACCACTGTGTTTAAATTTCAATGTGTAATATATATGATGTTAATATTTATCTATTTTTATAAGTACTAGTAGTTTAATATATATTATGTAGCACGAAGGCAAACGGACGGGCGTCGTTAGCGATGACGCAATCGATCGGCCAACCGGTTCAATGACCTACGCGCGCACCGGCCGCCGAGTGGCGCGGGCGCGGCATCTCACAGTTCGCTTCCGACCGCTAACTACGCCCGACGCTTACCGCTCCGTATCAGTTATTGCTTATTTCTATTACGTGTTCTATCTAAACTTTATACTTCTAATTTATCTCTTTCTGTATTTCTTGTGTGTGCCGTATTAAACTTCTTTGTGTAACCCGGAATTTCCTTTCTCTCTAACGACTACGCTACGCCCATGGACTTTGATACGCTTATTGCTAGGCACATAGACTTTATTGTAGTGGCGATATAATCTCACCATCCCATTATACCTAAACTTAAACTAAATTAGAAGTAGGTCAAAATAGACTTTTAATATTTTATTACATTATTTGTTAGTGATAATAGTCACTAGTGAAGGTAATAAATGCGTGTTAAAAACAGAATAACCACTGGTGGTCTTACATTATACATATTTGAAAATTATACAGTGTGTATTTAATAATTGATATTATAGTATTATATTAAATGTAAAATAAATATGTAATTAAAATTTTAATAATTAATATATTATCAATACAATAAGAGGAGTATTTTCCCTCATTATGAAATAGAATAAAAATAATATTACTGTGGTTTTCAATGCAATACCAATCTTTAATTTAAATTAAAATATTTACACAAACTCCCAATCTAACTCGAAACTCGAACTCCTATACAATGAAAACGATTTTTCTTTTATCACGCCATCACGTAAAAACTGCTGAACGTATCGTTATAGGACTCTGACCAATCGACGCGGGATCGTCTGTAGATGGTTTTAGACTATTTACTTTTTGAATACCATACACTCTTCGCCATTTTTTATTATTTATTTTTATAATTATTTTTTCCCGCCAAAAAATCAATGGACGTTACATTTTTTATACATTTGTTTTTATTTATTTAACCTAAATATTTTAATTTATAAGGGAAAAACCTAAATACGTATTAAGTTCTCTGAAACCAAAAGAAACTTTTACGTACGCCCAGCTAAGCAGACGGGTGACGGTTAGTAGTATTATATTTCAAATGCCATTTTTAATATAAAATTTAATACCTCACCTCAGAGTCCATTCCATATTTGCCACTTTTGCCAACAACTTTAGCCTTAACACCTTGCTTGTTATATTCACTTAGAACATATTCCACATTATTCTGAGCAACTTCTATGACAATACCGAGTTCTTCATTGAACAAAGCTTCTATAGCCGACACATTACTTTCCACTTGCACATCTAACTCTAGGCCTCGAAGACCACCTATTCCCATTTCTAGGACTGTAGTTATAAAACCTCCTTCACTAATATCATGGCCGGAGATTAATTTTTGATCTATAAAAAAATGAATATTACAGTATACATTTTAAATATTTATTTCTTTTCTATGACAAAGTATACACCATGATTTATTATATATATATATATATATATATATATATATATATATTAAATTTACATATATTGTTATCACCTTGACTACTCATCAAGTAACTTAATTGAAATTGTTAAAAAAAAAGAATAATTCTATGTTATTATAAAATTATTGTTATTTGTTCCTACTCATTAAAACATCATAGCAAAAAATATATAATGGGGATGTTTCATAGCTCACCCTTGAGTAGTTTTTGTGTGACCTTGAACAGAGCCTTCAGTACGCTGGGGTCGTCCAAGTCGGGAGGGTTGTCGCCCAACTGCTTGTAGCATTGTGCTAGGGATGATCCTCCAATCCTATATTAATGTATTTAAAGTTAAATGTAAATATACAAACATAGTTACATATTTGAAATTATTAGTAACGACAGGTTAAAATTAATCCTTTCTTTATTTTAAATGATATATAAATAAATGAAGAAGAAAAAACAATAAATATTAAAAAACAATACTAAACATTTAAAAAACATTTAAAGTCAGTTAGTCTCTCCCATGGCCATGATTGCTGTAAAGAATTCGAAACGTCGGGAATCAAAAATCAAAACAAATCCATTACTAGTGTTGTAAAATAGTTGTATTTAAAATGTCTAATATTCGCCTAAGTCTAAGAAAGAAAGTATTATATTAAAAAATAAATTATAGTAACTAGTTATGGTTCACGCATCTAACACGTAGAGGCCGATACGAAGCCGGCGCACGCGCACGATATTTTTGCAATTGTAATAAACATAACAAACTAATGTAATGTTTAATACTTCTTCTTCTTCTTCTTTCCGAACTGGTAGTAGACTCATGACGTTCAGTAAAAAAATGTAATAATTTAATGCTGAATAAAATATTTTGAATTTTGAAAAAAAAATGTTTGGGGTGTGCCTTATTGTCCAAACAGTTTTTTTTAAAAAGTCGGCAAAAGTTTTAACTTTTTACCTAACAAACCGTATTCGAGACTCTGGTCTTTACCATGAGTTGACCGGGTATTACTTGTATAACATAATACCTGTATTTTCCTGGACATACTGGCACATGAATGAGGGCTGAGCCTTCTTCGAGTAGAGCGGGTTCGATCTTGACAGTGATGTCCGGGCAAGGAGCGTATGTTGATACTACTAGGGTTCCCGGTGATCTCACTGTAATGTAAATAAGCATTACAGCAATTTAATATGGGATTTTAATTGAAAATTATAAAGATCTCTATCATAATATTAATAGTTAACTTGTCTGTCACACACTCAGAAGGCTTTTATAGGAATAAATAGTGAAACAATTATATTCAAATTATAAAAATAAACACAAAGTATAATTACATTATTATTTATTATGTATTAATTATTTTTTCCTAAGCAATATCTCTCACAATTCTCTATACAATTCGTTTTATATTCACATTATTTAAGATAATATTACTGTATATTTACGGCTGGTTCAAAATTACGTAGACGGCCCATAGGCCAAAAGTCAAAATTAAAACCTTTTTAATACCGTTATTTTTCTGAAATAACCACTGCAAAAAATCACGAAAAATAATAAACATAGCACTCAAAAAAATTGACTTTCTTTTACATACTGTAGGTACACCTATACTAATAGTATAAAGAGGTAGTTTGTACGTTTGTGACGTCGTAGGGAGTAATCTCTGGATCTACTGAACCGATTTAGATGAAATTTGGTAAGAAGATAGTTTGAGACTCCGGGAAGGACATAGGATACTTTTTATTCCGGATATCATCAATAAACGGGGTGAAAATGGGGATGAAAGCTTATATTGGGAAGCAAGCTAGGGACGAACCCGAGCGAAACGAGATTGAGTCGCTAGTTAACAATAAAGTAAATACAAACCAGGCGTCCCCCCAACATTAGCGCACATGGACAGGGAGTCCTTCCCGCCGTCGACGGCCACGCCCAGCGCGCGCATGGCGGCGCACAGCGCGCCGCACGCCACCACCAGCGCCGCGCCCTCCGCGCCCGTCTTGCCCGCCCACATCCAGTTCCCTGAACACTTCACGTCTTCCAGCTCTGATATACCCGCGAATACCTGTAAATAATGAAAAAAAATATGCTCAAAAAGGACTTGTATGCAGATTCGGAATCAGCAAAAAAAATGCTAAAACCTTTAAGTCTTATGAACCCGGAGATACCATAAGCATTTCGATCGTAACTACGTCAAAACTAGTCGTAATTTTGACGTAGTAGTGAGACAAAAAGTTTAAATATCTCGAAATTAAGTTGGACGAAGTTACAGCCTTCTTTCTTATGACAGCAATATTATTTATACCATTGTTTATTGTTACCAGAATATTATAATTATGTTTACTATAAATCATATGATAATAACAGCAAGATATGTATTGAACCTTGAACTTTACACAATCGACAAATCGTTAGTTTAGTCAAAAATCCGCCTAAGAGATACCTTGCTAACACTGCAAGGTACTCCAAAATTATGTATAGAAAGAAGCTGGTATTGGCCATCTGACTTATTTTTTAAGTAAGACATTTAAAAAAATAAAATATTATATTATTTTTTTGTTTATGTATTCTTTTTTTCACTTATAACAAGTTTCATTATGCGAAACGACTAGTAAAAGAATAAATGGCGGGAGTTCGACATTGCCACTAGGGTCTCTCGATTATTTTACAAAATATATAAGCAATGGAAACATATTTATTTAATACTAGCGCTCTAGGAAAACAAAAACAAACCTATCCCACGGGAACCGTCAATTTTTCCGGGATAAAAAGTAGCCTATGTGTTATTTCAGACCATAATCTATCTGTGTGCCAAATTTCTTCTAGATCCGTTCAGCCGTTCTGGCGTGAAAGAGTAACAAACATCCATACTCACAAACTTTCACATTTATAATATAAAAGCACAATTAAAAATTTTGAAATAACCCACGACGGTTAAAAAGTAATTGAAAAAGGATAAAATAATTTAAAAACCCTCGACTAAAAAAATAAATGTAACGCGAGATAAACTCAAGCATATCCGTCGGGGGCTGCCATTATGAACTAGTTTTGCAGTTTTATAGTAACGTGAATAATTTGAGATTTTTAGCGCTATACTTACACCCCTAATGGGTAGGCCATGCTCCTACAGTAGGGACCTTTAGATGATGATATTTATTTTTATTTACGATGAAATTTAAAATAGTGATGGCAGCCCCCGACGGATAGTGCTACATAAATAAATAATATATTATAAATGTGAAAGTGTGTTTGTTTGTTTGTCTTTCTTTCACGTCGAAACGGAGTGACGGATTGGCGTGATTTTTTGTGTGGAGATAGTTCGAGGGCTGGAGAGTGAGTGACATAGGCTTCTTTTTACCGCGGGAGATTATCTAATTCCCACGGAAAACACGTTTTAATACAACTCAAAAATGCATTTTTCGAAATTCACCCCATATGGGGGTACAATAGCGAATAAAAGTTTGTATGAAACCTACCTATTTAGAGGTTTTTTTTGTAGTTTCAACGCGAGCGAAGCCGCGGGTTCTGCTAGCAAATAAATAAACAAATACTTACTAAATTAGTTAGAGCTTCTCCCAAAGACAATCTCGCCCCCGCCGCAGGGGACAACAGCCCCTTGACGTTTTGTGTGCCGATGGACGTGGCGGAGCCCACCAGCTCGCGGAAGGAGAGCGCGACCACGGCGCAGTCCGCCAGCGGCGAGTGCAGCGGCCCCACGCACTGCTGCTGCGCCACCAGCCCGGACACACAGCGGTCCACCTGTCAATATTTGGACTTATAGAATTTAATGGATATTTGGTTTTTTGAATGGATGTATATGCTTTATTCACTAACTATCGAGAGAAGAAAACAGGATGTATCTTTGAATACAGTTTTGATTTTTGAATAAAAAGTATCACTACGGCAACAAATCGAACAACAAAACTATCAAAATTTCCCTCATTAATAAACTTAGTTTAAAACCAATTAAGCGTGCACAGCAGCAGATCTAGAGATCCTGTGCTCGAAGTCAGGTTCGGGCCAAGTTTAGTAATTGGGTTTTTCTGTCAAAAAATTCTCATTAACAGTCCGGAGTTGGTAAGAAGCCATGTTTCGCCCCCGTATCTTGGACAGCACGTGTCACGGCGGTCCTGCGCCGACACTCGCACCGGTGGTGTCTCGCGTCGTCCCGCCGGAGTATGAGAGTGACAGGAACAGAGTGCACGTTGTGTCTGCGCTCTCACACGCGGTGCACGATATTATATCCCGGCCGAAATCGATCAGAAGGACTCTAACATTGACTTTGCCTTGCAATTGCAGCTAGTTCCGAACGGCAAAGTTAAAACGCGTATATTGTAATGTATACCTACAATTTACCTAATTTTAAACGAAACAATTTTTCCAAATTTTGCTGCGGTATTATTTCGAATTTATGTTCCCGAAATTTTGTATGCTTTATAGCAAACATGGTCATGAGAGGTGCTAAAGAATGTGGTAAGATTGTTTCCTTAAAACTATCAAATATACGCGTAAATCTAAGAATGTATTACTACTATGTTTACCTTATTTGTTAAATATCTCTTGCTGGCAACATTAACGAGCCTCAACACTCGATTTAATGCCATTTCAACGGTCACATCATTGGGTAGCTGTACTGGCACTTTAGTTCTCTTGTCTTGTTTAAAATCAAAAGTTTTCCGTGGCATGTTACCTGTAAGCATTTTAAATATTGTTAGATATGAAACATTAAAGAAAAATATAATCTTATTGATATTGACTATATTCTTTAAAAAAATGGTTAATGTATGAATTTTTATGGGAACATAATTATATTATTTTTCAGAAAAAATATTTTTCATTATCTTTTGAAATTGCAGTTTTAAAATATGTATTTAGAAAAGCATCAATTTATTTGAAGAACAAATCAGAACATACTCTTTTTATTATGGAAAAACTGCATTCTGCTAGTTACATAAAAGAAAATAAAGATATATTTGATATAAAAGAAAGCTTACCAAGAACAGCTTCCAAATGCAAATCATAGGGTAATTTCGACTTAATTTCTGTTTTTGTTCTAACCGCCCGGTTCAAGTAAGTCTCGTTATAGCTATCTTCAATAAGACTCATAAACCCATCTCCTGTCACTTCACCCACAAACGACACTGGGCATCTTTCACGGCGGCAAATATCTGAAAATGTATAAAAAACGTTATAAAGAAGCTGCCATTGCTCAATATATTTTCAAGTGAAACTTCTTTCGTTGTGATTTGAAACTCGATAAAACAGAAATGCAAGACTAAAAAGAGATAAACACATAAATATTTAGGATTAAGCCGGCGAGAGAAATTGTTATTGTCATTATACAGGAAGTGAAAAATAATAAAATTAATATTGCATAATATGTAATGTTTATTTATGTTAAATAAAATGCAAAATAACTTTTAAACTTGGTAAGAATATTATATATATTCTTACCAAGTTACTATTTGATAATTACCTACCTACTCCTGGTACTCTATTCATCTCATTCTCTTGTACATTACTTTTATGAAGTTAACTTCTACTATGTGTGAATTGCCACACACGCACTTTTTTTTAAATATCGAACTCGAGTGTGCTCTTGCATAATAATATGTACTTTAACTCTCGCTTGCACCAGTCTTTATGAGCTAAGCTGGCATTGATCGAAAACCGGTTTTAAAAGCATTTATATAACAAAAATAAAATGTTTTAAATAAAATTGTCTTTTCAGATTTTTTTGCAAATTTATTGGGATTTTAGGTTTACTTGGTTTTTGCTTCTGATTGTGTATCTAATACTTTTTTGATCGATGTATCTGTAGCAGAATAATTACTTTAACTCACCTTTAGAAAGAATCATGAAAATTGACTCACATTGACACAAATACTGCATAAAGTACATTTTAATTGTGTACATGTTCATTAAACAAAATGTTTAATTAACTACCTTAATCTCTAAGATCTGTTAACATTTAGGACTTTAAAATATAAATCACCTTCTAAAACATTTCTATTCTGTTTAGAACATAACAAGGCATCATTCTCTTGATATTCCGCACCCCACAGCTCTAATGTTGTGATGGTCGGATCACCCAGTTGGAACTCCTCAGTGAAGACTACTGCTCCTTCTGGTTCTACCAGCTCTTTGAGAACGTTTCCGTTACCACCGGCTCCTTGGTCGTGGATTGCTGCAATTATATTTATTGTACATATACTATTTACATACTGCAAGTTCCATGATAATCTACGAGGTCTGTATTATGGATATACCAGATACTTCATACACTACACATGTAAGTTTAAATACATACATATTATAAATATAAACACCCATAACTGGAGTACAAACATTCGTGCTCATCACACAAATGAATGCCCCCAGCAGGACTCGAACCCGCGACCGCTGGCACAGCAAGTAGGGTCACGACAAACCGCCCCAAACGTGTCGTCGAATTATCAGGAACAAATCATAATATTTTAACAATAAACTAAACAATTTATTTCCAAATTCTCTACTACTTTAGAATTTTTATGTGTACAAATATTAAAACTTTTACATCATCCAAGCAAGATTACAATGCAATATCTTATATTATGAAACATGATTGCACTGTATTTTTTTTATAGAAAAGGCTAACAAGAAAATGATCCACCTGATGGTAAATGGCTATCATCACAACACAAAAATTGCTAAGTAAAACTATGAACACCAATGAATAATTTAAGTTAGACAAATATAATGTTCATAAAGAATACTTACATTCTATCGGATTGACATCTGATTCTAAGCATGCTCTAACGACTCTGTTAAGACGGTTACCCATTTCAGCGTCACCTATAAAAATAATAATGAATTATTTGTTTATAAAATCTATTCTATGGATAAGTCTCATCAGGAAAAATTAATAATTAGATCAATTAAATGTCAATAGATTGTGTTATGTGCATCAATGTCTTATTCATTATTTTTGTAAAATTTAATAAATGAAAAAAAATGATCCCAAAAAATGTAAATATTATGTTTTTAAACATACACATACTTATCATAAATAAGACTCACTTAATAACATAAGTGCTTAATGAATTTCGCTATATGTCAGAATATGTATTTAAGACCTACACATTACACATTATATACAATATCATTACCCTTTTTTTTAGGGTAATCAAGTAAAATAGTACATCCTAATAGCTTTTATTATCTAATTTCAACCGTAAAACAAACAAACCTCTTTGAACAGCTCCAAAGTCAAGGGCATTATCCCGAGAATCATCTCCTTGGACTGCAACTGAGGACGCAGCGCCACCGCCCACACCGATACGGTACACTGGACCACCCACTTTCACTAGCAGCATGCCTGGATGTAAGAAAACAAGCAGTAAATAAATACATTTTTTATTTATTTATTGACAAACTCTAAAAAAAAAATAACTCTATTTGGGTGTATATTTTTTTGTTGTTACATGATATTATCTTCACCAATTGTAAATTTAATTTACTAGTTTTTTTATAAAACGTTATATTTCAAGGGGCTTATTTTAATTTCACAAAAAATATCCACTTTTAACAGTAGGATTATTATTTTTAGAGTAATTTTGAAGTTAGTAGGCCTTTTAGTTATAATTTTTTTTTAATTTAATGACACAGTACAAACAAAACATATTTTGTTGCAAATAAACAAGGTAATTTAAAAATTTAATTTAATAAAGGTATCAAAGTGATTTACTTTATTTCCAGCAGTAAAGTTATGTAGAAGGTATCATAAATAGTAGTACCGAACCAAAGTTAAAAAAATAGTACACGTATATACTACATAATATAAATTCTTCACAAAATATATTTGTATAAAAAGTTCTTCACCAAAATAATATACATACCTTTACTGGGCTTATTCTTTTTAATCATACTATGGGGCATGTATCCAATTCCACCACTGAACATGATTGGTTTAACAAACTCCTCTCTTACATTATCAGCATTCTTCAGTCCATATGATTGTACAAAACCTGGAAAAAGCATATTTAGTAATGTTTTATAATAATTAAAATGGAATGTCATCAACAGAAAAAGTGGTTATTATTTGAAGAAGCTAAGTGGAATAGACAGACTGCTATAAAAATAACAGATTTATAAAATATATTTTAACTATTAGTATGAAATACAAATCTTTGAATTTCTCTGCTTTTCTGTACTATAATATGCAAGTATTATACATATAAACCTTCCTCTTGAATCACTCTATTTATAAAAAAAACCGAATCAAAATCCGTTGCGTAGTTTTAAAGATCTAAGCATACATAGGCACAGACAGACAGCGGGAAGTAAATTTGTTTTATACTATTTAGTGATGGGACGGCCAAAATGTAATGAAAGTCTCAGTATTCAGACTTTATTTAAAACAGGATACTTCTGTTGGTAGATTTCCAGAAACTTAATATTTTAAAAACTGAATAATATTGATAAAATGCTTTATATATTTCTTTTTTATATTAAAAGCTTTTCTGTTTTTTCAAATAACATACCTGATACAACTGGTTCTCCAAACTTATTGCCATAGTCTGAAGCACCATTACTAGCATCAATAATAATTTGAAGAGGACTAGCAAAATTATTCGGATATTTCCAATCTTTGTCTTCCCAGGGCAAATCATAACCTATAAGCACAAATACATTATCAAGTTCAAGCTGCTAAGAAAAATATGAACCTTCACATATGAATGATTTTTAGTATAATATGAAAATCTATGGAAATTTCTTCATAACATGTTGTTTAGTGTACAGTGTACACTTACTTAGTTCACATGTTGTATATTATATAATATACTAGCAACTCACCCTCGCTTCGCTCGGGTTCGTCTTTATGTACGTTTTAACGGTTAGTATTAAATACAAATCTTTGAATTTCTCGGCTTTTCTGTACTATAATATGCATGTATTATATATATAAGCCTTCCTCTTGAATCACTGTATCTATTGCTAAAACTGCATTAAAATCCGTTAAGTACTTTAAAAGATCTAAGCGAACAGACAGCGGAAGCGACTTCACATTATACTATGTAAAGATATATAGTTATCCTTAAGAGATAGACATATTATGCCATAACGGAGTTTTCTGTAGACATATATAAGATATACAATTCCACCATACATTATTTTCCTATATCTCAAAGGGTTTAGGCAGCGTTTTCGTTGAAAGCTTCCAGACGACATTCCTCGAGAACCACCCTATCCATTGGTGAGAACAGCATGAAAATCAGTGCAGTAGTTTTTCGGTTTATCGCGAACAGACAGACATACAGACAGACGCGGCGCAGGACTTTGTTTTATAATACATATGTAGTGATTTATGTACATCCAAAAGTAAATTAAACCGTAGATTAGATATCTTTTTCTTGTCACATGAGAAAGAATTACCACATTTTATTCAATATAGTTAAGTAATACATCAACTTAATAAAAACCTTTAATTGATTCTTTGTCAGACAATACACAACCTGTTGCTGAGTTAGAAGCATGGAATTTTGCATAAATTTTCTCATGTAATAAATTGAGAGAAAGATTTTTGAAAATACTTTCCTTATAGGAGTAAAATAGGAGTCAAAATATGTGTACAAGTTAATCTTTTTTACATAGAAGTTAAAAATTAGAAACATAATTGTATAGAAATTGATGTCTCAGCTCATTTATTGCTGAAAACTGATTTAATGGGCTCAGTTTAGTCTACCTTAAAAGGCACATAAAGTATTTTAAGCAATACCTTTTTTAATATAATAAACAGCATGACATATTACAATAATAATAATACATAATAATAAATATATTGGGACATTAACACACAGCACTGTCTAGTTCCATGGTAAGCTAGGAGGCTTGTGTTATGGATACCAGATAGTTGATACACATATATAACTTTAAATATAAACATAATACATATAATAATAATAGTAAATACATCAATTCTCTAACTCCCTCAATATTCTAAAAACTGACCTGGAATATGCAAATTGCCAACACTATACCCAGCAGTTCCCGCTACAGTATGCCCTCCTCGACCAACACCCTGTACATCTCTTATACGACCCCCAGTTCCTGTGGTTGCACCACTAAATGGAGCTACTGCAGTTGGCATGTTATGGGTTTCAGCAGTAAATATTATGTCAGATTCTGTGATTTCTTCGATAACCTGAGATGGAGCCTTTATGTTGCTTGGCTTTATTTTTGTGTGTTTAAAACCTTTTATTGCACTGTAGAGAAAAGTAGTTCAAAATCAAAATTATATTAAACGATTTTGTACATTTTTCTTAGAAGAAATATTGACGAGCTTTACCTGCTGTTATCACCAAACTTAATAACATTGTTATCATTAGAAGTTTTTTGTGTTGAAGCAACCATATCTATCAAGGACTCACTTATTTCTTTACCATCTAAAATAATTTTGCCCTACAATGATAAATAATAAATAAATATATTTGAATTTTAACAGTCAACTTTTGACAATGTTTTTAAAGTCTTTTCACTTACCTTAAAAAACCAATGTCTTGAATGTTCACTATTACTCTGAGCTAGATCAAATAATTCAACACTTGTGGGGTCTCTCTTTAGTTTATTTACAAATAAATCCATATAAAACTCCATATCCCAAGAATCAAAAGCCAAACCTAACAAACAATAAAATATTTATTATTCAATAAAATAATGGACAAAATTTAGGAATAGTGGGTTAATAGGAATAGCTGTTTTCCTTTTACTGGAAAATGTAAAAAAATCGTATGAACATATCAATCAGTATGTAAGAAATTTTAATAGGCCTTTTATAAAGGACACTTTTACCTAATTTTTTATTAACTTTCTCCATTGCAGACATTCCTTCTGCTTGCAGTGGTACCACAAACCAGGGCTCTAAGTCTTTTGGTAGACCTTCATTAAAACTCTGCCTAGGCAGATTTTCTGTTGTATAAATGCATTGGGTCATCCTATCATGTAGCGGAGCAGCCAAATCCTCAAACAATTTTTTGCTGACATTTTTCGATTGTTTAAAGGATATGAGATATCTTGTGGATACTTCAAGACGCACAACATCATGTAGCCCAACACTTTGACAGATCTGAACTGAATTACTTGAATCAGCTGTAGAAAAGTTAAACCTACGAAGTTCAAAAATATTATTTAATTGATACTTATATTATTATTTAATTGAAAAAATTAACACATTATATTTAAATAGCATTATTTGTTTCAAAACTTACCTAGGTCCAATTTCAATAACAGTTTGGTTGTCATTTACAAATTTATAAGAAGATTCATTTTTAAGAGCATTGGGTTGAAGAGGTGAATTCAAAAGCCACTGTAATATTTTGATTTGGTTTATGTTGAGGTAATTACAACCTTCCGCAAGTTCCACATGGTAGCAAATTTCTGTAGACAACTCTTCCACATCGGAATCTACTTGTTTTAGCTTAGAAAGAATATCTTTCGTTTTATTTACACTAAAAGCTTCGTGAGTAAAAAATCTTAAGATACACATGGTCACTACAATATAGTTCTAATGGAATTCATTCAAGCGCATGACTGTCCCAAATCGAATTTAATAGGGTATTTCATCAATTTAATATCTTGCATCAATGTCAAAGATCAGGCCATATCACTTGTTGATGCTAGGCGAAAATAAATTAATGTTTTTAATAATAGTAGCTTACGCAACGATAATACTTAATAATACTGAGTAAGTATATCATTTTAATTTAGCTGAAAAGTTGTAAACAAGTAAGTAAATTACTTCGTGAAGAATTAGTAATTTTAACCTTAAAAGCATCTAGAGATAAGAATAAATTTTAATTGTATAGGCTATTTATTATAGTATAATTTTAAGGATATACAAATATCTTTTAAAAGTCGAATAGAAGAGTCAATAAAAAAAGATTTTTATATTTATCCGAGAAATTATTGTTATAATTACTAGACAAATTATTTATATAACTAGCATTGCCCGTGGCTCCGCCCGCGTTCAGATGACCAAAAACCAAATTCTTAGGTTTTACATATTAGTATACTAGCTTACAATGCAGTTTTTGTATTTTTTCAAAGAAATGAGATATTTTCCCGCGGTAAAAAGTATTCTATATGTTGACCCGGATAACCAGCTATCATCATACCAAATTTCATCATACAAAATCCAGTGGTTTTTCCGTGATGCGGTAACAGACAGACAGACAAAAATTCTAAAAACTATTGATTCAGCCTCTGTATCGAAATGTCTAATATAATAAGATTTTAAAAAATATATTTAATGTACAGATTCGGCTTAGTTAGAATTTTATTAGTAGAGATATAGAAGACCGGTGATATATCCGGTGAAAGAATAGAAATCGGGCACAGAACCAAGTAACCAGGTTACGCAGGAGAGATCAGGATTTCCAACTCCAGACTGGGTACTGAAAATTTCTTGACAGGAAAACTCGATAATTTTACTTGGACTGACCCAAGCACGACCCCCGAATCTGCAGCCGTACTATATACTAATTTCTAGCCACTAGCCACTATAGGTTACTAGATACTAGATAGACTATATTCTAGGACTGTAGTGTCGATCAAGAAAGGAACATATTATTCTCTGACAAGAGATCTAGGTCTAGCCTTACGAGTTCCGAAGCATTAGCAACTACACTCTACACTCTACAGTAAATTAAAGCCTAGCGCACCACACACGACTTCCATATAACCTCCTTATGTGTACGACATTTCTATATAATTTGTGGTGTACGATTTGTCGAACTTGATCTGTCCTGGATATTTTCGGGACCATCGCAGCGAATTTCATGGAATAAGGATTAAGGAATATAAGAATGGTGTCAAACTTAGCCGAGATCTTGTTTATCGATTCATGTTAAAAAGATATCAGTAAATTAACAAAAAAATAATTTACAAAAATTAATTTATAATAATTATAATTGTAATTATTTATTACTATGGGATGAATGTACGTAAATAAAGCTACCTAGGTAGGTAAGACCCAGCACTATAAGTAAATAAAGGCGGTTTATATATGTAGCAATATACTCTATGAAAGGCGGTAAGGCGTGGAGAATAAAATATCTGCCTAGTTTCTATCTTATGATGCATGCGTATAGATGTAAGGCCGATTTAAAACTAATTAAACCAATCCGTTTAAAACGAAAAAAGACGTTTAAAACCGATAAAAAAAATTTTTCTATTTAAAACTGTTGGTGTTGATGACTATCCTTGTTTTTCAATTATAGATCATAATTTTTATTTGTCATCCATGATCATAATGCTGTACTTTCACGCACAATGCCGAAGTGTGCTAATGCTTAATGAGGATCAGTACAGTTATAGCAAATTTCATAGAACTAGTATCCACGTCATTTTATAAGACATAAGAATGATATATCTTTTTGAATTATCTAAATCGGACCATAACTTACGAAGATATTAAGTAATAAACATTACGCCGTTCCTGCCGGCAAAATCCATGTACGCGGGTGCGTGTGACGTCACTGTGACGGTCCGAACGTAGCCGGCCCACGGCCCGGGCCTCTTACTTCACAATTTCGCGACGCAGTTGGCTACTACATTTAGTAATTACTTATTTAGTGTTTTATCAAGTGTATAATAAAATTCTAAGTCAAATCTGTACATTAAATATTTTTTGGAAAATATTATTGAAATAGACATTATCGATGCAGAGGCCGAATCTATAGTTTTTAGAATTTTTGTCTGTCTGTCTGTCTGTTACCGGATCACAGAAAAACTACTGGAGGGGTTTTGATGTTTGGTATGGTCATAGCTGGTTATCCGGGTCAACATATAGGATACTTTTTACAGCGGGAAAATATCTCATTTCTGAGAAAAAATACAAAAACTGGTTAGAATAAAACCACGATGATACTATATATATTTTAGCAAGGTAACTTACGTACTAAATACACTATTAAAAACAGTTTATCTTGAAAAAAAAAATAACAATAGCGCTATTTTATTTGGTTTTTAGTCATCTGAACGCGGGCGGAGCCGCGGGCAATGCTAGTATTTTATATTTCAGTTAAAAGAAGATATGGAAAATTGAAATTGTATTGAAAAACTTGGAATTGTATTAATTCTGAATATAAATTGTCAATATAGTCCTGTTGAGTCTGTGTTAATTATGACCTTTAATTATTTTTTTCAAAATGATATAAGGTCATCACCATCATCAGATGACAGCTTTTTATGGCTCCAGATCCAGCAATGATAAAAACAGTATTTTAAATACTTTTTTTTTATTGAACAGTAAAAAGTATTTTAGAGCTAATTATAGTATAATACTATTTTTAACAGTATGGTAGCAGTTGGTAGGCAGGTTTTTTTTTAACGTTGGGAAATGCATTTACGCACGACGTGTGGGACTCACCGGCGTAATACAGCCAGTACTACCCACTAAAACCCAACAAAACCTTCCCCCATCTTAATGGGGCGTCGCAGGATCGCTTACGCATTCAACTACGACGCCCCGACGGCAGGTCTGCCGAAGCAGATCACCACAACCATGGGGTTGCTCCAAGGTCCACTCAGCTATCAGAGAAGTACCAGGAGCAACCCGCATGGTACACCGCCCCCCGAAGAGGGCCACCTCCCACCGCCCACCGAAGTGAGCAACCTCCCTGTGCGTTTCTTAGTTTCGCGCCCGGTTGGCTTGCCGGGCACTACTGAGCCTCCCACTACGACAAGGTAAACGCACGTTGGGGGGAGGCAAGTATACCAACAAACTTTAGTTTTCGTGTAATTTAGGTAGGTACTTTCTATTGATATTTGATTTTCTATAAACTAATTAAAACGAAACATGATGTCAGGTGACCAAAAATTGCCTACAATGAAGTGTAAAACACTCTCCTTTTATTTTTGTGGGCGAGTGTTCAACCGTTTATAACGATTTATTTGGGGCTTAAAACGCAACATTTTATTTAAAACTTTTATTTGTCATCCATGTTTAAAACGATTTAAATCGGTTGTTTTAAATCTATGCATGCGCTTTATTTGACTTTATCATAATTATATTGCTTAAAAATAATGTATCTTCTGTGGGAATATCATAGACTGTAGAGTGTAGACTGGAAATTAGAATAGTAGTTACATCTATCTATGGTTCAGCCATCTTGTTTTTAAAATGGCGGTTGATCACATTGATTCGTAATATACTGTGCTATTAGCGTCGTTGTAAATTCTAAATATTTATTTACAATGGATAATGAAATTACCTCAATTAATATTATTGTATAATAAAAGCGTTTTACTGTGTGAGACAAAAAATTGACTATTGTACAATTTAATATACTAAAGGCGTATTAACGCCTGCTCGAGCCTCGAGCTTACCCAAGCCGCTTACTTATTTTATTGATTTTTCTTGATCAATGCTCAAATATGATGATGTATACGGTAAGTTTTATTTGCCTTTGTAAATATTTGAAATCTTATTACATAATTACATTTGATAAATTCTACAATATTATTATTTAATAATTATTGTGTATAATTAAAGAGGTTTAATTAAATAGGCACATATCACTCTAATTTAATGAAAATGTTTAGAAACGTTAGTATTGATTATTTTTGCGATGAATATTGTAATCACATCAAAAAAGTACATATGGCAATTAAAAATTGAAATTGTTGAGGTTAAGATATTGCCTACGCAAGGAGTTTTATATTATATTGCGTATAATTTTTAGGTTATATACATGAAACTTTTATAGTGGCAAATCGATTACTGTATCCATAAATATTTTACAAGTGAAATTACACACTCATAATATATAACAATGAATATGGTATGTTCTTGTACAGAACTTTTTGATACAGTATAAAATTTCTTATAGCACGCTAATTATAAGTAATAATGCATAATAATACATGAAATGAAAAGAACCTTATTTATAAATAATTGTTTAGGTTTTAGACTTATTACTAAATGTTTTAATCTTAAAAACATTTTGGTATTTGTAGGGTACAAGTACGGAGCAGGACACTCGCTTCAGTGACAAGGAGAAGAAGTTAATGAAACAAATGAAGTTTGGAGATTGTTTGACGCAACAGGTACATACAAAATTTCAATTTTTCTTGTAGAACTTATATTGTTTGTTTAATATTATTATATTCTTTTAAAACACATGCAATATAAATGTGCAAATAACCAAAAATTCCAGTCAATTGTTCAAGTCATTGGGCTCCATAAATAATCTTATCTAAAACACTATTTTCTTAATAAAGACTGCAATATTAGCAGACTAATGGCTTAAAGTATTCAAAATGCCATTTATAAATGAAATCCAATTATCTAAACATTTTATTATTTTATTTCAAATACAGATACAGCAACTTAATGGCTAGTTATTTTCTAACTTCAATTAAAGTTATTATGATTTCTGATAAAACATTTTTATTTATCCAATTGATAAGTAGCCTGTAGCAGTAGGTGGTAATATAGCTTACTATTCGAGAAAGAATTCATAGAATGAATCAGTAGCTTCCAATTACTTACCCCCTACTTTCTAGGTAAACTTTGTTTACATACATTTTGAAGCTTATGCAGAAAAACATGCTTTTTTCTCACTTTATTCTTTATATTTTGTCATACTCCATACTGCATGTAGCTAGTTTGTGCTATGTACTAAAGGATAAGAGTATATTATGGTAGAAATATTATATTAACCTCTTATTATACTAAAATTTGTTCTAACTTTAGGCGTTTCTAATATGAATAAATATTGCATATTTGTATTTTAAACATAATGGTCAATAGGTGGACATGTCCAAGGTGAAGTTGGATGTGCTGAAGCCATGGATCACCCAGAAAATTACCGAAATCCTGAAGATGGAAGACGATGTGGTGATTGATTATGTCAACAACCAACTTGAGGAAAAGGTGACTAATATTTCTATATTTTTATATTAATATTTGTAAAACAATGTAATCATTGCAGTTTCTTTTGGCTAAATTTTTTAAATAAAATTAAGTAAGTCCAGTCACGAAACATGATGTAAAAAGAAACTGCAATTGAAGTATATTATTACTAAATGTATATTGATTGGCTATGGCTATTTTTATGGTCCCCATCGGTTAGCGCGCCGCCATCGCCGCCAGCCGCAGCCGCCCGCCGACGCCGCCCGCCCGTCTCTTCTTACGGAGGCCCTTAGCATTCTGAATCGGTATTTACGGGGAAATTAAATACTTAAATGCTACTTCTATAAAAATGTGCTCAAATATAATAACTCTGAGACGCTCAGAGGGAGATTTGACTCGAGGTAGGGAAGTTTCCTCAGTTAGGCTTTGCGGTCAACATAATGTGGTTGTGTTCGCAACACCCTTACAGATGCAAGATTTGGAAGAGGAGTGAGTATGGCGTTCGTCGAGCATCTTTTCGGCGGCGGTGGCGGCGAGGCTCCGGGGACGGCGTAGCGGCGCGGCGCGGCACGACTCGCCACTGCGACCGAAGCCCATCGACTTCACACTCATAAAATGTACTTCTTAATTGCCTTACATTTGCTTCCCTACCCGAGTCATTTCTGTCATTAACACTTTTCACAGATGCAATAAGACACTCCGAGCGTCTCCTCGAGTTCTAAATTTTATTGTCTCCGAGCCGACTTGTATAACATGCCAAATGGTACAAGGAACTGCCGAACTGAGAGTTATTGCGCTCTTGTCGATAGATGACTAATTATATGATATTTTCTTCCCGCTCCGCTTCCTCGTCTCCCAGTTCCCTTGTCCAAAGAAAATGCAGATCAACTTGACTGGATTTCTAAATGGGAAGAATGCGAGGCTGTTCATGGGTGAACTGTGGGAGCTGCTCCTGAGCGCGCAGGCCAGCGAGAACGGCATTCCCGAATCCTTCACACAGCAGAAGAAAGAAGAAATCAAGAAACGTATGGTAAGTGTAACATATTATATTGAGTGGATTTTAGTGCTCTGGATATGAAAATGGTGAAAAATTTATCGTTTTCGTGTCTCGTAATATATTTTATGAGTTTTTTTATGCTCAATTATATTTATTTACCATTCTCATATCGAGCATTTTTTTTAACATGATCAGTTTTGAGGACAAGCGATAGCGTAACATAGGTAAAAAAATGATCCTATCATGATTCTTCGAAAATATCGCATTCAAAGATTCACTTCACTTGCTTTTATATACGTGTTTATTATAATGTTACTTTCTTTACCTACATATACATCCTACTAATATTATAAATGCGAAAGTTGTGAGGACGTATGTATGTCTAGATGTATAGACATATGGATGTTATTACTCTTTCACGCAAAAACTACTGAATGGATTTTAATGAAACTTTACAATAATATAGCTCATACATCAGAATAAAACATAGGAGACTTTTTATCCCGGAAAAATGTATGGTTCCCGTGGGATAGATTTGTTTTTCGCTAGTATAATATAAATAGTGGCATTATACCAAAGAATTTTTCAAATTCAAGTTTATTGACTACGCGTTTATCTCAGTAGTAACCCTACTCGCTGTGCCAGCGGTCTCGGGTTCGAGTCCCGCTGGGGGCATTAATTTGTGAGATGAGCTAGAATATTTGTTCTCCAGTCATGGGCTATATTTATAATATGTATGTATTTAAGAGTCATTTATATGTGTAGTGTATCAACTATGTGGTATCCATAACACAAACCTCGTACCTTACCATGGAACGAGATAGCGCTGTGTGTTCAATGTCCCAACATAATTATTTATTATTGTTATTTATTAACTGCCTTATATAGGAAGAGCAGCAAAAGGACAAGGACAAGGATAAGGACCGCCGCAGGTCTCGCTCGCGCTCGCGGCGGCGCTCCCGGGACCGGCGGCGTTCGAGGTCTAGGTCCAGAGATAGATCTTCAGATAGGAAGTATGTATGATTTTAAATATATTATATATATATGATTATAAATAAGTTTTTATTTAAATTGATAAAATGATTTTAATTTAAATGAACAAAAATTGTAAGTAGGGTGTCAACATTTCTTCGTCGAAATATAATATGTTTCAAAATAAGCTATAAAAATATTACACTTCAAAAAAATATAGTATTTTATGGAAAAAGCAAATATAATATTTTTATAAAACTATTTTTTTTACGAAAAAATAGTTTTATTTAATTTACCTAAACTAGACACAATATATTTTGATACAAATCATAGGGTTTGCTTTAAAAACTGTAAACTTTTCATTGATTCTTATACAGTGTAGATAGAATATAGAGCTATGTATGGAATTGTATGTGAGGAAGTTATATGACCAGGAAATGACGCATGCAGTGATTGGATTGTTACTAAGCCGAGTTCAGTTATCATGTCGCGGCAGCGAGCACTTAACTATTCTTGCTTAATTAGACGCATTTTTTTAATTTTTTAACTAAAAGAAATGTGTGTCTGGATACACAATCCAAGGTTTATGCCAATAGATCCGTGACCAACCGCCTACGAGAATGTTTACCTGAATTTTTTTTATTGATTCATAGAGCATAAGTTATATATGGAATATAACTTATGCTCTATGAATCAATGAAAAAAAAATACAATTTTGAACTAAAAACAAGCAAGAAATAGCAAATTTCTATTAAAAAAATTACTTGTGTTACTTTTAGAACAACAAACAAAAGTAACTTTATTTATTCCCATTTTCACCTCCTTAAGGGATGATTTCCGGGAAAAAAGAATCCTATGTCCTTCCCAAGGTCTCAAACTATGTTCTTACCAAATTTCATCTAAATGGGTTCACTAGATCTAGAGATTACCCCCTACAACGTCACAAACCCACAAACTCACAATTCACAAACTCATAAAGTTTACCTCTTTATAATATTAGTATAGATATCAAAATATTTTTGGGCAAATATAATTAGACCTACCCACTTTTTAATAATAGGCACATTTAAATGTTTTTATTGAAACATGCTGCCTAATTTTCAATATTAAATTATTTACATATATATTATTTATGATTATATAATTTTTCCCAACAGCCTACGTCGCAGCGGGGGCAGTCCGCGGCGCTCGCGTCGCCGGAGCCGCGACAAGGTGAGCCAGCCCAAGCCGCATGTGGACGACATCAAGTTACCTGAACCAAAGGGTTAGTATTGATAATGTCGATATTATTCCTATTTTCATTCCATTTGCTTAATAAATGTGGGCTAATTTACCATAGCAGTACAGAGGTTTTTAGATGCTTAAGGATTCATTTTTATATCAGTATGTGGATGAAACTTTGATTATGAAGTCTGTATCGATTTTAGTATTGTTTCCTCTTTATTTATTTCTAATATTTGCAAAACGTGTACTTTTATGAAATGGCTAGAAGAGCTTTTATTATATTATAATCTTTCTCTTAATAAATCTTATTCTTGATTATATTCATTAAACGCATTAAATATTTATATTCAATATAGAAAATGGAAAATCACCGGAGAAGAAGGAAGAAATTGAAGTAAAGGAAGATTTGAACCACATTTCAATTGAATCAATTAAAGATGATAACGAAGATGTTCCTGTGGAAGAAGAGAAGAATGAAGCAGATCCAAAATCTAGGTCTGCGTCACCCAACAAGTGCGTAAATTATAGATTTTTAATTATACTTAAAAGTTTATTTTAGAAACCCTTACAGTATATAAAAATAAAAAAAAGCAGAAAAATTTTGCAAAATTGTTTGATAAACTGTGAGCAACACATTTCCTTACACCCCCCTGACCCACCTTGTCACATCTTGCCAGATCTTATCACAGTAAGATACCTCCTAGCCCCATAAGTGCGAACGTATTTTATGAATGACCCCTTAAATATAGGATAGAATATTGCCATGAAATTTTTGAATGAGCCTATTTAAAGTAAATTTTGAGATTGTTTTTATAAAGGTATGTAATATAACATAAAGTGTAGTTAAGATATTTTGACTTAGTCGTTGAAATTGCAATGGCATTTTAAAGTTTGAACATATATTTCATAAAATTTAATATTATATATTTCAAAACATATTGTTTAAAATAAAATTCTATTGTTAGGTCTGTTGTGGAAAAAGAGGAAGAAAAGCCCGCCGAAAAAACACGCCATTCATCCAGTGAACGTCGGTCTACATCTGCGTCTTCTCGTAAGATAAATTCAAAATAATATTATAACTTTATTATAATAAAAAACAATCCATATAAATAATAAAACATATTTTATATAAGAGAAACAATATCTTAACTTCTGTGTCTAATCTTCTTTACAAACTATTGATACTAATATTTAGATATAAAATAATATTTTTCACTAGAGATCTCTAATGTACTGAAACATACATGCTACATTATTTTCAAATACATATAAAACTTTTCTTTTGTAATACTAAATAAAAGTAATCAGTTAAACAATGACCTAAGACCTAAGTCAAACTTACTATAATAACGATCGATATGATCCACTTTTATGGACAGTTGTTTGGGGCATTTCATCTTTGTATAAGCATTATGATTTCACCTAATTACATTATTAGATGTAATTTCTATAACATTACAATATTGATTATCTTGTATTAAGGTGGCAGTGCTAAGAAAAGGTCATCGCATAAAAAGCGTCAGTACCGTTCCAATCGCGACTCTTCGACAAGTGTCAGCCCCAGACGCAGCTCGCGTAGAGAGAGGTAAATGGGATCAAATAATTTTATATTAGTATACTGATTTTATTTAAAAATTGTACAAGTTTGATTTAAGAATGTTTGTTTATTTATTTTACTTAATGTAATTATGAGTAAAATTGGACCAGTAGTCCATCCACTTCACATAGTTCGTCGATTTTCATTTTTTTCTTTGTCACTATGGAATTTAGCAGGCCCCATATTTATTTATTTTTTATGTCACCTGTCTAAGAATACTTAGACTAATGAGACGAATCTAACGATACCTTAATTAAAAAAACCATCGAGTGGTTTGAAAGATATGAGGGAATAAAGAATATTACAAATAAAGATACAAAGATAACCCTTTTCTTGCAGTCGAGTAAAAATAATTTTTAAAACAATAATTATTACAGGAGTAAATCTCGCCGACGCAGCAGTCGGCGTCGGTCAGTGGAGCGCCGAGACCGCGATCGTGACCGGGAGCGAGAGCGCGAGCGAGAGAGAGAGAGGGAGAGAGAGCGCCGCCGTAGAGAGAGGGAGAGGCGCGAGAGGTATTAGGGATTCCGAGTTGTTCTTTTTTTAAATGCTTACCATTATTTATGAAGCAAAAGTAACATTGTGGGGATGCTTTAAGGCTAAAATGAAGGATATTGCAAAACTAAAGAAAATGTTGTGTAAAAAGTGTTATTTTATTTATTATATATGCTACAATATAAAAATAAACTTTCAAGAAAAATATCTTTAATCTTTATATATTATATTTTTTTTTTATTTCTGAAGTCTCTATGATATTTCATTTTAACGTATGAGTTGTGAATACCAGGTCACGAGAACGTCGCCGATCGCTTGAAAGACGTAGTAGACGCACGCGTTCACGCTCTCGACGACGTTCAAAAGACAGGTAATTTTATGTTTATTTTTTTATTTAGTTTATTTCATCTTTTCTTTTAATTAATATAATAAATAAAGTTATTTTTATATATATTTATTTTGATAAAGAACTCAAATATTATATTTTTATTTAATTATATTTATTAACCAAGTCTTCAAAGTCCTATATTAGGGAATATACATGTGATTTAAATAAAGGTGATTTTTTTATATAAAATAAATAATATTAATTGTTTTTATTTTATAATTTTTATTGCTTCTGAATTAAGCCTATGTCAATATTTTTTAATGTAATTTCTTTTTCATTATGAAAATATAATAATTGAAAAGTGAAAAAATGTGTGGGAAATTCAAAGTAGTTGAAACGCAACGCCATTGGTCAGACTGAATGTGACGTCAAAGTCTATTATAATATATCGTTGTTATTTGCTGTTTGCAATTGGTATTAGCAATCTAGACATGTTCTTTCGTTTATTGTAATGTTGTCATAGCCTATGACGTCACGCCAAGCGTGCCAAAATGGTTGGCACGCTTAGCGTTACATATCCGTATCTATGACGTTTTTAAATTATTTTTGTTACGCTACATCTTAGTTTTTTTATGCTGGATATTTTTTTCCAATTATATAATGATGTAAAGCTATTGTATAAAAAACCCACCTATATTCCCTATTATAAGGATTAGATTGATTTATTATGAATCGAATATGTTTAGAATAACAATTGATCAAAAGCATTGAATCTACAAAAGTAGTAACTTGTTATGCAGGTCTCGTGACCGGCGCCGGTCGCGGTCGCGCAGGCGGTCGCGCTCGCACCGGCGCTCCGGCCGGCGCTCCCGCGACCGCCGCTCCAGGGACCGCAGGTCTAGGGATCGCCGGTCTAGAGAGAGGTCCAGGTAAAGTGGTGCTACTAATAATATTGTTTATTTTGTTTCTTCTACATATATGTAAATTATTGAAATTTATATACAACTAGCATTGCCCGCGGCTCCGCCCGCGTTCTGATGACCAAAAACCAAATTCTTAGGTTTTACATATAAGTATGCCCTTACATTCCAGTTTATGTATTTTTTCTTAGAAATGAGACATTTTACCGCGATAAAAAGTATCCTATATGTTGACCCGGATAACCAGCTGTCACCATACTAAATTTTATCAAAATCCTTCCAGTGGTTTATCTGTGATGCGGTAACAGACAGACAAATATTATAACAACTATAGATTCGGCCTCTGTATCGATAATAATGTTTATTTCAATAAGATTTTTCAAAAAATATTTAATGTACAGATTCGGCTTAGTTACAATTTTATTATATGTATAGATAGAATTAAATGGAATATGTTACGTTTTACATTCATAATAATATAAAGTATGAGTAACTATGAGAGGGTTTAAATTAGTGTTTTATAAATTTTAATTTAAAATTTATAACAGGGACAAGAGATCGAGGGACAGGTCAGGAAAGGACAGAAGGTCAAGGGAGAGGAAATCACGTGAAAGAAGATCGAGTGATTTAATTAAAGAACGCTTGGAAAAATCGGTCTCAATACCGCGTAAAGGTGAGTTATTATATATTAAAATTAATAAACTACCAACTGGTAGTTTTTAAAGTGTACTTTAATATTTAATTAATATTTTAATTTTCATTAACAGAAAACGTAGACAAATTACGTAAGAAGTCACCTGAACGAGTGTCCCTTCCGCGGGAGCGATCTAAGGAGCGCGTGTCGAGTACAAGCAGAGAATCTTCTGTTGTTAATGAAAACAGAGATAAATCAGTTTCGCAAAACGATAGCCAGACCAAGCCTGTTCAATCATCTGATGATGAGGAAAGGGACGATTTCATTGCAGTACCAGTTTTACGAGAATATTCTAAGAGTCTGTCTCGCACACCGTCGCCATTCTTAAGAAAACATGAAATGGAAACCAATAAAAAGTCAGACAGGTCTGGCGACGATGCTTCAGGGAAAGATCATATTGACGAGGATACTAGCAAAGTCCAAGAAGTTAAGAAGAATAAGCGTAAAGGTAAACAATCGGAATCAGAAAGTGAGAGTAGCGAGGAAGTATCTAAATCTAAGAGTAAATCTAAACTTAAGCGTAAAGAAAAACCCACCTCAAAGAGATCGAAGAAACCCAAAAAAGAGAGTTCATCTAGTGACAGTGAGTCGGAGGACTCATCGTCAAGTGATTCAGAAGAAGACAGGAAGAAGAAAAGCAAAAAGACCGCCAAAAAGAAGTTGGCTAAAAAATCGCGAAAGAAGCGAACACGATCTTCTAGTTCCGAATCTAGTTCGGAAGAAGAGGTCAAACACAAGAGTTCCAAAAGTAAACAGAAGAACATTCCAGAGGAATCTGATACTGACAAAAAATCTAAGAAACGAGGGAAAGATTCTAATGTTGACCGCGCCAAGATAGAGAAAAGTGAGAAACAGATCAAGTCCAAGAAAGTTGACAATTCGGAAGATTCTCATGATGACAGTTCAGACAGTGACGTAAAATCGACCAAAAAGAAGGCAAAACATGATTCAACCTCTTCAGAAAAAGAAATGAGACGTAAAAAAGCAGAATCTATTAAGGAAAAAATTGTATCACCTGAAATAACCAAGTCGAGAAAAGAGGAGAAACCAAAAGCTAAACATGCAGATGATATAAAGCCCAAAGCACGTGAAGATAGCGAGAAGAAAGCTAAAAAGAGGGAAAAAGAAGATTCATCGTCTGACAGTGATCAAGTGTCAAAGAAAAAACCCAGAAAGAAGGTATCGGAGTCTGAGTCTGATTCGGACAGTGATGAGCCTAAAAAATCTAAAAAGGCTAAAAAGCACAAAAAACACTCGAAAAAACATAAGAAACACAAGAAGCATAAGAAAGCGTCTAAGCGAAAAGATGATTCGTCTGATAGCGACGACGCCGAGGAAGAGGAGGAAGAGGATAGCAAGGTCAATAATGAGGACTTGGAAAAAAAACTTCGCGAGAGGGCTTTAAAGTCTATGAAGAAACAGACTAGCGCGTCTGGCTCCGATTAACAGTTAATTCGTCGGGGGACTCGACGACATCGGCGTAATCAATCTAAAGGCGGCATAAAGGTTCGAAAGAAAAAAAAATAACTATGTCGAATTTATGCTGGTTAAATACCGCGATGTTTCTATCGAGTCTCTTGTGTAGTACTTCAGTGATGACTTCGATACAACTTTTTAATTTTAACGCTATGTAACTACAACTTTAAATGATGTAGGAAGTATGATTTAAGATAACGTGTATGTCTTTGTTAGTAATAAAATTTGCTAATTATGTGGTATTGTTTTATTGTTTATTTATTTATAGTAACTCATAAATATTAAATCACAGGCTTACACAATAACAATTATACATAAATTAATTCATTATAAGAATGACATGATATTAACTTCAATGAAAAACTTGATTACATCTATATATAATAATTAAAAATAAGAGTGGTTAATTTAAATATAATTCTTTGGTCAAAACTATACCGGAATAACTGTATGTTAAGTACATTGAAGCAAACATCGGAGATTAAAGTGTGGAATGTAAATTTATAACTAGTATTATGGTCGCTCATTTGGTAGGTTCTGACTTACAAAAGGTCAAGGAGAGTTCTAATTTGGTAGATTTTATAGTTCGATACTATTATTTATTTTCGGAGTTGACCTTCAGCTACGACCGCTTGTATCGCCTTATCGGAAAAATTGTACCGAAAATCGGTAGTGAGTATACAAACACCACAGAATTTTTGTCTGTGCTTTTTTGTTTTTTTTTATTAGAGGTGATTTTTTCTTAATTTCGTGTTAGATGAAATCTCTTGTATCTTTAGTATTGGTCATGCAAGCAGCGGTCGTTAAAGTTTGTAAACACCGAATATCAATCGACTTAATACCAAACAATACAAATGCACCAAATTAGGACTGTCATAGATATTTTGTATCGGGCATTATCGTGCAAAATACGTACCACAACCGTTAATATTTAAAAAAAAAATCTACATCACATTATGTAGTAAGGTACAGCTGTAGAATATGCTATGTAACTATTCACGGCTTCTAAATTCTGATATTATATTATAATTTACAAGTGATAAATACATCGGGAAAGTCCACGTACAGTTTAGCCTCTGTGACAAATTAAATGTTTATAACTAATACAAGTAAATCCCTTATACAATTAAAATTAATACAATGTATTATTTATCGCCTTGTATAACCCCTGTATCCAGCAACTAAGCTTGGTGTAACACCACTGTTGTAAATGTTTCCTTTTTTGTAATATCCATAGCCAAGATGACCACCGCCTATATAGTTAGGGTTATTGTAACCGTAGTAGGAGTTTAAACCGCCGTTGCCTCCAAAGCCACCATATCCTCCGTTTCCGATATTTTCATAACCATTTGGTGACGAACCAAAGTTTGGATTGTATCCGCTAGCCCCATAGCCCGCACCGTATCCACTGGCGCCATATCCACTGGCACCATAACCACTGGCACCATAACCACTAGCACCATAACCGTTAGGACCATAACCGTTAGCACCATAACCACTGGCACCATATCCACTAGAGCCATATCCACTAGCGCCATACTCATTGGCGCCATAGCCACTACCACCATATCTACCAGCATCATATCCACCAGAACTATATCCACCCTGACCTAAATTATTAGAACCGTATCCTTTATATCCTGCGCCGCCATAATCGGCTATGTCATTGTATCTATTGTATCCAGTATAACCACTTTTCAATGAGTTGTCATAACCGCTAAATCCCTTATATCCAGGACCATTTGCATATTTATCATCTATGGTACCGAGTCCTGTCACCGAGAATGTGTAACCTCCGGGATTATGTCCTCCCCAGTCAGAGTATTGACTGGTATCTGTAACACGATAAATATTTTCTACTTAAATATTTTTGTAAGATTGGTGAAAAAATACTGGATGGATACTTGAAATATAGATAGTCATAGATGTTACAGAATTAACAATATTTTAATTAGTATTTACACTTCATACAGAACAATATGATTTACTTACATGAACTGCTTGCCGTCTTAAGATCATTTTCTGCTTTTTGTTGGCTGGTTTCTTTACCAGCAGGCGCTGCATATGTTGAGGCAGACACGAGAAGTATCAAAATGTATTTACAATTCGCCATCTGTAAGAAAATTATAGATACTTTAATATTATGTTACACCTCTCTTTTTAATTACTTTAAGTATAATTCTTTATTTCTTAGTTGTTTTATGGGTTTTAGGCGACAAAAAATTATTTCACCAATGTCATTCTTACTACGAAACGACAGACAGGGACAGGCATCGAATCTGTCACACTCATCCATTATTTTACCACGTCGGGGATTATAAAAAAACAATGTTTTGAGAATCGTATCTGCGACCTACGAGTTTACATAACGTCACTCAAACATACTGTCGTCAACTTAAGATTTTTATGTAATTACTTTATTAAATATACTTATCTATACATATTGCAGTTTACATAACAATAAAATGTTGGATTACCAGTACCTACCTATTCATATATAAAAAAGTCTTGAAAACTTGCTAGGTTCTCTCAGACATGCAGGTTTCCCCACGATGTTTTCCTTTTTCGTAAGGCAAGTGGTAATTCGTAAGGCATGTTATAAATGATTCGCACATGAAAATATCAGAGGTGCGAGACCTGGGATTTGAACCCGCTTTACTCGTTTTCCCAAGCGAGCGCGTTACCACTGGGCTACCACTGCCTTAACTACTTAGTACTTTATAGTAAATAATTCAATATTTTAACGTATTAATTAGTAAGAATAAGGACATACTTAATAGGCCTCTATATTGCAAATTAACCTGAGTAACTAATTATTACAACGTGAAGGTAACGCTTAATATTGTGACCCTCAACACAATAAACGAGTGTCTGTTGGAGAATTCTCACATCGAAATTGACCTAACGAGTATAAAATTTGGTGTTGAATATTGAAAATAATAATGGATGTTTTAATATCTATTTGTAAGTTTAAACTTATACTTACAATTATACTTTTAAAGTGTTTTATGCCCGATTTCACCAACAACCTATAAGATACCACCTACGTATGAGAAGTCCCCTAAACTAGCACCTAAATTAAATTTCGTTTTACCAGATCGTTAGAGCCCGCATTTCTAGTACCTATATTTAGGTGGCTTTTAACATTTAGGTGACCCCTAACTGTCGGTAAAACAGAAACTGTCCCCTAACAACCCCCTAACTAATCTTAGGGGATCCCTTAAGCTTATAGGTGACGTTGTTGAAATCGGCCATTGCTAGGGTCACAAAGTATAAGTACATAGGTGATAACCGTATTATGTACATAACACATTTTAATGATTTATCTTAATCATTCTGAAGTTTACTAAAAGTTGATAACTAATTTAGTTTTACATATAACATTATATAGTTCGATAAATTTTGTAAGAACCAGTCACGATAAATATATTGGTTTCATGAACTTAATAAAACCTGTACTGTCCGCGTGTTTGTTTGTATCTATTTAGGTAATTTAAAATCGCAACCATTAAACATTATTCTACTAAAATCTGTGTCGTCCGTCCAAAGTTTGCTAACCCTTTTAAATCTGCACTTTTAAGGTTTTGCAACCTAATATGCGACTTTTACTCTCTATTAGTTCACAATAGTTTACTATTATACTTTATACCTATGTATTTAATTTTTGATTTACAAGAACATGCATGCATTGCCCATTTTCAAACGTCAAAGGACGGATCTAAAACCCCAAGGAGGGTTATGTGTTTGACCTGTATGTATGCATATATATACCAATCTTATGTTCCCTCGTAATTACCAAAAGGCGTAACCGATTTTAATGATTCATACGTCGTTAGAATCGTATTGATAACGTAAGTGTTATAATCTAAGCTATTCATAAATAATAATCAAAACGACGGATTTCCGGCATAGATTTGTAGTTTGAAAAAAAAATTCGTTCTAACCTATCGAATGGGATATGAAAATAAAGGTTTTTAAATTTTAAGAGGTGGTTTTATATATGTATCTTTTATGTTAATAATAATTAAAGGAAACAAATTGTTAAATGAACCTGTTAATGTATAACTGGCCTAAACTGCCAAAGCTGTAAATAATAAAAAACCCGATTACATAAAAAGCGTACTAAAAAGAAAGGAATAAGTCAATGAAGGAAAATAGTATTACATAATTGTAGTCGGAGACATACATAAACGTAGTTAAACTCGCAGCAAGTACAAAACACCTCATGTCTATCATATCTCGGATAATGTACTATTTTCCTTCGTTAATTTTATTATTGCAGTTTATTAGCTTTAACGTATAATGTTTATTTTGCTGAGCTGAAATATGTAGGTTACGTTTAGCGTCACGAATCGATTCAAAAATATTATATACTAGCATTGCCCGCGGCTCCGCCCGCGTTCAGATGACCAAAAACGAAATTCTTAGGTTTTACATATTAATATTATCTTACAATGCAGTTTTTGTATTTTTTTTCAGAAATGAGATATTTTCCCGCGGTAAAAAGTATCCTATATGTTGACCCGGATAACCAGCTATCATCATACCAAATTTCATCAAAATCTGTTCAGTGGTTTTCTCGTGATGCGGTAACAGACAGACAGACTAAAATTTTAAAAACTATAGATTCCGACTCTGTATCGATAATAATGTCTATTTCAATAAGATTTTCGAAACTTTATTTCAAGATAAACATAATATGTATATGCGATCTTGATATTATATGTATTTAACAGGTCAGTAATAAATTATTTGATGTATACTGTATTGTTATGAGGACTATAATAACTTATTTAATGATGTTTAAATTATTTTATTAATTATATTACTTGAAAATAAAAATAAAATACTTACACTTAAAAACGCTTCGTTATATTTGGTAACACTGAGCACTAGTACTGCGGATGAGTTTAGACGCGCTCTGAGTGCGTACGCATACGTACAACCTTTATAAACCGTGGGAGTTTTTGTCTTATAATTGACAATGGTCACTGAGAGGTAATGAGTCCGTTTGTAGGCAATCCGTCCTTCTGCAAAGATGCAATGACGCAGACTAATTTTAGCATGACACAATGTGTCATTCTCTTACGAGCTATAAAATCTCGGGAGCGTACCTCTAATAGCTGAGGTCAACGCTATATTTGCATAGTTTATTACTTGATTTATTCCAGGCTAAGCTGTCCTATTCAATATTCAAAGGAGACAATATGAGGTACTTTAAATAGTAAGGAAATTGTATATTATATAAAAAGGCTTTGTGTCTTTTATAATATTCAAGGTAAGTGTGAATAGGTGGTTACTGAATTAGTGCGACTTACCATCTACGACTGCGTTACCACTTACCATCAGGTGGAACGTAGTCAAGCTGACTTTGTGCCAAAAAAAAAAATTATTATACCTAAACACATTCTTAGTGAGGGGAAGTGTACCAATTAAATTATTATTTATTTGGTGCAACAGCATTTCTTTGTTCAAAAAAAAAAAATTTAAAATACGTATTTATTTATGAGATTATATGCGGAAATTATAAGGTTTCCAATTTTAACTGGTGAAATGAAGACCGACGTTTTCTTGCTCTTACGCTCCACTGCGTAGAGGATGTCGTGACAAGGCCACTTTTAATGATTGCATACATTTTAAGGAATAGATTAGAATTGTATGAAAGAACATTGTCATCTTTGTCTACTTATTTAGATTTTAATATGTCATTTTTATTGTTTACATAAAACAGTCATATTCTATTTACATTATTACATTAAGTTAACAAAAAAAATAGTTTCTTACAGAGCATACGAAGTGTTATTTATTCTCCCTTCTTTCCATTCCAAACCAAATTGGTTTTAAAATGTTATGTGCTGATAGTACCTAGTTCTAGTAGTAGTTTCTAGTAATTAACGGATTTCCAAAAAAGGAGGATGTTCTAGGATCGTCTATATATGTTTTTTATGTATGTTCACCGACTTCTCGAAAACGGCTTGACCGATTTTGCTACTTTAAGCGGTATTATATGCAGCTAGGTCCCGAGGTGGTCCCATAAAATTTTCTTTGACACAGAGTAAACCGTTTTCGAGAAAATCTGATTTGAAAATGAACCATAAAATTTAAAGTACGAGTACATATATGTTAACAACTCTAATTAGTCTTTTTTACCTACTTCTCATTGTCATGTCAACTTGAAGCTTTGTAAGTTTTTGTATTTCTGATGATAATACAGTTATTTGGTATCATTGAGCTGAACTGATGGTGTGGCCAGAAGGTGGATAGTGGAATTCTTCAACAGCTACTAGTAAATACTTTGAATTTGAGCTTATTACCCGACTGCAAGGAAAGGGTTATGTTTTTCGCGCCTATCTTTATATGTTTGTAATATTCTTTATTCCCTCATATCTTCTAAACCAGTCGATGGATTTCTTTAATTAAAGTATTGTTAGATTCGTCTTATTAGTCCAAGTATTCTTAGACAGGTGACATATAAAAATTAAATATGGGACTGCTAGATTCCTTAGTGTGAAAAAGAAAGAAATGAAAATCGACGAACTATGCCATGTGGGGTATCGTTGAATAGGTATTTAAAAATCATTTTTAGGTTTCTTTCATCATTTTTCATTTTAAATAACGCTTTAGGATATATAATGATTTAAAGTTGGTCAACAACTATATTCCTTCATGAACTTGTTTTCATCTTTATATGCAGTCAGGTTTTTTTTATAATATATTTGTTTATTTGGTTTCATTGGACTAGCGAAATACGTTAGAATTAGATATTAGGGCCAACTCTTTACTATATCAACCTTAAAATCTAGTTGCATTTCAAACTCATATTTATAACAATTTAAAAGTGTGTATCAGTCATTTTCATAAATAAATATACTACAACATGGTAGTTTTTTTATACGAGACTATTTTATGCGTCTAAAACGGAACACAAAGGCCCAGTGTCCCGTAACGATGTATTTAAGTCATGGTCATAGCCGCTAAGACTCGAAGTCATAAAATCTTGCGTACCTACGTTAAAGAAATGTATCAAAATGGGAAAATAAACAACTAAAAGCTGGTTAATCCAAATATCCGTGTGAGTTAGTTATATATTTTGTAATAGACCCATGTAGAATTTGGTAATTTAATTTAATCAAGTACGTCAGAATGTCTTAGAATAATAATTCCATTAAACGACTTGGTCGTTCTGACGTGCCGCGCGCGTCAAAATACAGATAGACGAGTGCTAGTATTGATCTTTTTGAATTATTTATTGCGGACACGACAGACATTTCTTTACTTGTAAGTATTGGCAGATTATTCACAGACTCGCAGACTTCTGCATGAATGATAATATAAAATATTGTGGAGTTTTTTCCACATGCTTTTAGATAGTGACTGCTTCAAACGTGCATTTATACACTTAGTTTGTCAATCACAATTCACAACTCACAGTGTTAAGATTGTGACGTGCGAGAAGGGTTGCCTTTGGTTGCGGCATCAGTCGTCATGGAAACTATTTTAATAAAAGCTAACTTAAGACTAAAGTACCTGGGCCATGCTCGCTCGCTCGGAGTTTTTGGTCAAAAGTACAATGTTCTTTTAAAAAAAACTAAAAGTTTGAATAAATACAAAAAACAAAAACAAAAAAAAATTATAACTTTTTGATTGGCCGCTTTACTATGATGTTTTGACACGAGTGTGCGCAATTAACGACCATATTTTGCGCGGAATAATGCGAATGAAAACCGCATGAAAATTAGAAAACACGCGTTTCCCCAGACATAAGGCTAATCTAGATCGATTTATCGCCCCCGAAACCCCCTGTATCCTAAATTCCATGAAAATCGTTGGAGCCGTTTCCGAGATTCAGATTATATATAAGACAATACAAGAATTGCTCGTTTAAAGATATAAGATATATATTTAAAAAAAATATAATAATATCCTAACAAAAAAAAAATTGATTTAGAATAAACACGCATGCTCTGTATACATTAAACAGCTGATAGTTTATGTAAGCTTGTCGCGAGATTTACCTATTTTAAATATTATATTTTCGTTTATACACAGGTAAATCTCAGGTAACACGAGGACTTAGAATAACTTTTAATCAAATTTAACTTGCAAGATTTGATTACAGACAGACACCGAGACAGGTTGAACTAAATAAAAGTTTGTAATGATAAATTGCCATTTTAAGACGTCCGCCATATTGGATTACAATGACATCACTTTACTCATCGTATTTCGACTTCGATTCTTCGATCTTACTTGTAAGCCACGTAATTTATTTTGATAAGACTTTCACTATTAAATAAAACTATCTTTTCGGATTATTTCGCGGATTTATTTTGATTTTTGGTTCCCGACGTTTCGAATGCTTTACAGCATCCATGGTCACGGGAGAGACTGAGGTGTTACATGTCTTAAAGATATAGTTGTTACAGACAGCCTACCCACAATACTTTAATAAGACTTTCACTAATTGGAAGAGCCTTAAAAGAGATCGGTTTGCGTATATAATTTGCAAATATTTTGTACTAGCGACTCACACTCGCTCCGCTCGGGTTCGTCCCTAGTTACGTTTTAACTTTAGATTTTTCAGAGATGAGATTTTTTCCCGCAGTAAAAAGTATCCTATATGTTGACCCGAATAAACAGCTATCATCATGATAAATTAAAACAATGCACTAGATAATTAAAGGCTTCTCTATTTTAAAAAAGCCTACGAAGAAGTCCGCGATAGCATGTGCCTATCTATTTCCTAAGGTATGTTTACAATAGAAATAGTTATATTTTTATCTATATAAAACGCACTTAGGGACACACCCGAGCGAAGCGAGGCTAGCAGCGATCGCTAGTATTTAATAGGCGCAGAATATATTGAAAAATGGAGATATTAATGTAATTCAATGTGTGACATCGAAAACGGAACTCAACGAGGCTTGTAGTGACAATGTAGTGACTACATTCATTATAGATACTGATTATGTTGAAAATGTTATTTTATGATTATAAATGATACTCAGTTAATATTAAATATGTATTTAATAATATTAAATACAAAACGTATACAAAATAATGCCATAAGTATACACATAATAATAAAACTACAAAATATGAATAGAAATTACAAATGTAAATATTACATACTCGTCATTTAAGAGTTGATGATTTTGATATAAACATAAAATTAACTAGATAAATTTCTGATTATATCAGAGAATAAATATTAAAACATCAACTATAAAAATTTTGAAATCGTCCAAGGTAATGTCGGACGTCCTCAAAATTATTTGTATCCTTCTAAAATTCCACTAAACATTATACCGCTGATGGTTTTCTTAAGTTTTCATTACTTTTTTTTGATTTCTTATCACTTGTCACGTCATCAAGCACTCTTGGATGGACAGCTATTCTTCGCAAACTCTTTCTTTGAGGTTTGATTTGATTCTTTAATAAGCTTTCTAATTCTGATAAAGATTTAATTTCCTTAAGATCTTTAAAATCTACACTACGGCCACCGTTTACTCTACCGAAGTATCTATAAATATCTCTATTTGCTTGGCATTGGGCACAGTTGTATGGCACTGGCACTGCGTTGGGAAAACTTTCCTGAGCAGTTTGCATTTCAGTGTAATTTCCTGGACAGTTTGGCACGAACACGACAGGTATAAATCCAATTATGCCATATGGACTGTAACCTTGGTTGTTTTGATTATTAGTTTGCGTTTGTGAAACCGCATTTGAGTTATTTTGTCCGGGATTCAAGAGATAGCATGGACATGTTGCAGGGCTTGGTACGATAGGCAGTGGGTATGGTATGACATAAATGGGAAATGGTGGCATCTGACTTGAAGGTGGATAAACAGGAGGTTGCACTCCTGTCCCTGTTGGTTGGCCAAGAGAGTCACCACCTATAAGAAAAAGTATATAGGTATTTAAATCTATAGTTATTTTTTAGAAATGTATTGTTATCGATTTTTTGATGCTTATTAAATAATAATAATAATCTTTTTGTAATGTATAAAATTCTCGTGTTACAGTGTTTGTAACAAACTCCTTCGAAACGGCTTGACCGATTCTTCTGAAATTTTGTGTGTTCAGTACGTCTGAGGATGAGGATGTAAACTATTTTTCATACTCCAAGTGATAAGGTAGTCTACCCCGAAAAAATAATTTTAATATATACAAACCTACATTTCCACTAAGGACGAACCTGAGCGGAGAGAGAGTGAGTCTCTAGTAATTATTATTAATCATAGTAAGTAATAACAATAAAATGAATATATATATAATGTACAGTAATAACTAAGTGTACATTAGTTTTGTATATATAATTAAGTATATTTGTAATTTTCTTTTTTGTTAATTAAATATAAATAATGTAATTATTAAAAAAAATCATAGAACGACAGTTTTTGAGTTTACTACTTTAAATATAAAATAAATGTAGGTAGGTGCCCATAAAATTCATTTAAAAATAAATATTTAGTGACAAACTTACCGTTAGAATCTGGTTGTCCCTGAAGACCAGGTTGATTTTGTTGGTTTGATTGGCCGGGGCTGCCTGGGTAACCTTGTTGACTGGGGCCGCTTGGATATCCTGGGCGGCTTGGTTGTCCTGGTTGGGCGGGCTGACCTGGGTATCCTGGCTGACCTGGGTATCCTGGTTGGCCTGGTTTTCCCGGTTGTCCTGGTTGGCCGGGCTGACCTGGGTATCCTGGTGTGCCGGACTGACCTGGGTATCCCGGCTGGCCTGGATATCCCGGTTGTCCTGGTTGGCCGGGCTCACCTGGGTATCCTGGTGTGCCGGACTGACCTGGGTATCCTGGCTGGCCTGGTTTTCCTGGTTGTCCTGGTTGGGCGGGCTGACCTGGGTATCCTGGCTGACCTGGGTATCCCGGTTGTCCTGGTTGGCCGGGCTCACCTGGGTATCCTGGTGTGCCGGACTGACCTGGGTATCCTGGCTGGCCTGGTTTTCCTGGTTGTCCTGGTTGGGCGGGCTGACTTGGGTATCCTGGCTGACCTGGGTATCCCGGTTGTCCTGGTTGGCCAGGCTGGCTTGGTTGTCCTGAAGTGCCGGGCTGACCTGGCTGTCCGGGATGGCTAGGGCCGCCTGGTAATCCTGGATTTTCTGGGTATCCTGGCTGGCCTGGTTTTCCTGGTTGTCCTGGTTGGCCGGGCTGACCTGGGTATCCTGGCTGACCTGGGTATCCTGGTTGTCCTGGTTGGCCGGGCTCATCTGGGTATCCTGGTGTGCCGGACTGACCTGGGTATCCTGGCTGGCCTGGATATCCCGGTTGTCCTGGTTGGCCGGGCTGACCTGGATATCCTGGTGTGCCGGATTGACCTGGGTATCCTGGCTGGCCTGGTTTTCCTGGTTGTCCTGGTTGGCCGGGCTGACCTGGGTATCCTGGTTGTCCGGGTTGGTCTGGGCCGCCTGGTAATACTGGATTTTCTGGGTATCCTGGCTGGCCTGGTTTTCCTGGTTGTCCTGGTGTGCCGGGCTGATCTGGGTGTCCTGGTGTGCCGGACTGACCTGGGTATCCTGGCTGGCCTGGATATCCCGGTTGTCCTGGTTGGCCGGGCTGACCTGGGTATCCTGGTGTGCCGGACTGACCTGGGTATCCTGGTTGTCCTGGTTGGCCAGGCTGGCTTGGTTGTCCTGAAGTGCCGGGCTGACCTGGCTGTCCGGGATGGCTAGGGCCGCCTGGTAATCCTGGATTTTCTGGGTATCCTGGCTGGCCTGGTTTTCCTGGTTGTCCTGGTTGGCCGGGCTGACCTGGGTATCCTGGCTGACCTGGGTATCCTGGTTGTCCTGGTTGGCCGGGCTCATCTGGGTATCCTGGTGTGCCGGACTGACCTGGGTATCCTGGCTGGCCTGGATATCCCGGTTGTCCTGGTTGGCCGGGCTGACCTGGGTATCCTGGTGTGCCGGACTGACCTGGGTATCCTGGCTGGCCTGGTTTTCCTGGTTGTCCTGGTTGGCCGGGCTGACCTGGGTATCCTGGTTGTTCGGGTTGGCCTGGGCCGCCTGGTAATACTGGATTTTCTGGGTATCCTGGCTGGCCTGGTTTTCCTGGTTGTCCTGGTTGGCCGGGCTGATCTGGGTGTCCTGGTGTGCCGGACTGACCTGGGTATCCTGGCTGGCCTGGATATCCCGGTTGTCCTTGTTGGCCGGGCTGACCTGGGTATCCTGGTGTGCCGGACTGACCTGGGTATCCTGGTTGTCCTGGTTGGCCAGGCTGGCTTGGTTGTCCTGAAGTGCCGGGCTGACCTGGCTGTCCGGGATGGCTAGGGCCGCCTGGTAATCCTGGATTTTCTGGGTATCCTGGCTGGCCTGGTTTTCCTGGTTGTCCTGGTTGGCCGGGCTGACCTGGGTATCCTGGCTGACCTGGGTATCCTGGTTGTCCTGGTTGGCCGGGCTCACCTGGGTATCCTGGTGTGCCGGACTGACCTGGGTATCCTGGCTGGCCTGGTTTTCCTGGTTGTCCTGGTTGGCCGGGCTGACCTGGGTATCCTGGTGTGCCGGACTGACCTGGGTATCCTGGCTGGCCTGGTTTTCCTGGTTCTCCTGGTGTGCCGGGCTGATCTGGGTGTCCTGGTTGTCCAGGTTGGCCTGGGCCGCCTGGTAATACTGGATTTTCTGGGTATCCTGGCTGGCCTGGTTTTCCTGGTTGTCCTGGTTGGCCGGGCTGACCTGGGTATCCTGGCTGGCCTGGTTTTCCTGGTTGTCCTGGTGTGCCGGGCTGATCTGGGTGTTCTGGTGTGCCGGACTGACCTGGGTATCCTGGCTGGCCTGGTTTTCCTGGTTGTCCTGGTTGGGCGGGCTGACTTGGGTATCCTGGCTGACCTGGGTATCCCGGTTGTCCTGGTTGGCCGGGCTCACCTGGGTATCCTGGTGTGCCGGACTGACCTGGGTATCCTGGCTGGCCTGGTTTTCCTGGTTGTCCTGGTGTGCCGGGCTGATCTGGGTGTCCTGGTTGTCCAGGTTGGCCTGGGCCGCCTGGTAATACTGGATTTTCTGGGTATCCTGGCTGGCCTGGTTTTCCTGGTTGTCCTGGTTGGCCGGGCTGACCTGGGTATCCTGGCTGACCTGGGTATCCTGGTTGTCCTGGTTGGCCGGGCTCACCTGGGTATCCTGGTGTGCCGGACTGACCTGGGTATCCTGGCTGGCCTGGTTTTCCTGGTTGTCCTGGTTGGCCGGGCTGACCTGGGTATCCTGGCTGACCTGGGTATCCTGGTTGTCCTGGTTGGCCGGGCTCACCTGGGTATCCTGGTGTGCCGGACTGACCTGGGTATCCTGGCTGGCCTGGTTTTCCTGGTTGTCCTGGTGAGCCGGGCTGATCTGGGTGTCCTGGTGTGCCGGACTGACCTGGGTATCCTGGCTGGCCTGGTTTTCCTGGTTGTCCTGGTGTGCCAGGCTGATCTGGGTGTCCTGGTGTGCCGGACTGACCTGGGTATCCTGGCTGGCCTGGATATCCCGGTTGTCCTGGTTGGCCGGGCTGACCTGGGTATCCTGGTGTGCCGGACTGACCTGGGTATCCTGGCTGGCCTGGTTTTCCTGGTTGTCCTGGTTGGCCGGGCTGACCTGGGTATCCTGGTTGTCCGTGTTGGCCTGGGCCGCCTGGTAATCCTGGATTTTCTGGGTATCCTGGCTGGCCTGGTTTTCCTGGTTGTCCTGGTGTGCCGGGCTGATCTGGGTGTCCTGGTTGTCCGGGTTGGCCTGGGCCGCCTGGTAATCCTGGATTTTCTGGGTATCCTGGCTGGCCTGGTTTTCCTGGTTGTCCTGGTGAGCCGGGCTGATCTGGGTGTCCTGGTGTGCCGGACTGACCTGGGTATCCTGGCTGGCCTGGTTTTCCTGGTTGTCCTGGTGTGCCAGGCTGATCTGGGTGTCCTGGTGTGCCGGACTGACCTGGGTATCCTGGCTGGCCTGGATATCCCGGTTGTCCTGGTTGGCCGGGCTGACCTGGGTATCCTGGTGTGCCGGACTGACCTGGGTATCCTGGCTGGCCTGGTTTTCCTGGTTGTCCTGGTTGGCCGGGCTGACCTGGGTATCCTGGTTGTCCGTGTTGGCCTGGGCCGCCTGGTAATCCTGGATTTTCTGGGTATCCTGGCTGGCCTGGTTTTCCTGGTTGTCCTGGTGTGCCGGGCTGATCTGGGTGTCCTGGTTGTCCGGGTTGGCCTGGGCCGCCTGGTAATCCTGGATTTTCTGGGTATCCTGGCTGGCCTGGTTTTCCTGGTTGTCCTGGTTGGCCGGGCTGACTTGGGTATCCTGGCTGACCTGGATATCCCGGTTGTCCTGGTTGGCCGGGCTGACCTGGGTATCCTGGTGTGCCGGACTGACCTGGGTATCCTGGCTGGCCTGGTTTTCCTGGTTGTCCTGGTTGGCCGGGCTGACCTGGGTATCCTGGCTGGCCTGGTTTTCCTGGTTGTCCTGGTGTGCCGGGCTGATCTGGGTGTCCTGGTGTGCCGGACTGACCTGGGTATCCTGGCTGGCCTGGATATCCTGGTTGTCCTGGTTGGCCGGGCTGACCTGGGTATCCTGGCTGGCCTGGTTTTCCTGGTTGTCCTGGTTGGCCGGGCTGACCTGGGGATCCTGGCTGACCTGGGTATCCTGGTTGTCCTGGTTGGCCAGGTTCACCTGGGTATCCTGGTGTGCCGGACTGACCTGGGTATCCTGGCTGGCCTGGTTTTCCTGGTTGTCCTGGTGTGCCGGGCTGATCTGGGTGTCCTGGTTGTCCGGATTGGCCTGGGCCGCCTGGTAATCCTGGATTTTCTGGGTATCCTGGCTGGCCTGGTTTTCCTGGTTGTCCTGGTTGGCCGGGCTGACCTGGGTATCCTGGCTGACCTGGGTATCCTGGTTGTCCTGGTTGGCCGGGCTGACCTGGGTATCCTGGCTGGCCTGGTTTTCCTGGTTGTCCTGGTTGGCCGGGCTGACCTGGGTATCCTGGCTGGCCTGGTTTTCCTGGTTGTCCTGGTTGGCCGGGCTCACCTGGGTATCCTGGTGTGCCGGACTGACCTGGGTATCCTGGCTGGCCTGGTTTTCCTGGTTGTCCTGGTTTGCCGGGCTGACCTGGGTATCCTGGTTGTCCTGGTTGGCCGGGCTGACCTGGGTATCCTGGCTGGCCTGGTTTTCCTGGTTGTCCTGGTTGGCCGGGCTGACCTGGGTATCCTGGCTGACCTGGGTATCCTGGTTGTCCTGGTTGGCCGGGCTCACCTGGGTATCCTGGTGTGCCGGACTGACCTGGGTATCCTGGCTGGCCTGGTTTTCCTGGTTGTCCTGGTGTGCCGGACTGACCTGGGTATCCTGGCTGGCCTGGATATCCCGGTTGCCCTGGTTGGCCGGGCTGACCTGGGTATCCTGGTTGTTCGGGTTGGCCTGGGCCGCCTGGTAATCCTGGATTTTCTGGGTATCCTGGCTGGCCTGGTTTTCCTGGTTGTCCTGGTTGGCCGGGCTGACCTGGGGATCCTGGCTGACCTGGGTATCCTGGTTGTCCTGGTTGGCCGGGCTGACCTGGGTATCCTGGTGTGCCGGACTGACCTGGGTATCCTGGTTGTCCTGGTTGGCCAGGCTGGCTTGGTTGTCCTGAAGTGCCGGGCTGACCTGGCTGTCCGGGATGGCTAGGGCCGCCTGGTAATCCTGGATTTTCTGGGTATCCTGGCTGGCCTGGTTTTCCTGGTTGTCCTGGTTGGCCGGGCTGACCTGGGTATCCTGGCTGGCCTGGTTTTCCTGGTTGTCCTGGTTGGCCGGGCTGACCTGGGAATCCTTGCTGGCCTGGGTATCCTGATTGTCCTGGTGTGCCGGACTGACCTGGGTATCCTGGCTGGCCTGGTTTTCCTGGTTGTCCTGGTGTGCCGGGCTGATCTGGGTGTCCTGGTGTGCCGGACTGACCTGGGTATCCTGGCTGGCCTGGATATCCCGGTTGTCCTGGTTGGCCGGGCTGACCTGGGTATCCTGGTGTGCCGGACTGACCTGGGTATCCTGGCTGGCCTGGTTTCCCTGGTTGTCCTGGTTGGCCGGGCTGACCTGGGTATCCTGGGGTTCCGGGTTGGCCTGGGCCGCCTGGTAATCCTGGATTTTCTGGGTATCCTGGCTGGCCTGGTTTTCCTGGTTGTCCTGGTTGGCCGGGCTGACCTGGGTATCCTGGTTGGCCTGGTTTTCCTGGTGTACCGGGATGATCTGGGTGTCCTGGTGTGCCGTGCTGACCTGGGAATCCTGGCTGGCCTGGATATCCCGGTTGTCCTGGTTGGCCGGGCTGACCTGGGTATCCTGGCTGACCTGGGTATCCTGGTTGTCCGGTTTGGCCTGGGCCGCCTGGTAATCCTGGATTTTCTGGGTATCCTGGCTGGCCTGGTTTTCCTGGTTGTCCTGAATGGCCGGGCTCACCTGGCTGTCCGGGATGGCTAGGGCCGCCTGGTAATCCTGGGTTTTCTGGGTATCCTGGCTGGCCTGGTTTTCCTGGTGTGCCGGGCTGTCCTGGGTATCCTGGCTGGCCTGGTTTTCCTATTTGTCCTGGTTGGCCGGGCTGACCTGGGTATCCTTGCTGACCTGGGTATCCCGGTTGTCCTGGTTGGCCAGGTTGGCTTGGTTGTCCTGAAGTGCCGGGCTGACCTGGCTGTCCGGGATGGCTAGGACCGCCTGGTAATCCTGGATTTTCTGGGTATCCTGGCTGACCTGGGTATCCTGGTTGTCCTGGGTGGCCGGGTTGATCTGGTTCACCGATGCCACCTGGGTATCCTGGTTGTTCAGAAGTACCGGGCTGACCTGGCATACCGGGTTGGTTAGGGCTGCCGGGGTATCCTGGTCGACCTGGTTTTCCTAGATAATAATAAAAATGTAATATTATGAAACTGCATTGATGGAGGTATATCTAGAAACTTTTAATATCCTCTTTCTCCATATTGAAATCCGATTGTAACATTGCATAGCATCTGATTGAAGTTAAATTGTACAAATCTATTATGTAAAAGTGCTATGGATGGACCATCAAGTTCAATCTATATTTATATGTTTATAAATAAAAGTTTATTATTATTATTTGTGTCTCTTTGGATTTTACGGTTTCGATTTTGTATGGAGCCCGGTCCTTTGGAAGGCTTGCGTGGGGACACTGGTCCGACACGCAGAGGCCCCTTAAAATATTCAAGTTTGTTTAATGTGACGCATCAGCCGGATACTCTGAGTAACCCATAGGGAATTGCTCAAAGAATTGGCCAATCGGCCTCTGGATAATGTTTAGGGACTATGGAAAATACTGAGACTTCTGAAATCATATTTTATATTTACCTGGCCCAGTAGGGTAAGTAGATCCACTTGGTCCACCTGGGCCACCAGGGCCACCAGGACCACCCGGTCCACCCGGGCTTCCTGGACTTCCTGGTCTACCTGGCTGACCAGGGTAATATGTTTCACCTGAAACAATGTTTAACAGTGCAGTTATTTTTCCATGCTATTGTGATAGTTACGTCACCTTATTTTTAACTGTCTACAATTTTGTTCGATCTTTTAGACTAACAGTAACAAAACTTAATAACCAAATGTATTTTTTTTTAAGGATTATCTAATTCCTTCGCGAAAACACGTTATAATATAATTCAAAAAAATATTTATGATCAGAATTACTTGAAACTTGGTTTTAATGCTCTTCAATAAAATTAAATAAATACGTGTTTGAACATTTTTGGAAATTCATCTTATAAGGGGGTATAATAGAGGATGAGTTTGTATGAAACTACCTTTTTACAGATTTTTAGATTTTTTTGTAGTTTTAGCGCGATCGAAGCCGCGGGTTCTGCTAGTTGTGTATATATGGTAGGCTGGTCTAAGAATAGGCATCCGATAAGAGTAAGCAGTATCTTATTTATTTATTTATTTATTTACTTCTTTTTACACATTGTATCAATTCAATGATCACTTGTGTACGTCAATTAGAAGACTTAAACTAAAGCTACGAGGATCAATAGCCACACGACGTTGTTTACGATCCGCGGCTAACTTCAGTGTCATTTTAAAGTGTAAGCTAGTGAGAACTGAGAAGTGCTATGCGAAAAAAAGTTTGGTTTAAAGAACTTTATTTCTCATTACGAACAAGTCTTTTACATGAGAAACATATATAAAGATATAAGAAATTATGACAGTTGATCAGTAGAACTGGGAACATTAGTTACAAAAAATATATTTATATAACCTAGACTTAAAGCTATTGAAAGTTTTTGAATTTTTTATTTCTTTCGGTAAACTATTATAGAGTTTTGCTCCCTTAAAAATTATAGTTTTCTGTCCAGACTTGGTTCTAGTTATGGGTAGCTCTAAGTGGCTAGAACACCGAGTAGCATATTTATGTGTTGAACCTTTTTTTACAAAAGATATCTCTGCAGTATGAAATGTTTTATCTATTATTTTACGCATGAGTGTACAGGTAGTGTAGTAGTGCAATTGTTTTATGTTCATTAGCTTAGTTTGTTTGTAAATTTTTTCAGATGATGTTAAGTTAGGGTAATGGAATAGTAGTTTTATTAATTTGTTTTGTGAGACTTGTAACTGAGCTAGTTTAGATTTTGACGCCATACCCCATATTTCAAATATAACAAATGTGGTTTTACAAGGCTATTATAAATCATTAAGCGGACTCGACGCGGTAAACATCGGGCCGTAATTCTAAGATAACCGATTAATCTGGAAAGTTTGCTTATTATGTGGTCAACATGCGAATTATAAGTTAGATTGGTGTCCAGTATTAAACCTAAATATTTTTCCTCCTTCTTTTCTTCCAATGGAACATTATGGACTGTAAGAGTTGTATGGTTATGATTTTTTTTGTTCCTTGCTTTAAAAATAATATAACAGGTTTTACTCATGTTGATGGTGAGTAAATTGCATTGAAACCACGTGTAAAGTTTGTCAAGATCTTCCTGTGCCTGAGAGATAATATCATTTATTGAGGACCCAAAGTAAAATAAGCATGTAGGTATCGTCCGCATAAAGTGTGAGCTCATCGTGTAGGTCTAATTGATGAATGTTGTTGATGTATATTAAAAAGAGCAAGGGTCCTAAGATGGAACCTTGTGGAACTCCATAGTTTATGTGTGTTGGTTTGCTCGTGTGTTCATTTATTTTAACAATTTGCTGCCTATTCGTTAGGTAAGAACGAAACATATTCAAGGCATTACCAGTGACACCAATGCATTCAAGTTTCTGTAAGAGAATTGGATGGCTAACTGTATCGAATGCGTTCTTAAGGTCGATAAAGACTCCTAGGACTATGTTTTTTTATCAATACTGGATTTTATTTTAGTTGTTAAGTCTATTATGGCTGAAAGTGTGTTAGATTTGGGCCTGAATCCGTACTGTCTTTTGAAAATAAAGTTAATTGAATTTAAATAGTTGATTAATCTGGTGTATAAGATCTTTTCAAGAATTTTTGATATCACTGGCAACACCGAGATAGGTCGGTAATTACCTGGGTCTGTTTTTGTACCTGCCTTATAAATTGGGCTAACTTTTGCAATTTTTTGTATATCGGGAAAGTACCCCTCCTGTAGTAGGCTATTAAAAGATAAAGTAAGGCTATTAGTGATCAAATTTTTAATACGTTTTATACTTTTAGTATTAACTCCATCAATACCGATACTTGAATTAGAATCTAGTTTATTTATAATGGTGTAAATTTTGTCTGTAGTTCAAAGGTCGATAATTCATTGTTAAGGTTATCCACGCAAGGAAGAATATAAGAGAGATTGTTGTGAAAATTACCCGAAATGCCATTAGCAAGAATTGTACCTATCGTAAAGAAATACTCATTGAATGTGTCGCATTAATATGTCCTGTAATAATTTACAGGATCAGTTATTAGGACATTATTGACTATAAGTTTCAGGGGAGCAGAACTTTGATCTTTTATTTTATTAGTTGCTAAATCATTGATTAATCTTCACATTTTTTTAGGTTTTCTCAGACAATTTTCAAATTCTTTACTGTAATAAATATCTTTGGCATTTTTAATTTTTCTAAGTGTGTTTTCCTTAGTCAGTTCAAATTCAGCTTTTAAAATATTATCACTTTGGTTCTTTTTAAGTTGGATCGATAGATCATTTTTCCTGCTGATATCGTGTAGGATTTCATTATTGATCGATTCTTCTTTTGGAGGGTTGAGAGTTTTAATTTTAGTAAACTTACTTGCATTGACGTGCCTACTAATTGAATCATAAAGGGCAAAAAAACTATCGGTTATGTTATTCTTTACAGATGTTTTAAAAGATTCTTCACGTTTATTGTAGTCTATAGCTTCATATGTAATCTTTCTGTCATCTTTCAGTCCTTTTGGGTGGAAGATTGTACTTCTTTATTCCAAGGTAGATTTGTTTATGATCTGATATATTGGAATCTACAAGTGCAATATGGAAATTGTTTGAGTTGAGGTTAGAGGATACATGGTCTATAATGGATTGCGTGCTCATAGTTTCTCTAGTACAAAAATGTTTGTCCAAGTTATTGAGAAGTTGATGTCCACATTCTTGTAAATGTTTTTTGTATAATTTGTTAATTTGTTTATAAGTTAATTTGTAAAGTTAAAACATAGAACACAGAAATTAAGTAAGTGTAAACATTTTTTCTGTTTTCTTAAATAATCTTAGCATTTTGGAAGTGTATTTGCGATAAAACTACAATTTACAATTGTTTTGATAAATACGATTATGAGGCTTGATCGATAAGAAATTCACCTAGGGGTCACAGCGAGAGCGATTCCAATCAATGCTAATAAATGGCGTTGCGCTTTGCTCGCTTAAAGAAACCGCGAATGTGTGCAAGAGTACGCGCTTGAGTATGTTACAAGAATACGCACGTACTCGTACACACAAAGACATTAATCCAATACTATTGATTTTAGATAACCGCGCGTCCCACTGCACTTTACAGGCAGTTAATTTTTTCACACTTTGGCCTTAAAAGTAGTACCAAAAAAGTAACGAAAAAGGATTGCGAAAGAAGGCTGAAACACATTCCCAAGTCCTAAAGAAGACACCCAAAAAGAAAATGTGGAATACCCATCATGTGGTGAAGTATGAGTGGGCTCCCCAAATGAAGATTGCATAGGATGTTCCAATTTCAACTCATATGCGTACTCTTATCCAATAGCTCTTGTAAGAGTACGCAATTATCACTTCTGTTATTTTTCTATTTTTCTAAAGACTTTGTATATTTTGGTTACATTTTATGCTGCTTTATGAAAGATGTAATTATTAAGTACAAAATAAAAGTTAAGCTGATTATCTAGAGATATTTAATTTAATTTTGGAACTGTGTGAACCTTAAGTGCGTCCTCCTAGACCAGCCTACCCAATATGTAAGTACATAGAAAGGGTCGAATGCAACTAGAGTCATGCATCCAGTATTACCTACCATTCTATACCTACCATTCTATATATTACGCAATTATTAATAGAACAACACTGTTCTCACAATAACTGTCAGTTTTTATTTTTTATGTTTTAAATAATAATTTAGTTTTACTTTACAATTACGTAAAAACAACATACATTAAAACGAAGTAAACCAACATCTTACTCCGGCTTCACAGAGTTTCTTTTTTTGTCCTTTAAGAAATTGAATTTTGAACACCACCATAATAATTTCATTAATTTTACCAAAGATCACAAATATCAGGTCTTGATACATTTTGACTGATCTGTTTTATTATTATCAAACCTAATATTTATTGATGGGTATGTAATGGTTTTTACTATTTACAATTTATTTTTAATGTTTCTTAAAGGTCTACGAGTATTTGTCGGAAAGATTCGTAAATTTTTTTATACATATATATTAAAAATGTTTTGTTTCATATTAAATTAAATAATATGTAAGTAGAAACGTTAAATATATTATCCAAATGGATTGCTTACAACTAAGTATTTACCTTGTCCTGGATAGTATCCACCAGAACCAGGACCACTAGGGCTTCCATGACCTCCAGTACCTCCAGGAGTTCCTGGAGAACTAGCTGTTCCGGGGCTATTCGGAGTACCAGGCGGACCTGGATAATAACCACCTTGACCGCCTTGCCCTGTAAGATTAATTAAGTTACCAAGTGATTTTATTAATTTATTTTGCATTCACGAGTATTAATTGCTGTTATAGATTAACATAATTTTTATTCAACAACGAAGAAAGTAGAGTTTAATGTAGCATGTTAATACAATAAATGTAATATGTATATCGATTTCCTTTGAAGGATTCCAGGGTAAACTACCGAATAGTCCATACCTCCGATTAATCTAAATTTTGGTATACATATGGATTTTGACGCCCTGATAACGACAATGGCATTCAAACCCGCAAATTTTATTTCAAGGTCAAATCTAAGAAAAATCTATTTTTGTAATGTTTTTCGCGTTTCTTGTGATAAGTATTGATTTTAGTAAAATATGTTTTCAACAAAAGTTGTACGGCATAAAAAGGTTGTCATTTTCTATTTAGTTCGTTTTTCGTGTAGAACCAGTAGTTTACTCTAGATGTGTAAGACATATTCGCACTAGTCCAAGTTTTTATGTATTACTAGCATTTTCCGTGGCTCCGCCGCGTTCAGATGATCAAAAACCAAATTCTTAGGTTTTACATATTAGTATACTTTTACATTGCAATTTTTGTATTTTTTCTCAGAAATGAGATATTTACCCGCAGTAAAAAGTATCCTATACGTTGATCCGGATAACACCATACCAAATTTCATCAAAATCCCTCCAGTGGTTTTTCTGTGATGCGGTAAGAGACAGACAGGCAGATAGGCAGACAGACAAAAATTCTAAAAACTTTAGATTCGGCCTATGAATCGATAGTAATGTCTATTTCAATAAGATTTTCCAAAAAATATTTAAACAGTACAGATTCGGCTTGGTTACAATTTATATTATTCCTACCTACAAGGACCTTTAACTTTGATAAATAGAAAGAAAATTTTTAATAAAGTGGATTAAAAAAGGAAATGAACTAACATGAACCTTGTCCATCAGATCCACTTGGCCCACCTGGTCCATTTGGTACACCATGTCCACCTGAAACATAATTGGAAAAATCAAATAAAATGCTATTTTTGTTATTGTTTGAATTGTCAATCGTTCAAAGTTGAATGCGCTATTCCTTGTTAATTAGACAATAACAAAGCAAATACTACATATAAATAGTGATACTTAAAATAAACTTTTAAATAGCAGGGATATTGTTAGTATAATATTCATATAAATTATAGAGCAAAACAATTGTAGAAGAAAGAAGAAAAACAACGCAAATTATATAAATTATTTTTATTATTTAATTATGTTTAACAGTTTATTATGTTTGGGATCTCAATTTAATAATAGAAAATATTATGTATGGACTTTTTAAAGTATTATTTTTCAAAATAAGTTAATTGATCACTTACTTTGACCTGGATAATGTCCGCTACCAGAACCATGGTTTCCTGGGCTGCTAGGACCGCCAGGGCCTCCGGGGCCACCAGGCCCTCCAGGACCTCCAGGACCACCAGGACCACCAGGACCACCTGGAGATCCGGGCATGCCTGGAGATCCGGGGATGCCTGGAGATCCGGGTGTACCAGGATAATAACCACCTTGAATTTATATAATAATATATTATGTACAATTGTATGTACTTTAAAATGTTTTGTAATTATTATAGATTGAGAGATTGTATTAGGTACAAAAGAGATTTTTACTGATTTACTTTATTTGCTGTCTTCTAATAATTCTTTCTAAAGGATATAACACCGGAATATTTACGGATACTTTATTTGATGGAAATGATTGACACTCGTGTTTTTACATCTGATAATACAGATAAAGTAAATTTAAGAATTTTAACTCGTTAATTATTAATTTTATTAATATTATAAATTTGAAAGTATCGCTGTCTGTTAGATTTTTACGCTTAAACCGCTGAACGGAATTTGATAAAATTTAGCAAAGACAGATTGTATCCTGGTGACGGATATAGGGTAACTTTGAGATGCCCTGGTCTCTTTTCAAGAGAGCAAAGTTGCGGGCGAAAATTGGTCAGTAATAAATATTTATTTTAGCCCCAGTTAAATTCTGTTTCTATATTTTGCTATGTGAAATTGATTAATTTTACACACACATGAAATATGTTGAAAAATATAGCATTTTATCAATAAAAAATACCTGATCCACTGGGTCCGATTGGTCCACTAGGTCCGACTGGTCCACTAGGTCCTACTGACCCGTTAGGACCACTAGGTCCATTTGGTCCGTTAGGTCCACCAAGACCGGATGGCCCATTTGGTCCACCAGGTCCACCTGAAACAAAGTCATAAAAATCAATTTTAATAAAATCTGATTTTTCTTATTTTTCCAAATGTCAATCGTTCAAAGCTAGACGCGCTATTCCTTGTAAATTACACAATAACAAAGAAAATACTACATAATATAATACTTTCTTAGGTTAACGAGAATTATTGACATTTTAATAAAACTATTTTTTCGGTTTTCTTTGCGAAATAATCCGAAGAGATAGTCTTATTTAAAATACTATATATATGTAGTTAGTATAGTATTCATATGAATTATAGAGCACAACGAATGTAGAAGAAAGAAGAAATGCGACGCAAATTACATAAAAAAATATTTTATTATGTTTGGACTAATATTTCTAAAGTAGTATTTTTCAAAATAAGTCAACTAATCACTTACTTTGACCTGGATAATGTCCGCTACCAGAACCATGGTTTCCTGGGCTGCTAGGACCGCCAGGGCCGCCGGGGCCACCAGGCCCTCCAGGACCTCCAGGACCACCAGGACCACCAGGACCACCTGGAGTTCCGGGCATGCCTGGAGATCCAGGTAAGCCTGGAGATCCGGGTGTACCAGGATAATAACCACCTTGAATTTAGATAATGATATATTATGTACAATTGTATGTACTTTTTGTTTTGTAATTATTATAGATTGAGAGATTGTATTAGGTACAAAAGAGATTTTTTACTGATTTACTTTATTTGCTGTCTTCTAATAATACTTTCTAAAAGGTATAGCAACGGAAAATTTACGGATACTTTATTTGATAGAAATGATTGACACTCGTGTTTTTACATCCGATAAAACAGATAAAGTAAACTTAATTAATCATTAATATTATCTATAATATAAATGTAAAAGTAACTCTGCCCATTATCTTTTCACGCATAAACCGCTGAACAAAATTCGATAAAATTTAGCAAAGACATAATTTGCATCCTGGGGACGCTTTTGATGAGAGTTTAGTTGCGGGCAAAAACTAGTTAATAATAAATGTATACTTTAGACCCAGTTAGGTCTTGTTTCTATGTTTAGCTATATGAAATTGTTTAATTTTACATATACATTGTTTAAAAATATAGCATTTTTATCAGTAAAAATACCTGATCCACTTGGTCCGATTGGTCCACTAGGTCCGGATGGCACGTTTCCTGTAAAATAATATAGCGTTTTATTTATTTCTCTCCTTTAATGATTAAACTATACGTGCTATACGTGTACACAACAGTAAAAATATACCTGATCCTGGATAGTATCCAGTTTGACTTCCAGGTCCACCTGGGCCATCTGGCCCTCCGGGACCTCCAGGACTGCCTGGTGAACCAGGTGTGCCAGAGCTACCGGGGCTACCGGGAGTGCCTGGTGATCCTGGAGTACCAGCAGAACCAGGATAGTATCCACCTTGAAATATAAGGAAATATTTAAGATTTAAAACCAAACCCGTATTTTCTTCTTTTTAACTGTGGTCTCAAAAGGTTAATTTAAATTTTCACTTTTTACTAAATGTATACAATACGATAATACATATGTATGTTTTTATTATGTACGTACCACGTACGTATCTCATTTATTATTTTTAACAGTTTCCTCTTAATAGGGTGGGGTATTTACGGTTATACTATAATAATTATTTTTGTATTTTTTTTAAAATAATTCCTATTCATAAAAAACAGCCGTATCAAAAAAATTATATACCTCAATTTCAGGATAAGCAAACCTTGTTAGGCAGTCTTAAAATAACTTGATTTATACATATAATAAAATATTAACTTAGCAAAATCTGTACATGGAATATTCTTTGTAAACAATAACTGTAACGTATTGTATACAGAATATAGACCCTAAAACAATAGTTATTATGTCTGTTTGTCGGTATGTCTATGTACGTTTCATGCAAAAAGTACTGAACCGATTTTAACTAAATTTTGTATAGTGATAACTCGAGTCAACAGTTGGGATATAAAGGACTACAGAAAAATCTTTCGTTCTCGCGGAAAAACACAATAACTGGATCTTTTGAATCGTCCTTAGAAATTAACAAGGCTAACATTAAAACAATTTGCAAGTAAATTGTAGGCATCGATCAAAAAAGTACTAGATACTCAATCAGCGACAAAAACTTCATCACCGAATGAGCTCTAATTTGAACATTAAAGCGCGTTTTTAATTTAGTAGCATTCGAACATAAAACTGGTCGCTTAAAATTTTCTTTTTTTTTTAAATTTTAACGTTTCTCAATTATTATTTTTAGTTTATTATGTCAAATTTATTACTATAAATTTTAAGAAAAATATGATATTTACATTTTTATAATAATTAAGTATTATTTATAAAAATATAACAATATATCTATGCAGATAAATAAAATTGAAGTGTCTGTTTGTAATGTCAAAATAACAGCTTTTTACTAAATGCATATGGTTGCATACACAGTACATATATCAAAACAACATTTTTTACAATTTTTGTTTGTCTGTCTGTTTGTTCCGGCTAATCTTTGAAATAGCTGGACCGATTTTGACGGGACTTTCACTGGCAGATAGCTGATGTAATAAGGAGTAACTTAGGCTACTTTTATTGTAGAAAAAAAGGGTCCCACGAAGAAAAAATTAAAACCAATGAAAAATTTAATAATATCTGATTCAAATAGGGAAGCTGTATTCATACCCTAGTTATTAATAATTTTATAATAATTATTAAAAATGAATATTTATAACTAATAATTTTATAAGAATTATTATATTTATATTTTGATTTGTTGAAATAAAACTTCTTTAGGCGTGACTGGAAGTAAGTTAATACATTGAAAAATGAGTGTCGCGGAACTCGGAAGTGAGCGGGGAATATTCAAAAAATAATAAATAGTAGCGGCTCACCCTCGCTTCGCTCGGGTTCACCTCTAGAAAAGCACAAACAGATCTATCCCACGGGAACCGTTCATTTTTCCGGGGTAAAAATAAGTAACCTGTTGTTTGACCTGCAATATAAGGTATCAGCATGCCAAATTTTACTAAATTAGGTGCATAAGTTGTTGTGTACTGAGCTGTATAAGTTACTATAATTTTTTAACTACCCCACGGGAACTCTTTAATTTTCCGGAATGAAAAGTATCAAATTTCATTTAAATAGGTTCAATAGTATCGGAGATTAGCCCGTACGAACAGACAAACAGACAGAGAAACAAAAAAATTGAAAAAATTCTGGATTTGTTCTATTTCTCTCCTTACGGGATGTAAGAAGAGAACTGACTTGTTTTTTAGCAATTTTTTCTACCATCTATGTACAGACATTCGACCTCTACAGTTTTATTATTCATATATGTACCTATATTCAGATAGAATAAATAACGTATAATAAAACAGAAATATATAATAATGAAAATAGTTATAGCGAGTGTATCTTAGGAGATAGACATATACTATGTAGAACTTTTCTATAGACCTTTTTAAGACTTACAATTTTCTTGTACAATGTTTTGATCTATCTCTTAAGGTTGAGCCAACGTTAGCCATATAAATTTCTAAGGACAATTCGATAGAACCAGTTATTGTATTTTCCCGTGGGAATGAATAATTTGCCTGTCGTAAAAAGTATTCTAAATGTTGACCCGAGGAGATAGACATATACTATTCAGAACTTTTCTGTAGGACTTTTCAAGACCTACAATTTTTTAGTATATTGTTTTGATGTATGTCTTAAGGCTTAGCCAGAGGAAGGTTTCTAGGGAGGACTCGATAAAACCAATTATTATATTTTCCCGTGGGAAAGAAAGATTTTCTTTAAGTAAAAGGTATCTAGGCAGTGGTATCCCAGTGGTAACGCGCTCGCTTGGAAAACCGAGTGAAGCAAGTTCAAATCTCGGGTCTAGCACCTCTGATATTGGCCAGCGTGGTGGACTATGGCCTGATCCACCTCGTACTGAAGGGAGGCCCGTACGTGTGTTAAAAAGGCTGAATACAACATACATACATACATACATACATAAAAAGGTACCCTAAATGTTGACTCGAGTAATAAGTTATCACTTCACCAAATTTCGTTGAAATTGGTACATTACTTTTCGCGTGAAACGCGCACACAAAAACAGACAAACAGACATACAGGCAAACAGACAAACAGACCATTTTTTTAATAACTATTGTTTTGGGGTCTATGTTGTGTACATAATACGTTACAAATAAACAAAAACATCTATCCCACGGGAAAAGTACATTTTTCCGGGATAAAAAGTTACTTATTTGTTATTCTGATGTATGAACTATATTATTGTAAAGTTTCATCAAAATCCAATCAGTGGTTTTTGTGTACTAAGCTGTATAAGTTACTATATTTTTTTGACTATCCCACGGAAACAATTTAATTTTCCGGGATGAAAAGTAGCTGATTTGTTTTTGTCATGTATGAACTATATTATTGTAAAGTTTCATTAAAATCCAACCAGTATTTTTTGTGTACTAAGATGTATAAGTTGTTATAGTTTTTTAACTATCCCACGGGAACCCTTTAATTGTCCAGGATGAAAAGTATTTAAGATGTTGCCCGGGGATATAAGGTACCACCATGCAAAATTTCATTTAAATAGGTCCAATAGATCCGGAGATTAGCCCGTACAAAGAGAAAAACAGATAAACAGCTCGCTCGGGTTCGTCCATACATACGAATATGTTGTATTATCTCTTTAACCATTTGTCCAAATTATATGCAGTAAAAGGGAAAAGTCTTTTATTTTAAACATTGTAGACGATAAATTTACTTATTTTGATAAGAATTCATAATTGTTGATAATATGACCAATAAACATGACCTACCGTTTTAAATGATTTTTTTAATATAAAATCTACTTTTTGTGACTTAAATATAAAAGTTAGACATATGCTGTCGCTGACTTTTTTGTAGGCATTATTAAGCTCTACAACTTTTCTCTAGAACATAATCATATATCTCTCATCGTTAAGGCAGCGTTCGTAAGAAACGTTTTCGTTCGACCGATTTTTCTCCGACTTACTTTGCAAATGCGACTACCACAAAAAAGCCTTTTCATTTTTCGGGTTAATATATTGCCTATGACACTCAGAAAGAACGTGGCTTTCTATTGGTAAAAGAATTTTGAAAATCGGTTCAGTAGATCCAGAGATTACCCCCTACAACGTCACAAACTCACAAACTCACAAACTCACAAGATCACAAACTTTACCTCTTTATAATATTAGTATAGAAGTATAGATGAACATTACGTCAATAATTTGGACAATAATATTATTAACACTTTATAAGATTTCTTTCATGTTTAGACTAAGATTTTTCATCTTTAGTAACTATTGAATTTTGATATATTCGTAAGTTGTTTGTCAACGAATATCTTTAAATTTTTGACACAAATAAATAATTATGACTACTACAAGTATATACCTTTACACATTGTTTTTGTATCATTAAAGCGACATTATATCAAAAATGCAAAGTTGAGTGCCAAATTTTGATTTCTGACCTTATTTGACTGGACTATCTAGTACTTTTTTGATCGATGATTATAGGTCTTAAAAAGGCCTAATGGATGCACTCGAGCGAGGCGAGGGTAAGCTGCTAGTTTTGAATATTTATCTTTTATTATCACACTACTATACTACAACTTTAAAGTTTATATGTGTTGTATATTTGTAACTGGATGACTAAACCGTGAATTTGGGTCGTTAAGTACACAGACTATGACCTGGAATAGCACATAGGCTACTGTTAGTATACTATTTGCCAAATGTATCTATCCTACATATATAACTTAATGGACAAACCTGGATAAACGATATCAGGTTTTTGATTGCTGGTTTGGCTAGTACTGTCAGTGGCAGGGCGGGAAGGTTGCGGTTTCGGTTTCGGTTTCGGTAACGGTTTAGCGGGAACTCCGCCTGGAGTTCTGCCGCATCCTTTCGGTAAATATAGCTTGTTCCACGGTACAATTACACCAGGTAGGTTGTTTGGTGCTGATGAGCTGGAAACAAAATATATTATGAAAATGTACTTTCAATGTACGTAATTTTATTTCTTGCTATTCAAAATGAATAAAAATGTTAGTAAAATTGTTTTGCATACTTTGTTGACATGTCTAAAATATCTAAAATAGTATTGTTTTAATAATTTTATTTAAGTACACTAATTTTATAAAAAGGATAGTTTACAAGTGAGCGAATGCTTGTTACTTTTTCACAATGTAACAACCCGTCAAATTTGAGTGAAATTCGAAATGGTTACATCGTAGGTTTACACATAGGCTAATCTAATTTAACCATTCAAGCATTACGAAAGTTAGTGTTATCCTAAAATAGTACTGTAATGTTATGTGACTTAATTTATTTTCTTACTTTTCATCGTATTCGTGATTTTCGTCGGGGTAAACTTCAACAGGTTTTCCGGGTTCAATTACTCTGTAACCATGACTGTCAGCTACATAGTGTGTAACGCGCAGCATGAGTTCGGGGTCAACGTAGCCGTAGCAACCGTAAGTTACTCCATCGGGACCTCGGTTTTCATGGTGAAACTGTCCATTTGGACCGACATCATAACCAAATCCATACGCATCTGTAAAATAAATAAATTATATGAATAAAAAATATATCAAATATAATTATCAATTACCAAAAATAACTAGATACACAATCAGCGACAAAAAATGTCCTCTCAACCCACTGTTGGGCACGGGCGTCCCTTCAGTACCAGGAGAATCAGGCCATAGTCCACCACGTTGGCAAGTGCGGGTTGGCGGACTTCACATGTCTTTTAAAAACTTGCTAAGTTCTCTCAGACATGCAGGTTTCCTCACGATGTTTTCCTTCACCGTTAAGATAAGTGGTAATCATGTTCGAAATGATTCGCACATGAAAATATCAGAGGTGTGAGACCCGGGATTAGAACTCGCTTCACTCGGTTTGCCAAGCGAAAGCGTTACCACTGGGCTACCACTGCCTTAGACTAGAATTATCTACTAGAACTGGTAGTAACCAGGTAGAATTACCTAAACACATTTAGTGACAGTTTTAAGAAAACTTTTGCATGGGATTGAGTATCTATTTCTTCTTGATCGATGAATTTTATATAATAATGATTTTCAAAGTAATGCACGATATATTGATAGTTATAGTAAACATTTCAAAGTAACTTGTATTGAAACTTTCTTGGCCTAAGCCAATAATAGCCTATATTGTTTCAATTTTTGACTATTTTCACTATAAAAATTAAATGATAAAAAACGTTTTATAATACTGAAATGATAAAACAGGTTTTTTTACTGGTTTCATTTCTCATAATGTTTTAAAAAATTAACTTAAACTACAAACTTACTTGTATCATAATTGGTTTCGTAATACTGTTTCTTTTCGTCGTCTTCGATGTCTACTACAGTTTCTTTGCTATTGTCGCCGTAGTTATTGTATTGTCGAGCTTCTCGGATTAACGCTCTAGTTGCAGATGCGTCTTCACTAGCCTTTGTTAAGACTAGCAAAGCCTGAAGCAAATAAATATGTCAATATTACACTTCATATTTCTTTTAATAATAATAAAATGCGTTTATTTCAGACAACAAGTCCATAAAATTATCAGTACACAGAAAACAGAAATAACATGCTACAAAATTATCATTAAAATGCTTAAAAATATTTTTTTCGTGTGAAAGCCCGTCTATCATGTATTTCGCAAGAAATGTTGGATTTGATTAGATTTTGCGATATTAAACTTTTATTTTGTGAAGAATCTAAGCAAAGGATCATATAAAATTCGTTTTCGGTGCAGTCACAGGTTTTTGGCGACACTTTATATGCTATTTCATTTACTACATTAAATTTAAAAATTAAAGAAAACACTACACATATGAAATCATTTTTATTTTTTTATTATAATTTAAAAGCTAGTTAAAACAATACAGATGAGTCAAATGCTAGTTTTTAGTATTACCTACAGAGCTGATTTTTATAGCTTCTAAAGCTGCTTAATTATGTATATGTTTAAATCACGGTGAATAAATTTTGCTTACATTCAATT